TCATTTCCAAATAATTTGCTGTCAATCTTATTTTAGATTAGATTTCGACAAAATCAACTGATTTGCTGAAACCAAAACTCATTAGCTTTTGTGTCTTTTAACAATAAATTTTTTCAAACTGCTGTCTATAGTTGCCTAATCTTCAATTGCCCGTTCTTGCAAATTCATTTAGTCTGCTCTGCACTTTTTTTTAAATTGTTCGCTGTTCAGCAAGTAACAGCTTGGTGAATCGTGTTGTCAGCTTGGTGAATCGTCGCTGATAGGTAGTTGTAACGTCACATAGGCATAGATAATAAATTGGACTCGAATATAACGCGAAAGGAACCAGATCAAACTAAATTAAAAACTAGTTTAGATACCATTCGAAATGGGCACTTCTCCGCGGGCCTCACAATTTTCCCTTGCGGGCCGCATTTGACCCGCGGGCCGCACTTTGCACACCCCTGATATAAGGGACCATATTGTACAATGTACATACAGACATATTTAATCTAATGTTTTTTGTTTTATATTTGTCAAAAGGGGTGCATGCCGCACATTTGTGTTTTAGGCCATCACGGTCTTGTGCATGCATCCCGTCTTAAATAATAATATTTGTTCATTTATTGATGTATTACTATTACGAGACGAATAAACATACATACATCTCAAGGTTGAATTACATCTGTCTGTCTGTAAAAAACAAATGATAGGCTACCTGTACAGCACTTGCTGAATTGCTTTTATTAAGCATTTAAAAAAAAAAAGTAACCGTATGTCTGTATTATACGTCGCGATACCGTAACTATTCTTATTTGCTTGACCCGTTTTGTACACAGATAAGAACTCACTACTAGACAAAATTTAAGACAAATAAGGGGCCTCAAGCTCAAGCTTCTCTCACAAAACATCGCCACCTGACCAACGAAAGAAAACACAGCTATCAATCAATCATCATTTATTCGTCAACACAATTTAAACATGGTATGATATATGAAAAGATATTACAAATACAAGTGGAAACTAACTTAAATTGTGTGACAGGAGTCGCGAGGGACCTCAAGAGGTCTTCAGGCAGCGACACCTACAACGCTTGTTGATTCAGGTTAATAGCTTAAAAAGTTAATGAAACACCAAAACATTTCAAAATAAAAAAGAACATTTTCAGAAAACAAAAAATACCAAATATCCATCATAAGTATTTAAAATAAAAAAAACATAACTTCCTGGTTACGAGCATGTTTTTTTATTATTTAAATCAGTGACCAAATTCATAAAAGATGAAATGCACTGTATGAATTAAACGGTTGCACGAAAAGACATAAAATATGTTATATATTGATGTGGAGTAAAAAAAATATAACGATTAACTATAATTCCCTCTAGACTGAATCTTTCAGTATCTGACATGATGTACGCAAGGTCTTTAACCCTTTCCATGCGATTTTTATTTTTTATTAAATAATCGTATCTGCTACGCCGACCCCATGCATACGCACCCCCACAACTAATCGATCGACCAACGGAAAAGCAATGATCCTAGTGAGGAAGTCATCTGCGTTCTTTCTTTTTTCCAATAAATCCAATGTCAAACTTAACAGTAGTCCGTATTTTGCTTTTGATCCGATAAAAAAAATATTACAATTTTACTAGAAAGAAGAAATGAAGGCAGAACATGTCATCATCATCAGTCATCACGTTGAGCAAATCAAGAAGATCGTATACAGCTCTGTCCCGCCATCTTGCGATTAGGCCTCGGACCATCGTTCAACACGCAGAGACGCAACAGTTCTGAATGTTCTTGCGACATAGAAAGTCGTGGCTTGCGATGTGATATACATACCCATCCTCATCCAACAGAAAGTTGTGTCACAAAAAAAATAATTGTCAAATCGTAACAAGGGGCCCTTGTTTTTGTATTCCAACTTTTTCTACCACAGATAGATAAAATGTAACGATCGCGCACCAGTCAATACTCGTTCAAACGCGGCGAACAAAAATTGCATCCTGGGCAAGATATAATTTAATTTCTGAGTGTCAAATTTTCAAATGAATACAATATATTATTACAAATATTTTAGAGCAATTACTAAATAATGTACTTATTTTAAATTAATCGGTATCTCAATTTTTGCAATCTGAATTCCCTTATTACTATATATTTTACTGTTGCAGTGTTCCCCTTTTTTGCACTCAGGTACATAAAATGACATGTTAACACCCTGTTGCCTCAATCCTTTCATTTTCCTTCATCTTCTATCTGGAATTAGATCTGACCACTAACAATTGTGTGCATATTGAACCCATCTGGGAAATGGCTTTTCGTTTGAATATCGGATTTTCATTTTTTGGCAGAATGAAACTGTAGTTTATAATTTAACATTGTGTGTTCTTCTTTCTATTTTTATTCCCTGAAATTAAGTTCCATTAGTATTCCACTACTAGCCCTACAAGTCTCATTTTATTTCTGGCTTTCAATGCCTCCATGTACAATATTTCACTTGATACGTATTTTCAAAGCGAGAACACTCAAGTAATAATACAACTGTCTCATTCTAGCCAATTGATGGAGTATATTAGCATCACCTATGGATGTGCACTTTTTTTCTTTTTTCTCTGTACCTTATAAACTGTTCAAATTTATTTTGTTACTTTGTAATGATTTTGTCTAATGTCTTTAGATATATGCTGCCTAAATGCTTTCACCATTTACACAAAAAGTTATTGTGTATCCCGATTCCACGCAATTGATGCATCCATTTACTCAAAAATACATATTCATGTAAAATTTGATCAATAAAATTTGATCAACTTGATCAAGTGTGCAACATGTCCGAATTTCTATTTAACTTTAAACGCCTATATGTTATTGCCTATTGTGTATACGCAAATATTTTGGTAATTGTTCTTTCTTTCCATGGAAATTTAATGTTGTTTTTGGACACACCTAAAATATGTTGAAACATATCTGAAGCATTTTTTATTCATGTTTATTGATATTAATGTTGGGTGGTAACAGTCTTCGATGACCGCAATGTCGTATCGTTGCCACCCAGTCTATACCGAGAATTGTTTCGCTTTTTATTAATTATGTTTTTGTTGTGTATATGTTTTCTGGTGGACAAAACAAATAAACTCTCTCTCTCTCTCTCTCTCTGCAAGCAGACAATCTTGCAATCTGAGCCAACGAGACATGTCATTGAGTGGTATATTCTTTAGATCAGTGGTTCTCAACTTGTGGTACGCGTACCACTAGTGGTGCGTGGGGGATTTCAAGTGGTAAGCGAGCAGGTTGGAATTATTGCAACAATTAACCTTTCAGTTGGCTAAAATATGCCGGCAAAGCTTTATCTTCCTTACTGTATGTATTCGCTGAACAGCGTTTATGGATGTTTCCCTAAGCATCAGTTTCCTTGTTTATTTCCGTAACCAATCAGCAATAAGTCAATAATGACGTAACACGTAACAATTGCAATTCCTGCACCCGGCCCCGCAAACAGATGCTGTATTCAAGCATGGTTGCAAACATTTCCTCGTTTTTGTAGTTTTGAATGATATCTGTCAGTTTTCAGTAGTGTTTCAAGAAAATAACTGTGAATTATAGATAGATAGTTTATTTTGAAAACTCCACAATCCGACAATACAAACAAATAAAAAATGGAGAATTCTGGAGAATTTATTAACTTAATTGTCATCATGTCTTCCGCGGAACTTTACTTTAGTTGCAGAAATTAAAAACGAATCTCGCAAATGCTGCGATGGACAAGGCTAAACGTAGCTATATCAATACCCGCAAACAACACATGGTTGGTTAATTTCAATAAAAATGATGGTTTCAAACACGTAAACCTGCTTATAAGCGCCAACACATCAAAACACTCTCAGAATAAGTATAAATTTTACAATAGTAAAGTATAAGGATAATTTTCCGGGGCCAATAGTCGGGGAAATGTCCATAGCGCTGGTGCGCTACCAGACCTTGTCTTTAGAGATCGCCCTCGCCCGCTTCGCCATTATTAAATGAAGCGATATGGGCATATCTTTGTCCTTTTTGCGTGTTACGCCACAAAGGATGTAGTGTCACAGTATAAAATACTCCCACGGCACGTTTCTTGTGTCCTCAGGGTTGCCATATTGGCTTTTTTAACGCTAAATTTGCCATTTGCTTTTTTCAAACGCGTTTGGCGTCAGAATTTCCGTTTGGCTTTTTGGCGTTTTTTTGGCTTTTTTCAAGGCTATTCTAGTGTCTATTATTAAAATCATATGAAATACAATATTTAGTGTGTAACAACTGATGATTTCCTGGAGCATCAATTTCCTTGTTTGTTACATTAAATCTCACCCATACCCAAAGCGTATATATTCTGCAGCTGCTCAGACAGATGTTCAAGCAGGGTTGTAAACATTGTCTCGTTTTTATAGTTTTGCGTGTTATTTGTCAGTTTACGTTCTGTTTCCAAAAAAATGATTGTATAACTCAATTTTCATTATGCCTGATATGGTTTATGTGAGCTTTCAGCTTTAGTTTAATTCTGCAATTGCAGTAACGATGTGATCAACTACGCTAAAATTACTGAATTTGATATCAGTGGTCCACCTGTGAGCGGCAGGGGGTTAGATAATTTTTTAATAAAATTGATGGTATATAAATTTTAAAAGTAAAAAAATTTTCAATAGTAAAGTACGATATAGAGAATATTTTTAAAGATGTATCACAAGTTTAAGTAGAAACATATTGTAGGTATATTACATACTGACAGACTGAAGCGGCACTCTGTATTGTATATATTGAATGGTAAAATAATGCTGCCCGCTTGATATTTATTTTACTTTCTACAGTTCTATAGGAACTTTACTTTCTATTTGTGTGCCTCACTGAATGAACTGATGGCTCTACATCATCATCAGTACGTTGCCAAGGGATTAAAATCTGACAAATCATGGGGCTTTTGTACTTAGTAAAATTGTTGGCTTTTTCTGGCTTTTTTATGTCTTGATTTGGCTTTTTTTTATCGCTGGGGTCTGGCAACCCTGTGTGTCCTTTTCCCCACGCCGGAAAGGAGCTTTGTCGGTGGTACTCGGCCATAGTAAAAAACAGTAAAGTGGTACGCGGTCAGTAAAAGGTTGAGAACCACTGCGTTTAGATCTTCGTATTTAATTATGTACGTAAAATTCAATACAACAGTAATTGGACTGGTTGAATTCAAAAACCTACATGTTCAGGAAATGTTAATCGATAACATGTTGACAATGTAAAACACATAAGAAGATAGCATTTTGTACCTCCTGCATTCGAATTCTTGACCATCAGGGCATAACATGCTTTTTGCGTAGGACTAAGAGCTGACAAATTCGTTGCCCCTTTTGTGCTGTGTTGGGAGAGAACGTCCTCGTGTTCATCTGCTGCATTGGGATACTAGGTTGAGTTCATTGATGGCGAGAGATACTTGTTCTACTCATTATCTTACTACATTGTCTGGAATTGTTGCAACTACAGTTATTGTTTGCATGGCGTACGGGTAATAATATTTACTAAATTTTGTGTATAGTTAGTTAAAAATACAGCTACTCGTATATGCGAGTATTTTATTATGTATGCTATTTGGGGCATGATTGCTAAATGTATTCGTTACAGTACTTCTGTTAAAATATAATGTTTAATTTATAATTATTCATCTGAAACATGGCAATGAGTTACGATGCTTTTATACCTTGCCGTCAACCCACCTACAACTTTCGTTATATATATCATTCGAGTAGACAATAAAACCACGTTAAATAAGGAGGGACAGAAAGGTGATTATTTGTAGACTCCAAAGGTTATTTATTATCTTTGTTCAAAAAAAATCAGATCATCATTCATTTTCAGATTGGGACTTCAGATTTTCAGGTACAGGGAAATCAAGTTTCTACGTCCCCAATTTGCAACCGTTACGAAGTCAACGCCTAATGAAATATTAGTTGAAAACACGTCTTTTCCTTTTAAATATTATAAGCCACTGTTGGATATATCCGTCGACATTAAAAACTATTGGTTATATTTTCGATCTGTTGTGAATAGGATGGATTTAAAGAACAAAACAAGTACAGTCGACGATGGCTACGTGTGAGTAAACTTTCGCTACGAATCATATAAAACATGATAATTAGAATAATATATTTTTATGTTGCATTCTAGGAGTTTGCCCCTAACAAGGTTCTAGTTTTTTGAGGGATTATTCGTTTACTTGATCAAAAGAAAAGACTGTGCTGGGGGAACTCATGTAATCTTTCTCAAAAACTCGATATGACTGGGTTCATCTGCACAAATCGACTCGACAAATTGTCAGATAGGCTCGACTCGAGCATAGTCATCTACAACTTATTAATAATAAGATATTAAAAATGCCCTAAGGTTTCAATAATATTTAAAATGATTTGATCCAGGGTCGTTTTAGTTTGTCCATTATTGCAAAATTGTAGACAAATTTGCCTAAATTTGTATTTAATCGATTAAGTGCAATGCAAAGTGGAATAAGGAGTTTAATGGGAATAACGTTACCAGAAAGGCAACATCGACTGAAAGCAATGTCAGACCACATAGAAAAGAAGATAGTGGAACTTCAGGTACAGTAATATCGAATGTTTTGAATATCGTAGCCGACATTCCATAAATACAAAGACAAATTGAAGAAAAGATTGTTAATTTAAAATGTTACAAATTACAATTACTTTCCAGAAATATTTAAACTCTGAATTTTAATTAGACAAATGCATGATCTGCTTGATTTATCGATATTAGGAAATCTAAAACATGAATATGATAAACTTCATTTTCTAGATGAAATATTTCATAATAGCATTTGAAAGTGTTCAAATATTACTAAGGATTCATGGTCTGATCAATTTTTATCTACCACGGAATTATTGGGAATGTGGACATTTATATTATATATTAAAAATCACCTTTGATGGCGTATAATCATATATTTTGCATTGCAAACGTGTTGCTAATTCTCCCCTACCTTACAAAAACATTCTAGTTCTGATTCAAATGAGTGAAGGCTCTGAACTTTGTATGTCCCTCTGTTGTTGTCACTAGAGGTGGAATAGTGCAGATACCATGGACTCGACAACAAACTAGTTCTCAGATCTGCCGATCGCTTTGCTTGCTTTTATGCAATTTATTTTTTAGTTTCCTCATGACTGCAAAAAAGCCAGATTATTGCTATGCGACATCGGCAATTTTTGTGGATTTGGATGCACGCTGCACTCACTCATAAACTGTCTTCTGCAAGCATTTGTTGCGGGTCGAACCATGGTGTTCAGGTCAAAAGGATGGCAGTATGCAGATGAAGGTTGGGAATATGCATTTCTTGCGTTGGGAAAATGTAAAGATGAGAGACAACTGACCTCCATTCCAAAATTATCAGGTTTGTGGAAAAATAATTTTTGCCACAGTTATTGACAAATGTCGTATGGATAACCCAGTATCAACCAAACATGGTACATCTTGCTAAACGTTATGAATATGCTCGCCATCGCACCTCTAATTACCCTGCCTGACTTTGCAGGTTCGAATCTTGTGAGGGATAATTATGTGCCAGAGGATTGCTGGACTCCTCGCCGCCGCAGGGTAGTTCACGTAAACGCTGGGCGGCTACAGCTACATCCACTATCAATTCCATGCGTCTGAAAACATATAACTGGCTAACTGATCCTCTACCCGACATGAAATGGTAACCGGACGAGAGGTCGTGGTTCGCCACACGATTGAACCGTGCTATCGCCATCCTTATCCTCGGGTAAATATGTAAATCCTATCATGTTAAAAAACAAGACGAAGGTAACTGACTAATATAGTCATCGCAATGTTAACAAAATGTTTGAAGGAATTGTGCGCAATATCATATGTAGGTGTGCCTGCATGTAAATTAAATAGCAACAGAATTTCACTCGATAAAGCAAAATCTGGAGTGAAATATCGGACCCTCGTAGGAAATAAAAGTCATAGACTTTTAGCGATTTTTTTCGATATAATGCCGCAAAATACATTTCGTTTTTTCAAATAGTATCTTTTAGTTCCCGCTACGAAACACCGTGACATTTCAGTATTCATAAGAGACATTGCAAGTCAGACCTAGTCGCGTCAGCGTTCAGAGCAAGAAATCGCAGTCGTACCTCTTTTTGAATCAAATCGCAACAGGTCAAAGGTTATGAATGTTCCTAATTCAATTTAATAATTGTATTTCTAACTATTCTCGTCGTGGTTATTTCTAATTGATGTCAAGAGGCGAGCGAATCAGAAAGAGTTGTCGGTTTAAAGTCAAAAGTAGAATCTTGGATTCATTGGTCCATTCCAACCGAACTTGAATCGGAGTTGAAACAGTTGCATGGTCACCCATATGGATGGTGGTTGTCCCGGTTCACATCATACGTTTTCAGATTGAAACCATGGCTGAAGAAACATTTACAAACAGTTGAAGAAGAGATAAACTTTGAATCTTCTGTGGTTGGGTAAGTAGTTCATTACGGCTATATTAAATTCCCATACTATGTAAAGAATAATATTTCACTAATTTGAAATATTATAGTAAAGTCGTCATTTTTTATTTTGTCAAATCAAATTAAAACAAAAAACAGGAGACAAAAAATTTGACCCAAAAGTTCGAGTATAAATCTATTTTAATCATTCAAAATCAAAATAGGACAATAGTGACAATACCGTTGGAATATCCAAAGAGTTTCATTTGAAAGTTTTAACCTAAATCGTACACAGTACTTCCTCCATATAACAATACTCCTATAAATGTAGAATTCACGTCAGATGGGGGGATAAAATCAGGAAGGAGGCCGAAAAACATCAAGTTGAAGAATACATGGTGTTTGTCGAAAGATGGTTTGAACAACTTGAACACAGTGGCCAATCAGTAAACAGAACGGTATATCTGGCAACTGAAACTCCAGCAGTTGTGGCAGACTTGACAACGAGGTCAATTACACTATTTTGTAGAGTTTCCTGCCCTATTTCCACTCAAACAGCGGCTAAGTTCATATCCCAGGAGCATAGTTTTCTATAACTATTCGGTAAAACATTCTGATTCGGTGCATGGCGGATAAAATGAATGATAAACGTTCATTCCAATTGATAAGATATGTAAAAAAAAATTTGTTTGTATTTTATTCAATAAAACTTAATGTCTGACATCCACGTTTACATTTTCAAGTTTTCGTTTCACTAATTCTGAAATTCGTTTTAAAATAAATAAATATTTTCAGATATCCGAATTTCAAGTTTATCGGCAGTCGTCTGGTAACCACTAAAACTAAACCAAGGTCACGTTATGAGCAAGGAGGATTGGAAAGTGTTTTATCAGATATTTATTTCTTATCTAAATGCGACTACCTTGTATGTACTTTGTCATCTAGCGTAAGTGTTTTGGATTTGTTTAGCCAGAATATATACTTCGTGTTTTATTCCCTATTCCTTTACTGCGCTTTTCATTGACTGATGTACTGACTGACACCTTTCTCTTGTTTCGAAAAGTATAAATTCCCAGCAATCAAGACCTAATTGTCCCAATCCAATTCAACTTCAAAATCACATAATACAACATGAGAAAATCATAAAACCTGGAAAATTCTCGTTTTTAGTCCCGGTTCAAAGATAAAGAATCTCCATAAAGATTATTTCTGAGTTCAGATATAAATTAACTATATAACATATCATTGCAAGCGAATATGATAATTTTTAATGTTAACGAATAACTCGTTTTGAAGGTCTGTCGCACTGCTTATGAATTATTGAACAATCGTCATGGAGATGCAACAACAAGATTCCAGACTGTAGATACTTGGTACAGATTGAAAAGAAATTTTCGGAATCCTTGGATTGCTATCATGGATCACAATCCAGTCGAACCAGACGAGATACAACTTCGCAAAGGTGATCAAATAACAGTTACACTAAGTGCTCACATCCCCACGAACGATGGATTCCTGAGAGGCACTAACCAGAGGACGAAGCAACAGGGAAAATTCCCAGTATTCAAAGGTCGTGAACAAGTTTTTTCTTATAATGTATCAGAACTATATGATATAACGTATCCTTGGGTATAAGAAATCATACCTGATCATTACCGACAAGGCATAAATACGAATGCATCTGGAATAAACTCGAATCCATGTTCATAATTAACATTAGTACTGCTTTTGTTGCGACTTACATGATTTAAGAGAATAGAGAATAAACGTGGCGTCATTGCAAGCCTGGGCTCATTGTAACATCTTCCGAATATTCCTCAACCTAAGAGTATTTTAGTTATCATGGATTTTCGTTAATAAATTTCTAATTCAACTATTGACTGCAACAAAGTATCAATATTAAACACATTTGGATAAAAAAAACGCTCGTGTTAAGTTCTTCAACTCGAAAGCAAGTCGATTTTCAATAAATTCATGAAAATTTCCTCTGTAGGGAGGAATTTATAGGGATATTAGCACCTAGTCTTGAAGTTTTTAATTTCACAAGTCAATTTTTAAAATTGTGGCTGATGGCTGTCATTGTACTTTATTCATATTCTGTTTGTATATCAACTATAGAATACTAGATCAATCATAGATCCTCTTCATTTAATTTGCTGTTTTTTTTCGTCTGACAACTGGGCCTAACTTAACGTAAAGATCTCTAGAATTTAGCTGGTAAGAGTCTCATACGAACGAGCGGTAGCGATAAGTAAATTACTTTGTCTTATTGAATACTTGAAACATGTCAGACTCTTCGATGAATCAAATATTTACGCTTAGCAGATGTTCTAGATCTGTCGTCGCATTTCAGAACTATCAGCAGAAAAAAGGAAAAACTAGATTACCAGTCGCATGTTGTCATAAAAAGCATTTTGTGTTACGGTTGAATATGAGGTACATAAACCTATTTGATAATACTTTTTGCATAGCTGAGTGGAAGACAGCCGAAATTTTATTGGAATTCCAACGCAGACAATGTATTTGATCCGTATCTTCTCATAAAATATTGTATGCTTATTAGGCTTCACTGAACGCCAAGTAAAAGTGGTGAAGTTATCTATACTTCTTCAAGCCTGATCCAAGTCCCAACAATAAAATACAAACACGAACTCTGGAAATTATTTATTCCAAATCTAGGGGGTTTCCGAAAGTGAAATCCAGACATAAATTAAAATGTGTTGGAAGTCACGTGATCAAATTTACGAGTTGTTGTGAACGATAATAAATGTTTTACAATTCCAATCCAAATTTGCCTCGGCTTGCATGGATCTGATCACAACTAGCTTTAGATTGCGATCAACGACCTCTCGCCATATTGTCAGTCCAGATGATTGGAATTGGTGCCTTAGTGATGATGACTGAATTTACATTGCATTATTAGGATATAAATACATAGGAGACCTATTTTAATTACGTTAGTTTCAAAACCAATGTATTTGTTTTAAAATCATCATAAATTGTCATATACACTGATTTAATGGTGGCGATGATGTTTTTCATGATGATGATGTTTTTCTCCTGGACATACAAGGGATGGAATATGGCTGTGATGGATAACGTAGGTACTGATAGATCCAAGTATCGTTCTCCTCAATGTTCCTTGACCACGAGAACCGATCACGATCAAATCGACAGTATGCTTCTTAGCCGATTCGACAATAGCATGGCCCGGACCGTGAGTGTCCTCCGATACGATTAACACTTTATGCTTCATCTAACAAAGGGAAATGAACAAAACGAGATGAAAATACAATATTTGACTCGTCTTTAGTACAAAACAAAAAATGTAACCTGTTTTTTCTTCGAACGGATTTTGAATGACGACTGTTTTAATATCACGTGTTCAACTTAGTCGATAATTAGTGTAAGAAAAAGAATTCTTTCTAATTCCCATATTTAAAAGTTTTGTACAAATTGATTTACTCTTTTATCCCTAACGACTTTCGCAAACCTGTCCCTAAATTAATTGAAATTTTTCATCACGATGTTCAAATATTGGAATGCAATACATTTTGCTGGTAAATGGTTATAAAACTATGACAAAAGATTTACGACCAGGAAAAAATTTGATATGCGTATTAGCTATATACATAGTACTGCGCAAAGTACGTTTAAGCGTGTGCAATGTCAATTTTAAATATATATTGTTGGCAGAATCTACTGACAAAATAATTCTGTGTTGACCACAAAACTAGTGTGAATAAATTATTTATTACGATTTACCTTGGAAATATTACATTTTGCATTAAACTTGTCTTCGAGTTTCTTGTTTTTCTGTTTTAGTTCTGCCACTCGATCTCTCATTTCGTCCGCACTGAATCCAACACCCTCTGCAATTGAATAGTTTATAACAAATTGACTTAAAATACATTCACGTTAATTGCGCCAAAGGTGGAGTGCAAAATTTGATTTGAAAATCGGCGCTTCAGGAGTGTGTGTACCAATACGGAGGGAACTAATTTCTTTCATCTATTTTACATCAAGTTGTGTAATGGGCTGAAACCTATGGGCAAGGGGTATATTCACTTGGCTAACACAGACACCCCGAACTCGCATATAATTAAAATAAGGAAAATCGGAATAAAGTTATTGCCTAACCCCAACCTGGTACACACACTATACGGGAGTACTTGAAAATCTAACATATACATTTATAGAGTTTGAGTAATCATATGCTAATTAATTGAGAGGGATATGATACGTTGGATCATCGGAATTCTATTTTTTTTTATGTGTAAAATGCCCATTAAACCAATAAGTATGGCCTCGGAATGCATTTCTAATATTCTAATGTGTAAGATAAATATGTAGATAATTGGAGACATAGTGTCAGAATATCACGATGAACGCAGGGCAATAACACTGGCTAGTCTCTAACAAATCAGTACCAACCTAATATCCAAAATGGAACAGGTTTGACAAGGTACAAGGAATTTATAGCAAAATATATTTTGTTTTATAGCATGAAATTGTATGTAACGTTAATATGCCAGATACCTATTCAGTTTTGTAATCCTCGTGGTTAGAGATAGCTAACATTCCTGTCCACCACTTCGGACACATCGGATTTTGAATTTTTCTCTTGCGAATATTCAATCGAATGTCTGGCATTTTTGATCGAAGGCTTTTCATGCAGACCGTGTATCAAACTTTCACGTCAGAAGCATGTAAATAACACAATTCATGGTGCAATGGCTTCGCGATTTTTCTGCTTACTGCAACAAAGCCGGTGGAGACAATGCGCACCATGTAATAAGTAATCCATTGACAATATTAACTCTGATGTCTGAACGTTGTGGACCGTTTTGCAAACAATTTGCTCTATTATTTATTGTATAGTTATTACGGGATATTTAGGAGTACGTATGATACAGTAATAATGTTAGGACTTCTCAAAGAAGCCTACCACAGAACAGTCTTGGCATTTGATAAGTAATTGATCAATTTATCAATTGTACTCCTCGTGTTATGTATATATATATTGTAAGTTCCGATTAAGATCTTTCTTGTGCTGATAGTGAACGAACCCAACGATATAAATCTTTGGATTGTATTGAAATTCGTGAAGTAATATCACGAGTAGAATTTTGTGGATTATACCTGAGATACTGTATCGACATGTAAAATTTAGCGCGTCATGGACGCACCAAGAACGTCTTGTGATACTCATTCGTTTCTACAAATAGATGCCGGAAATTTGAAATCATGTATTGCAACTGAAGGCCAATTGTGCAAAATGTAATGCTTAATCAAACGTCAATATTTGCACAACGTCAATGGGCGTGTAAATCGTTTCAACCGGCGATCGTGTAATAACCGAATGCTCGGATATTCCTAAACGCAACGCGATATTTTATGTGTTATATCGAAACACATTGTACTTATACCTTTTTAAAAACAGGCCATTACTTGAACTATCAAGTGTAAGGGGAGAAAAAGAGGAAAAACTTTCATAAAGATCGCACACTGAGAGGCGGCGAATATATTGAAACCAATCATGTAACCCTGTCGCCGAATGGAAATATACTCTCGAAATCTTGTAGGCCTACTGAAATGCATTCGTCGCGATAGCTACATCCGACAGACCACATTAGTCAAAATGAACGAAAGGCTCGTGGGAGTTTATACGTAACCAGACTGTCTGGCAGAATATTTTTTTGTATTGAAAATTAATTAATTTTAACATGAGTAGGCCTATGGAAAGTCATATAGTTAATAAAAAATAAACGAACCTGAAAACAGTGCATACGTTGGCATCTTTACTTGATCAGAGACGTAAAATACGATAACTTCATTTCCCGGGCGGTGAACATGTTCGGCATAGTCTACAAAATTGAATTCATATAGTCAGGACTAAACAGATTGCAGTGTATAGATAAGTAAAGAGTAGGCTAGTTATCTTTCCCCAAATTCAGTATTGAAATATTTTTGACTTCAAAACTTACAATTAAAAGCGTGTTCAGCATTCTCGCTGTTGTCGACTGCAATCATAACACGAATTGGTTTCCCATGCTGTTCTTCTTGTTGTGCTTCTGCCATGTTGAGTTTGAGCGATCGCACTTGGCACCGGCGTCTCTGACGAGAAAAATAAAAGTGAAGTAAGTGAGCAATTCAATCGTATATTTCCATCGTCAGCAGAACTGAGAATTTGTAATGCTGATGCGACACCAGGCGGATGGATATATACAACTAAAAGCTCTAGAAATATGGCAAAATGAAAAACAAAGAATGTTTCCCTTCTTCAATCACAAAGCAAATTTCTCCTTGCACTTTGCCATTGCTATTCTTTATTTTTTGTGTTTCACGAGTTGCCATTCACTAAATAGTTGGCTAACAAATGGCTAACTAACCATTTCGATTCAAAATATTCGGTCACTGGGCCTAAAAAAGTATTGGCAACTAATTTTAGCCTTGTCTACCCCAGCTTTTTGAGACAGTTTTTTTATTTAAACTAAACCTCCCTCAGATAAAAAAAAATGACCCGTGAGGTATTTAAATTACCCCTCAAATTTGGAAACATAACTAAAATTGATAAAAAGCAGTCGAAATTATAAACACTAGTCCTTATTCTAAATTTAAAAAAACTTGACTTGTACAATGATTTAGTGCAATAGAACAATTTAAACTAAACCTCCCTCAGATAAAAAAAATGACCCGTAAGTTATTTAAATTACCCCTCGAATTTGGAAATATAACTGAAATTGATAAAAAGCAGTCGAAATTATAAACACTGGTCCTTAATCTAAATATAAAAAAAACCTGACTTGTACAATGATTTAGTGCAATCAATGACATTAAACAACATGATGCGCAACTCCGGCATTTTTGTCCGAAGATCGTATTCGATAGCACGCTCCAATGCACATACTTGACGAGACGAAAACGAGCGGATGTGTGCTGCTTTCAAGGCGTAGCACGAATGGTGTTCGTGCCTGCTTTGACAGTTGTTGTCGATTTTAATGATATTTTTGAAAGTTGGGGTAAAAAGAAATCGGTAAAAGGTAAGGTGAATACTATTGTTGTATATCACACCCGGGCATCGCACTGTTAAGTACATGTGGGAAAGCCAGCCTTTGTCAAATACTACGAAGTTATTAATTCAGTACGGTACGTAGTTGCCCATTTGCCGAAATTACATATTTACTTACCCGTTATGGTTTCAAATAGTTCATGCACCTCCAGTTAGATTTTTTTAATCAGTGAGGATATATACTCATTGTTGATTGCTGCTCATTGTAACATACTATTACGCATTCACTTTTATTTGCGTATTGAATCAAAGTGTTAACAAGTTCACCTAACATTTCACTCATACCGGTCTATATTGTATAGTCTGATTTCTCAAGTATTTGGAGCCACGAATGCTTGTAATTTTCTGACTAAACCCTTTTATTAGTTGGTTTATATACCAAATTCAGTAAAATATTTTTTAAATAAAACATGAGATATTGGATTTATTAGCTTTTCCATTCTGAATCATATAGACTGCTTTATTTATTCTTAACGAAAATTAATAAATCTCCTCTCTTTCTTCAGATGTGAAAGTTGTGGACAAACCTGTCTAAGCATTGTGAGACTCTTGCAGCACAAGAGGCAATGGCAGAAATAGTAAGTATATCAATCAAGAAATTAAGCTGACATAAAGCAAAACTTTCAACTATTCGTCTAATCTCAATTTCCTATTATTTATTCACAGGACAACTATAGCAGACGGGGAGATATCAGAAGTCTGGCGACATATCAGTGACAGTGTGATTCCAAGAAATATAATGCAATTGAAAATAGAAATTTGCAATAGAAAAACAACCTATGGAGGCATGCAAAGACATTTAACCCTCCGGTAGAGTTGTGTATGGCCCCCACATCCTGCAGGGCTTGAGGAAAATAACTAAAAATTCCAAAGCGTAAGATTGCTTGAGCGGTCTTATTTGTAAAAAGGCACAAAACACGCCAGACATACTTAAAACAGCTTTGGAAATGAGGATTACGGGTACCTCACTGCACCTGTGTTATATTTGGTTCATCAACTTTTGGTAGTACTATAGAAGAAATTCCGGAAGGGGTATAATCATCATTCATGATGAAATACTATCATATATTTTTTGAACAACTTCAATCTAGACCAGGGATCTCAAACTCGCGGCCCCAGAGAACTTCCAGTGCGGCCCTCGATTAACAATAATTGTAATAGTATTTTGGAAGTTTTTTTTTTATCTAAATGTAATAGATTTTTCAAACCTTCTAAAGTGAAATTGATTATTCACACAGAAAACAATTTACTGAAAGTAGTTTTGGAATATTGATTTTTTTTGTCCACATTTTGACCCGATTAAGAATACACATCAAGCTAGCAAAAGAATACTTGAATAAAACACTTGAGTAATTAAATTAAACGCAAAGTACATGAAGAAGGTGGCATTTTCGAAGAAAATGGGAGTTGTAACATTTCTGCTCTTCACAAAATTCTGAAGCACATTGTTTAATTTGTCATATTTCCATCAATACAATCAAAAAACACAATAAGCTCAGCAGTCAATATGACAAATTCGAAGACCAACTTCGAACAGAAAATTTCCATGTGTTTGTATATTAATATAATTATACAACGACTTAGTTACTAAAAATCAATATCAATAATAATTCAAGCAATCCTATGCCACGCAATGTAGTGCGAAATGTCTTGTCGAAAAAATCTGTCATTTGTTTTTTTACTGATCTATACATGAAATGATAAAAGTAACTTTTTTGCATTACTGGAATTAATTAAACATTCGTAAAGATCCAGATAAACCCATGATCATGTGGCCTCGTTAGTTAGAGTTGGTACTATAAAATCATTTCAGACTGGCCTTAGTATGCTGGTGACACAAAAAAGATGCCAAACGCCAGGACAAATGTAATTATTAAAACATTGAGTTTATACTGTAGTATTTTTGTTAATTTTAGGTTCATATATTTAGATTAAGTTATTTTTAGTGTATGTATTATTCTTTCCTTATTCAAAGCTTGTTCAAAAATGATTTTGATGGTTGTACATAGAATTTTACGATTTTAATAAATACTGTACCTTGCAAATGTTGCAATAATAGTGGAATGCAAATATTAATAGGTAATTGCATTTGAAATTGAAGAAAATAATAAAACTTAATCCAACTGTTTAGTTGCATCACAATATATGTCACAAACTAAAACTATCTTAAAAATATCTTTTAAGTATACATTATCAAAAACTGTTTGCGGCTCTTTTTACAATTTTCAAAATGCAATGCGGCTCTCGAAAACCCATGAGTTTGACACCACTGATCTATTCTAGACGATTCAAGCATTGCTTTGGGAGATTATATCACTTCAATTAAATTGAAATAATCTCGCTATATTAAATACAAAATCGTTGCTATCATAAAGGTAAACCAATTCAGCCACTCGAAATATATTGGCCTTCACAAAGCAATGGAGGCAAAATTGAGAGTTCATGAGCTATGAACATTTGTCTTTTTCTTTGTCTTGAACTTTCCATACTCCACAGCCCCTATTAATTTTTTTTTAATTTTAATTACCATGTGATGGTCATACATATCTTTAACTTGTATTTTCTGTCATGATGTATTATCTCAATGTGCCAAACTATTAATTAGTGTGCATATTTTGCTTCCAGATGACATAAATGTATTGTCATGTTTATTACCTCAGCTTGGAGTATTGACAAGAAAAAGGTGCCAGTAAATTAGGTAAAAAAATTTTCAACTCATTGTTATAATCAGACTTCACAATCAATAGGAATTATAAACAGCTAACAATCAGTGAGAATTATATGCGAAATTCCTCAGAATAAATTTGTCTAAAATCGGAGGAAGGCAAAAAATATAGGTAGTTTCCATCCACACAAGCATTTCAAGGAGACTTGCTCGAGCCAAACTAAATGAGCATCGTCAGGAGATCGGTAAGGCTGCAAGTTGAATTCAGCCCTGCAACCTCCTGCATAGAAGATAATATTAATTAGTGGGCTATGAGCTAAATTCCTAAATTTAAACAAACCTCTATGATGCATTATGTACCAGCAATGTTACCTACGATTAACTGAATATGTAATATGTCTAATAAATTCACCTACAAAAGCAAGTTCGATAGGTGCAAACTTTGTGTTATGGAATTGTATCGCAGCACAGTTTTGTATGACACCCTCTTTAAATGAAATTTCAATGATTAAGCGCAAACATTAAAATTACTAACTTTGAACTTTGTCATTATCTGCAAAATGTTCCACACAAATCTTTCCGCTATCGCGTTTGTAATCTTCTCTGATAAAAAAAAAACGTCTATGATGTCCAGAATTGCTCTTTACAGCTTGCCTGTTATTCCAGCTTTCCAAGTAAGCAAAACTTCTTAGATATAGAGATTATTTTGTTTCGTTACAGGCGCAAAAAGCAGGTACTACACGTAAAAAAGACGCCGAGTAGCAAAAGCGAGCGGAAAACGGACGCGAAAGGCGACGAGAAATATGTGCATTGGAGCGTATCATGAAATACAATGTTTCGCCTGTGGTCTTATGGAGTGACGTCAGAGTTGCCTATCATGTTGTTTAATGTCATTGGTGCAATAGAACAACGATTAGTGGAGTGCAATAAGAATGTCAAAGCAATACTCAATTCTGAGTATTCAGTCTATACTAATTCTAGACTAAATTGAACCCTTTTCGGGCGTGAATTCTGGCTAATAGCAAATCAGTGTTGGTTACATGTCCAATCTAGTGTTATAAAACCGCATGGCGTTGAAGATTCTTTGGCATGGCACGGATCTTTTCAAATCAACAGGAAAACAATTGTGTTTAGTCAGATCAAATATAGCGTTGGCTTAGATATATAGTTATTTTTTGTCTCTCAACACTACTTGATATTCTGTTCTGATGTTTTTTTAGGTATACTAAGATAATATGCAAATTGTCCATTTCAGACTAAGTTGTATAGTTAAAAATGAATAAGTTTTATCAAGGAGCTTGTTCATCGAAACACAGTGATGCTGTTGGTAGAAGTGCAAGCGTAGATATTATTCCTACTTACTGCTTCCGGGTCGGAGGATTATTCTCCCCATAGCAACTCGGAATGGTTTCAAATATTTGCTTACAAGCTTGATGCGATAATTGGTGTTGTAGTCGTCAAAGCAATGTTGTCAAACATTATATTTTTGTGATTCTGTGAATGCAGGAGCGCTTGGCGATGGTGGAACCACGCATTGATGTTTGGAAAACAGGTGATTTGAAAAGTAGTTTTGCAATAAATATGCCGCAACCCCCAAACTTGTTGGCTAGCGCGCAGAAATAGGAGAACGCACAACATTCTATAAATTTTCGTGAGTTTTATTATGTAATATAAACAAGTGAACGAAATATGAAGAAAAAAAAATACAATGCTGCCAAAAGTTGCAATATTTCATTTATATTTCTTTCTTTTTGGCAAGTTGGGAGTTGGCCCTTGAGAAAAATGGTCAATAATATAAGGCAACATAAGAAGATAAACATGGTGCGATAAACCAACAAATCTCACAAAACGAAATTCTTGCTGCATATTATAATGTAATCAAAAATTGAAATTTTATTGCTGGTATATGGCTGACCGAAATTGAAAGAAATTAATTCGCTGACAAATTTCCAAGAACAAAAGAAATAAATCGCCAAAAACTGTTATTGAATAAGATCATAACAGTTGACAAAGTGTAGCAAAAATTCTACCAAAAGGAAAAATTCATAGATGTACCGTTTCAATAAATTTTGATAATAAATCTACTTGTTCGCTCTTGAATTTAAAATTATTGGTCGGCCATTACTATTTTTTTTCGCTATAAAAAGTGTGTTAACTCTGTTAACTCACTGCCTTTTCATAGTAATATAATCAGGTTTATAAACAGTTCTAGCTATAAGATGGTGTTAAAATACGCCGGAATGTCGATGAAGTTACCGGAGAAGTGAATGCAGAGGGTTACGATGAAAACCGGTCACTGGAAATGAGAGATTATGCAGAAACGAGAGAATTTACAAATCAGAGTTTGAAGAAAAATGAAGAAACCCCTGAAAATGATATTACCGGGATAAACGAAATAAGCTGCAATTTCCAGCAAGCAAAACAGAGAGTTTGTGTGATAAAAACGGTAAAATCAACAATAAAGAATATGTAACCAAGAAATCTCGGAGCCATACTGCGGAAGATTTTTTTAGAAACGCACTTTTTATGAGGTAATAAAAAAACAAGGAAGACAAAACGAAAATTACCTTCTGTACCAATCAAATTGAATAATAAAAAAAAGACGGAAGTACTAGGTATAAACAAAATCATATACAGAAAATTAAAAAAAAATGTAATTGAAGGCATCGCATGCTTGCAAGAAGTGATAAAATCAGGATGAAATTTATCAACAGATCATGTTAGATGAAGCTTGATTGACACCTATAACCAAAGAAATGTTTGAAAAAATTTGATTGCGAGCTCAACTGGACGAAAAAGCATTATCTCGAAATCAAATCCACGATTCTTAGTATTGAGCGAAATTGAGAAAGATTTTATTAATAAGCTTGATGCAAAAGTATCAAACATTCATGCAAGATCGAACATGTATCGTGTATAAAATTCATCCTGGACACTGCAGAAGACTTTGAAAGAAAAAATGAACTTGAAATATAAAATACAATATTAAAAACTGAGAAGCAGATAAAAACATGATTATTGAGTTGGATTGTTCAAAGTTTTTTGAAAATAAATCTCAAATTAAACTATGACTTCATTATAGCTTTCAACAAAAGGAGTCCGTAACAAGTCATATTGAAGAGGTTGCTGTTTGTTGGCAGGTGTGTGAGGAGAGCCAAAGTATTCATGATTTTCCTCTAGATTTGGGACATCCAAACCACTGCTGGAGTCATCAGTACGAAGACTACCACGTCCACTATCCATTCTGTGCGTGAAACGTGAGTCTGAAAGCTTTCTTCGCTGAGCTGATAATGTACGCATGCAAGCTTCACTCATTTTTTGTGAGAAATCGTCATCTTCAAATGAAGAGAGTCTTCCTTGATCAGCTAAGGAATATGTATGGCCATCTGAGAATCTGGTATTATTTGTACGCCTTGGTTTCTCAGTGTGGTAGTGAGGATGATGATGTGGATGTAATTCTCCTTTATGATAATGACGATTCTTAGGATCATATGAACTGGCAGTGGTAACGTTACCATTTGGAGCAGAAGAATTTACATCATCATAGTAGATGTACTTATCGTAGCCACGAGCTACAGTGTAGTATCCCTTTTCCATCCCGATAGGGTTACTTTCTCTTGTCGATCTTGATACTGGGACGAACGCAGAATTTCGCTTTTGAATTTTAGCAGATTCAGTTAAATATAAAGCTGATGGAATAGAGTTAACACTTTTCCCTTGACGCTGTTTAACTTTTCCGCCAGTGATAAACGACGCTGGGCCCGCGTTATCAGAACTTTGGGTGCGGTGTATTGTATGCGCTGTAGATTTCCAATTCGGTATTGATTCTGAATTACTTTTTGAAATAGGCTGTTCAGAAGATGGTCTTCTTCCACTTTTTTTCTCATGGTGTGTATGATATTCCACCCTTGGCTGATGATGTTGGTGTCGGCTCGTATACGGATCCTGTGCTTTAATATAATGGACAGATGACTTGGGATCTTCCGTATGACTTCGTACTCTTGGTTTTCTGGGTATAGTATGAAAATCATCATAATAAAGTTTTGCATCGGCTGTTTTTTGCGGCGTGGCAGTTTGTGTTGATGTGTCGATGAAACTTCGTACTTTTTTCCGGTGTTTCCTACCACCGTGATCTGTAATATCTGCATGTTTGGATGAGTGACTGCGTTCAGCATTAGGTTTATCTGATATTTTGTTGTTTTGTACTGCATTGATGAGAACATCCAATGGAACTCCGTTCTTCAGGGTATCATCTCGATTCTCTGAGCTCACAGACAGATGTTTAGGTGTTTTTAAGTCTGGATTATTGTTTTCACAAATAAGAGAGACATCGGGAACAATGCAAAAATCATCACCGGTCAAAGTATTGCCTCTGGACGGTCTTCCCGTTCTTTTGACATCTAAACCGAATACCAAAACAAAAAATAATTTTTAATGATAAAATGAGAGGTAAAAAATAGGCCGAAAGTTTCTGTTAACTTGTATTTAACAATATGAATAAAATTGATTGATGACGCAATCCAATATTCATATTCCAAGTTTAACCAATACAAAATACCATTACACATGAACAGTTTCATGTATTCGTCATACGAAGCTAAATATATTACTATATTTAATAACAATTATGAATCAAAACTTGTTGAATTAGATTTTAAAATTTGTTGTTTCAAAGAGAATACAATATACCATTGTCATAAGTTATTTTTTTTTTTTCGTGCATAGGTTAGGCTACAATCTAATCGAACTTTACAAAAACTTTACAAATAAATTTATAAGTTCAGGCAAAACAAAATGATGGCATTCTTGTTTGGCACTCTAAAACCGTCTCCTCCAAGTAAGGAGTAATCGAGGAGAAAGAACTTTCAATACCCCAGTACCGTCGATTACAAACAATATCATACCTAACACACTGTTATGTAGAGGCTTTATTTTCATTTCAGTCAAGTTCGGATCCGCCAAGTTATTGACACTCAAACTTTTTGAAGGTGGAGCAGTTAAATGATCTTCAGTGATATCAATGATTTCTTCTCTAGCATGATCATGTGCAATAGGATCAAAGTCATCAGCATAATCTGAGAAAAAAGAGAGAATAATTTATTGTTATCCCAGTAGTCTACTGTGAAATGCCCGTGCCCTTATATTTGAGCATTGGTCTCTTGTTTTTTACTTGGTTAAAATGTGAAAGCTTTATTTTTCCTCATTATTATCATCTATCCAGAGGTGGGCAACATTTTTGAACCAGGGGCCAAAAATTTTACCCACCTAGACTGGCGAGCCATGCAAGTGTGAGGTAAAAAGGTAACATTTTATGAACAATATTTACAGTGTTAAAAGCAAAAGTGGAAAACCATAAGCCTTGTGCCGAAACTAAATTTAATCACAATCTCAACAAATTCCTTGAGCTATTTTTTAGCTAAAACATTGAAATTTGGTTTTAGTTTGGTTGTGGTAGCATCAGGCAGGCAAGATTGAATTACCCAGCAGGCCGAATCCACACAATCTGTTTCGCATGGGGCCCGTAATAATTAAGACCAGCTCTATTAGAAAACGTTTTTTAGATAATTGATATTGATTACTCACTATCTTCATCATCTTCCTCTTCTGTTCTTTGTTTGGAATCACTTTCAATTCCTGATGTATGTGAACTGCCATGACTGGTCATCGATCGATAGTAGGATTTTTCTCTTCCTGAATGAAGAAACTTATTTTTTACTGAAAAAGGTGCGTTATGTGTTCATAGTTGACTTCATAACTACCAGATTGTAGGGAAATAGATGTTTGTGGCAAATTGTGATCATGAAAAAGGACACAAATTAATAGGACAACATAAAATTTGATGTTACATGCTAGGCGTACTATACAAGGGCCTTTTAAATAATGGATGTTTTCTTGACTTTCGACTCCAGAAAATTCTCCATTATAGTACTATTGCAAAATTTTTACGCTTATTCTCGGGAGGGTTTTTGAGAATTGGTGCTTATAAACGGGTTTACCTGTTCCAAACCATAATTGTTTAAAAATCAAATTCAACCACATGCCACTTATACCCACTGATAACTAGTTTTAGCCTAGTCTATCGCAGTGTCTGCAGGGCAAGTTTTTGAATATTGCTATGAAGGTCATTAGCTTTAAAATTTTCTAAGATAATAATATGACAAATATGCAAATGAAGATGTAATGATACAAAAAATTTAAACCATCCCCCACCTTGTTGTTTCGATTTAATTTCATCCTCGTTATCTGTAGAATGATGTTCGTTACTTGTCGTGTCGGCGCTTTCGAGGTTTTTACCAGCGATATAGGATTCTCTGTATCTTCTTGCAGCTGTAATTTTAGGAAATTATACCAATGCATCAAATTTCACAGAAATGATTTTATTATTCCTTTTTGTTATCGGATACAAATCAGACTTTTACGTCATTGGCTATCTATTGTGGTGTTTTGCAATCAATGAGTACAATAAATTACATGTATAATATAGTGTGTGTGGTGATAATCACTATATGGGAGTGTGAGAAAACTAGTTTATCTGCATTTTGAAATTTCTCAGAAAAGTTTGGAACCACCAGAGTAGTTGAAAGAAACCACATTGACTTAAACAAGAAATATTTTATTAAAGGTCTTTTCACATCAAGTGAGCTTCCGCAAACAATAATTGCCAACAAGTCAGATGGCAACCACCTACGCTATACTTCAAATTAATATGGAATCACAAGACACACATCACATGGGCATATCCTAAAAAAATCTTCCATCCACAACACATACATGATCGTGTACAAACCAATTCTAAAAAAATTGACTAATATATAATCGTGTTATGTGTTGAGCCAACAAATGGTCACAAATTAAATATTGTGACCTAGAAAATCAAACAAAGAGATAATGTTTCTGAAAATTTCTATAGGCAGATGAAAACATTGACCACTAAGAGTAAATGTAAAAGTCTATTTTTGGCTTGTTTAGATGAAGTGATAATTTACAAATGACGTAACTGTGATATTTAATTACCAAAAAAATTGTCTACTTATGCAATGTTGGATTTATAAAACTTTTTGGAGTAACACGACCCATACTTGAAATTTATTAGAGACCCACTAGAAAATGTTCGGCCTCGAACGATTGCCCCGAAGGCCATAATTTTCCGACCACTCATACTTCTAGCAAATTCTGTTAAAGAGGATTTCAACACCAAACTAGCTATTTGATTATTACTATTCAATTCACTCTAAATTAACAAGATATTCATGCTCCGGCGTGGACAAAATAATTATCCACTCTTTTTCTTTAAATAATCACATACCCTCTGACTCACTTTTTTTGCCATCCACTTTTCTCATTTGTTGAGCGTATGGCGAAAGACTCATATAAAGTGAGTGAGTTTCCCTCAAGAAATGGAGTAGATATTTCGATCGTGAGTGACTTCCAGTATAATATGTCAATTTTCTGCAAGCAGGAAGATCTTCGGGATAGATTTCAAATCGTTTACCCTGTTGAGACAGTAAACAGAACATGTAAATATTAATATTATAGATTATTTTCATAAACAGACAATAACTGATTTACTACCTTGGTCAATGTAGCACAAGAGTGATAAAACATTTAATATCACAAAGTAATGTATATAACCACAGACGTAATTAAATTTTATAGACGGTAATAAAATAGAAAAATGTAATAAAATCAAAATCTGTTGACAAGAATGCATCAACACAAACAAATGAAAAATAGGTTTGGCCATAATTGGTTTCAGGCATACAATGTGATGAAATGCAGGCGTTTGTATTGTCTGCAGGCTGCAGTTATTCATATATATATATATATATATATGAATATTTTGGTAATTTCTCAAACATTATTACTATAATTTTACTATACAGTATCATAATCCATTCAATTAAGATATGTTCAGTATTCTTTGGCTAGTTACGGCTCCCTCCACAAAAAAGTTCCTGCATCTGAAACAAATTACTGGTTACCTATTCCCCCACCACACATAGACTGGTAAAGGGATGAGAGGACGTGGTTCGCCACAACTTTAAGACGTCTTATCGACTTACCTCTAAAATCTAGTACAATCTAAATGACAATCGCAAAACAATCTATCGCAAATGGTCATTCACAAGGTGTAAAGGTTTCAATGAATGTCTGCATTATATCAATACCGCACAGAGCAAAAATGCCAAAGACAGACAGATGTTGTCTTAGAATCATTACCGTGAAAAACAGTCGTCCAACTTTGTTCCACATGAATTCAAATTCAAGTTTCCATGGAGTTTGTTGCATTTTCTCTGGATTTCCATAATGAATTCTTATACCTTGATGAAAAATACCCAGCAAAACACTTGACTTCGTTTCTTTTTTATTCTGTGTGATTTAAAAAGCAAAAAATGTTTTGTATGGTTACGGTGACAAAAAAATACAAAACAAAGAAGCCCTATAACATATTCATTTCTAACCTGAAAAAGCCAATTCTTAAAATCAAGTATCCAACTACTAATAAATAAAAATTGTCTCTATTATTAGGGATTAAAAAACAATTTTACGCTTATTATGATGCAATTATCTGAGCAATTTAATATTGAATATCAAAATTATTATGCAAAATTGGGAGAAGTACAACATAAATTATGATTTTACTATCAAAATGGTGAATTCACTGGAATAAATGAGTTTTGCATTCCTAAAATTACTTTCTTGGACAACATCTATTTTAATAGTAATTTCCATCAAACTAAATTGTCTGGTCATTTGCCATGTTTGCCCAAAGTGTTAGGGTAGATAATAAGGTAAGCTTATAAAGTTTTTCTCCCAGTACATACAACTCTACAAATTGTTCTTAAAAGCAAATAAAAGCACAGGAAGAACTTTTGCACTTATTTAGGTCTTGAAGACTTGACCAACACACTTGAACTAGATATCATTGGACTTAGACAAAATTAAATACCGGCAGTTCATTATTAAAAAAAACCAACAATTCAATTCAATTTTTTTTTCAAATAGGATTTTCATATTTTTAGCGTGAGGGATGGGCAAGCTGACAATGGAGCTTAATTAATCAATGCATTACCTTATATAGTTTGTAATAATGTACAGGGACGTCATCGATTCCTGATGCTTGTTGAATATACAATGCTTGAGATTCGAATGAACTTCGACCTTTGTGTTCTGCATGTAATGTTGGGAGATGGGAAAGAAGATATTCACGACCCCACTTTTCAATAAACTGAAACAGAATAAACGAGAATGAAAAATAAGCATTTGAGTTTTGGTGAATTGTATTTGCCTTGACAACTACATTATTGGACACAAAGTGGACCTATAGGCTATTTCCCTTGGTTATTTTGTTGTTGTTGATCATCATGTTAGAATCTCTTTTCTTTTTCTTGTAGCAAAAAAATTGCTTTTCTCATTGACCTAAAGATTATATTTTTAGCTAGATGGCTATGGTAGTTCGCTAGATGGTTGACTTTTATTTATTTCAAAAATTCCCGCCCGGAATTGTTGGATCAGTTATTTTTAAATTAATGTAAAATAATGTCAATTCGTTTTGGACATCCCCAATTATCAATACACAAAACCTACAATAATATTTCAAATTTCAATGTTATAAACCACAACGGTTACTAAAAGCAAATATACAGTGCGCGACTGTCGCAACTTCAAGTACTATTGTAGTGGGATTAAATCATCCACTTGACCGTTGTCTGATCAATCGACAATTTCTCAACACTTGTGTGTTTTGAAACCACAAGATTGTATGTATCAAATCTGTTATGGTGATTATCTTATTTTAAAAAGAGTCTGCGATTAACGCTCTGGCATATTTTTAAATCAATTATTGGTTTACAAAAGATTAGGAAACTTGAAGCAAAAATGGACATATCCGAATCATTTGCTGTTTCAGATATATTTTTCTGAATTTGAAATATACAATATATCTTGAATTAGTTGAATATTTTCAATAAATTTATTTACGCAAATCATTGTACAGCATAGAAATAGGATAATACAGTATTTCGAAAAGTTAAAAATTGTTGTATTGCCAGTTTCTTTTTCAACTGTAATCAGAAGTAAAATGAAGTCAATTTATGGCCGCGCGTCATATGCTCGAAAGAACATATTTAAAATTAAAATAATTTTAATTCCTCGTACAATGAAAATAAGACGCTGTAACGTGCATGTCAATTATGAATATACTCGTACACTCGATTAGTTTTGGACCTCCCTGACTAGATGTTGACCAAAACATTTCGCAGAAATCTCTGTTAATTCCATTCGAGAATGATATATTAAAGGAGCAATCAGGCACTGTGATTTGTGAATTCAAGTATTGTTCATTTGGGTGATGCTCATCAGTCATCACATAATCGGAAAATTTCTAACACTATTATTTGAATTCACTAATATGAATGCCTCAGTTAGTTCCAAAAATCCAATGAAGTGTGAGTAGACATGACCTGGTCTATGATAAACCTGTGAAACTAACTCAACAAACAATTCTATAGCATTGTCGTTAAGAAAACAACAGCTGCTGTGAAGTTTTACTTACATGAATTTGCATGTTAATATTTCATTGTTTTTTAACAGTTCATTGGAGCAAAAAAAAAGTTTAACAGAACACTCTAACACCAAAATTTATTTCTAAATTGTTTCATTGATCAAAATCAATTATCGAACAAGCTTGTGATTTCCAGAATAAATATGTGTAATTTATGTCGAAAAAAATTAAAGCTTTTTTAATTTTAGCAAATTCACTATAAAATTACATCGCACTATTTAAAAGGATCCTAAATTATCACTATTAAAATTTCATAAATATCATACAAAAATATTCTACATGCAGCACGTATTTCATAGATTAAATACAAAAGACTTACCCAAGAAGGGAAATAATCTTCTGGTCTGAAATAATGGCCTTTGTGATGAACTGTATTATGATCTCCCAAGTCTGTCTGTAATGCATGGGATGCAATAGTAAATAAAATTTCATCTTGGGTTAAAACTTTTGATCTTGCTACATTTTTCTTTAGCTGGAGGTAGTAGAGATGTCTTGATATTGGGTCACTGAAATTAATATGAAAAAGGTTAAATAGGTGTATAAAACAACATGGAAGCATAGAGAATGGGAGTAATAGCATGCATGAATGGGTTACACAATTCGTTAATTAGAAATTTGTATATTTATAAAAAAAAATATGTTAAATTTGATGCATGTCACAGCAATAATACAAAAAATATGATGCACAGCACACACATGAAGAATATTTGCAAAAATGCATGTAAAATTCAATGTGATTTCAGGGTTAGAGTTACATTACTTAGAATTAAACATATTGTTTCAGTCCAAAAATGATACATGCAGGAAAGAAATATTGCAAAAATGCAAGTCAAATTTAATTTAATTTCATATTACTTTCAATATTACTCTGAATTGAGAATGTTGTTTTACACCAAAGAAATAGAAAATATTTTTTTTTTGTGTGCACATGCATACGAAAGAATGGTTCATCTCTCCAGTCTGAGATTTTCAAAAAATTCATTTCTAACATAAGTTGAAATTCCATATGCTGCAATATATTATCAAGAATTCACAAACAATTTCTCAAAAAAATGAGCAAATTACTACAGAAACAAATTAATATCTATAATATGTTAGGAACAAAAATTTAGGCAGATATTATATTCTGGCTGAAATTGTTTCGTCTGTTTGCTTAGCTTCGAGTTTGAGGTCACAGCTCTATTTCTGGTGAAAAATATGCTTTAAGGGCACAAAAACATGTGTGATAATGGTGATAATTGTGGCAATATTATAACTATTGGAAGACAAACTAAAAATTTATAAAGGTATAAGTCATAATTGAAAATTGTATAAAATTATAGTCAAGTCAGTAACCTGGAAAGCAATTTCCCTATATTACACTATAATTTGAAACTGTAATGTAATATTATAATGATTATGTAGTCATTTATTTTGTTACACGATTGAACAGATTCTTGAAAGAACTTTAAAATACCAACTGGGAAATATTATTCATTATACAATTTAAATTAAGCATTTTAGGAAAATAAGTATTTAGATAAGAATATTCTTCCTTACTGTTTCGAAGGTACATAGCATGAAGTAATAGGAAGTAATCCATAGAAGAATAAATCTGAAACACTTCCTGAAAAATGGCACAGGCTAGGACAAGGGTTGGCCATATCTAACTCCATACAATATTTTGATATGTCTTTGATTATTTTGACATGATAAAAATTAAATTCTCAATTTTATAGAGCATAGCATTACCACTTGGTGGATAAATTTAAAATATCAATACAATTACCAGACAAATGGGAATATTAAACACAGTCAGATTGAATACGCATTCCCAATTCAAGTTCAAATGTAATTGAATTTAATTCAAATAATGGTGACGTAAATAATAAATGACAATCATATATTGGGCGTGTATTACATTTCTATGTATTGTTAATAACAGCAAGTCAAGCGGTAATGAAAACAAACCTACTTCCAGTGACAAAATTAAATCTTAACCCTCTGAGTTCAAATGGGGTAATCTTTTGACTTTTTACATAACATATCCTTAAATAGGTTAATATCCTGTGGGCGAATTGAATAGGCTTAACAAAACAGCAGGGGTGACAAAAGGCATCCATCTTATTCAGTCAAGCATAGGTAACCCAATTTCTGCTAAAGGAGAGACAAGGATAAAACCTATCACAATGAATAGTAAATTGGAATTCATAAGATATAATCTCAATACTTGTATCCCAATAATTCAAAATCAAATTTCTGGGAAAAAAGGTGTTTATGATTAAGTGATTTCCTCAAAATGCTGTCAAATATAGTTTAAACAAAATTGTAAATAATGAATCTTGCCAAAACCAAAATTATTACTTTTTTAATGCTTAAATTTAATAAAGAGCATTTGTAGTATATATGATGTAATGTATTATAAATTTACCGCTTAACCATCAACATTACATCAATAAATATTGGCAGAATTTAACAGTTTGAATAAGGAGAACATGACAGAAATGAATATTTTGTAGAACCTTGCCAATCTATTCATTCTATTTACATTGTTTTGGAAAGGGTGAAGCCAGAGATGTATTTTTGAAACCCCAAAATTTGAAATTCCCCAATGTTGGGAGTCAGAATATCAGATTTTCAATAATAATAAAAAGTCTAAATTTTGCACAAAAACTCATAGAGCATTAAGTTTGCTAAACATTTTTAACATTCTATTAAATAAGGCTTGCATATGCCAAGGTTTCTGTTGTCAAAATTGGATTTTCTTTGAGTTCTGAGCTAGAGACATAATTTTATATAATCCAGAGTCAAGTCGCAGTCAAAAATTTTTCCAACTTCCTGAGTCAGAGTCGATTTTAAAATTTTCACGAATTCGTGGGAGTCGTGGTTATGGCAATGTAGTGTTAGAGAAAAAAAAATCAAAAAGTAAATACTGCTTCCTCATACTGCCATCACAGTTTTGTACATATATAAATAAAGCAATAAAACATGATATGAAATGATTGCAAAATCAATAGAAAATGTGGTATAGCTAAACTTGTATAATTATCATTACCTGATCAATTTAGGGTGCTCCACATAAAATTGAACTTGAAATTGAACAGTTAGAACTGCAGCTGAGCTGACTGCCAGATCGCTTGCCTGAATAAATAAATAAAATTGAAAATGAAAGAAATGAGCTGAAAAAATATTGCCACTGGCTGGATGTGAATCGGGGGTGACCACAAGCGAGTAACCTGATATTCTGAATGCATTCCGAAATATCACTTCTGAATATTACGGAACATTGAATTTATGCTAAATGAGTCATGTTCAATGAGGTTGAATTTGAATAAGCATGGAAGCACAGTGATTTGATGTTTTTTTCCCTTTTTTAAATTTCCAGAAATTTATTGAGGTCCTTTAGGTCCTAATTGGAAACTTCTATTGCACAAAATTATCAAATTTTTATTAGGTTTTTTAAATGCGACTATTCTAAAATAGAATATAATTTACATTTGATTCATTTCAAATATTCAATTCGTTCAGATATGATTAGATGAACATATCTACAATGTTGAATATAAAAAATTCCAAAATAACCTTTATTCTTTAAAATAAAAGGTATTCTAGTTATAATCAGTTGAAAAAATAGGCCTCAATTATTGTTTCAGTGATAACACCCATCTCGCTCTCAACAAGGTGCCAATATTCTTGATTAATGATAAATTCAACCAACCAACAAACTGATTGATAATATAGGTCAACAAACCAAGTGAGCGACCGCAAACTTAGGATCTGTTTCAAGAGCAAATGAGTTTATTAATAGCTATTTTAGTCATAAATTATAAAACCATGGATGTAAGATGTAAACTTCAATAAACAGCTATTCATAACTCGCTCACTGACATATGGTATGGCCAAGCATAAAACATAGGCAGCCTTAAATGTAGTTCGCAAATTCCGCTTAACGACGGCGACGGAAACATGGTTTGGCGAGCGAGTGTAAACAAGACATCGCTTCAGATACTAGCAAAAGAAAATTGAAATTAAAATTACTTTACGCCGTCACGATGGTATTTCATCCCATTAGCATACCGCTGTGATATATCTCGATCACTTCACGGGGTGCGGAATGTTTGAAATCGCAAATGTCACACAGCGGAGGAAATATTTTAGTTATGACATAATGAATGCGTTATCGCTAACCATTTTATAACTTGAAATACTCCGTGATTATTCACGACGATGATTTGGCAACGAATGTCATTATAAATTGGAAAATATTTTATCAGAGAGCTTCGTTTGGCCAACTGCAGTTATCGCGTCGTTCGTTCGGCCACGAATTAAACAACACAACAGGTATAAGATATTCGAAAAAAAATATGTGTCAATAATCATGTCAGAAAGCAGCGGATCTAAACACAAGATCTTGACGACGACCAGTCAGTCTATAAATCGCACAATCTTTATCCTATACGCATTACACATTATTGATTGCTTGAGATCGGTAATTAGGGTTATTAACGACTGTGTATGAATCAGTACAACAAACCGCATTACTCACTGTTGTAGTATTTTACGATTGCGTCATCAATATACGGCAGCGACATTTTGGACGATTTACGGGGGAAATAAATCGTATTAAATATAAAGACACAAATGGCCGATGGGTATATCGCCTTAGACAAAACGGCCGCTAATATTATTAGGAAATGACTGCGACGATCGTAAAGTTCTCGCAGTTGGGAGGCGGTTACTTTTGCAACGACCTTTTTTTGGCACGGTCCCAGTTTCCCACATCTACATTTTACGGGGGAAGAAGAGAATGCGCATAATATTGTGGAAACAAAGAAGCGGACGCAAAGTTATTCGATACCAAAAAGATGCCTCAAAACAATTCAAGCGACCAGTCACGTGATTGATGGGCGAATGACAACAGAGTGTTATGTTGTGGGTTGAGGCAGCAACAAAACGCCGTAGTAATTCGTCGCGACGTCGTGGTAGCCGGAGGGCATAAATACCTCTTATATCAAACTTCAATTCGCCAACGCGCTATTATATCCTTTGTATTAAAATAAGTCTTAACCGCGTTGACTCATTAATTTGTAATAGTTTGAAAATACAGAGAAGAGAGGGATTACGTAATTGATTGTTGATAAGTCGCGCAATTTGTGAAACATCAATTGATTTAAAATCCAATCCTTCCTCATAGAAAATTAACTAGTTAGCGTTGTTTATAGCGATATTAAATCAAAGTTATTGATTTGGATTTGGTGCTTTGCTTTGTTAATATAAAGTACCGGTAATAGAGAAGTAATTGGGAAATTATTAACATTTTAAATTTCTATTAAATAAATATATTAATAGACCAAATACATGAATCAAATAGATTAATGAATTGGACAAGAATAATACTCAATAATACCATTACCGATTTCAAAAAACGATTACCGATTTGAAAAATGTTATCTTGTACAAAACTGGAAATTAACTGTTTACTATATAATTTTTTTCATAGATGACATACTTTCGTTACTACTATTGAATACACTGAATTACAATTAATCTTACCAATTAAATAGTAAAATTATTCGCCATGTTGCTACTAATAACCAATCCAAAAATATAACCAACTAGGTAGTAAATAGTAATATAAGTAAGCTAAAGGACGCATAAAGCTGAACAAAAAATTTTTGCTAATTTTAGGATAGGATTTATCCCATATGAGAGGAAATCTGAGACGACTCAAACATAATATGGCAAACCATGGCTTCTCTTCAGTTACCAGTCCATGTTGAACAGTTATTTCTTTTCAATTGCATGGACCTTATGGTGGGGGAAATGGTATCCAACCAGCCGCTATGTGAACTACCCTACAACGTTGAGGAGTCCAACAATCATCTTGCACAGAATTATCCCCCACAGGATTCAAATAACGCGAACCCACGCAGGGTAATCAGAGATGCGGTGGCGAGCATATTCCTCACGCTTAGCATGATACACCCACTGTCAGAGCCAATTAAATTAAAGATGTTATGAATATCTCACTATTGCAAAGAATATTCAGAATTGGTTGAGTGTTAAAACAAGTGTTCAGATATTGAGACATGACCAAATTGGCCACGCAAGTGACAGTAACGGAAATGGAATGTTGTGGAACTTAAAGAGTAAATGCAATGCATGGTCTGTGACAAACCCAAATAAAGACATCTGCTTGAACATAGTACCCACAAACTTTCCCATGACTGAAATATATCATGGACCAAAATACCCTTCTGTAACCAAAATGCAATTTCATCTACCGTATCCAGGAAAATAAATATTGTGAATTATGTTCTAATGTAAGAACCAAAGTGTTTTAAATGCAAGAATGCACATTGATTTAAAACTAAACTTACTAATTTCTTATACTGATAATATACTGAGATGCTAAATAATAATTAGTCATTTTCCCATGAAGAGAATAAATTAAACTGATATTTCTACAACAGATACCAATATAACGTACACTAAGCGGTAAAAATACAGCCTGGAATGAGAATCAAAATTGGCATATTGACAATCTAAAATTATTTACAGAGTAAAAATAAAAAAACAAGACAGTCTTCATACACGACCCTCGGATCATAGGGTAAGAACCCTCAGTTCCGTTGCCGAAATTTTAGAAATCCCATCTTGGATTCCAAGCGAGAACAGAATGAAATAAAGGTGTAAAATTTCATAGCCCCCCCCCCCCCCCCCTCCTCGAGATCCAAATTCATATTAAGCACATTAACAAGATAGTAGTCTGCCCATACTAGATAGATGTTTTGAATAGCCACAATTGGTCACAGCTTAATAAATACAACGATAGTTTTTGACCTACGGGTATCAGATAAAAGATTCCAATCTATAAAGTGAAGTTGGAAAAAAACACTTTAAGAATAGCATATAAGCAGTTCTCCTTCTAATAACAAATAACAGTTCTCCTCCCATAGGACTAGCAATTACAACAATACTTTTTGTTGATAGATATCAGAAGATTGATCAATTTGCTGTATTTGTGGGGGTATTAAATAAAAAAAGACTCACTCTTCTCTTTATTTCTTTACCCCATTCTTTCGGAGCATACTTTGAAATTTTGTACTTCAAATCCATAAACCATTTTTCATTGTCTATAAGGAAAATTATTTTTATAATATCAATCAGGTTAATATCAAAATTGCACGCAATGGTAAATCAATGGGACTGAGCATGTAAACAAAACACATTAACATCATAAGTTCAAAAACCACGCTGTACACTTTACACTTAGTGTGATAAGTTGGGTAAGCTGTGTGAACCAAGATACACAGCAACTCCATGGGTATCAGTGTAAAGAAGTTATCTGTAGCATTGCCAGGAGTAAATGTGAAAAGTGCATCAAAAAATATTATGTTACAAACCTACTACTGTAGAGAGACCAAAAAAGTGTTTTTCTTTTATTGATAACAGAGTGCAAACTTGTTCAAATAATTGTCGAACTGTTGACTTGGTCTAAAAACACAAAATAAAGATTATATAAAATTGATAAATAATGATACAAAATTTTATTAATAAAAAATATGCTGTACTAATTATGCAAAATAAATTAAATATAGTAATAAGTAAACTGACCAGATGATAATATTTATTTAACCCAAAATTAGAAAAAATTTATATTCAATATATTTGCAATTATTAAATAAGAACAAAGATATAATTGTTTTAAAGATAACAGTATTTTAATTTGCTGTCCAGATTACATATTTTTAATTATATAAATACAGAAATAAAAGCAAACTTGTGGGATACCATTGATGATATCAAAATAAGATTATGGGTTTGTTAAATTATTCTCACAATTCTTAACAGACTTGCACAAATTAATTACCTCAATGGCCCATTACTGTGTAATTGATAATGAGCTTAGCAAACATAGTATGGATCGAATTGGCACCTTTTCAGACTTAGTTAATTACCATCATAAGCTTTTAGCAAACATCATGCTGAGCAAAAACCATTCATTGCTCTCTTTATCTCTATGATATACTGACCCAAATAACATCATTGTAAAACAATATGACCATAAGCTTCCTATAACTGTATAAAGGGGTTCTATAAAAACCATTGAAAATGCATATAGGCTGTGTCCAAAATGATAGAACTTAAAAAACATAAATTAAAATATTTTTAAACTGTCTTACCTCAAATACTAACACAACAGAATCGTTGTTTAACAAATGAATCCTCACAGGTTTTTTACTTAATCCAGTCTTCATTTCAATGTCCTTTTCTTTTCTATCAATCGGGTGGAAATCGTCGTCGAACTCGAATTGTTTGAATATGCCTTTATCCTGGTAAAATAGGCTGTCTGACACAGGTCTTGGTTTCAATATTCCTCTGGTTTCATTGGTGTGCCGCAACCGTGGTTTAATATCATTCCTCTCCGACTGATCACCAAAAGCTTTAGGCAATCTTGGGTTGCATTTACGGCTTTGTTCAGAATGACGCTTTATATTCCCTGTTGAAACGCTACGTGCGCCAAGCGTGGTTTGTTTCTTGGTTTTAAACTTGCGCTTCACAGTAAACCCGAAACTAATAAAAAACAAAAACAATGATTTCAGTAAGCTATAATCAGATAATCGCCATTTTTACATTAACACCGGCCTTCAACTACATTTGGTATACTGTCACAAGAATAGGTTCCCCAAATTACTGAGCATACATCCTACAGCGCCTACGCTGCAGTGCGAATACCAACGCACTACGAGACATTCCAAATCTATGACGACGATGAAGAGAGATTGCGCTAACAAAAGTGTTCCGAACTTAATTTCTACCGCCATCGAGCGTCAGTATCAAGACGAACGACAACTTTGCGACTGCAAAATAGATCGATGAATTATTTTATATTTTGAACCCGCCACGGTACAAGAAATAACAACACACAAGACGGAAATAAGGTTAGCTGCCGAATCTTCTAATAAGGTTTTTAAATATGAGACATAAAAGTACCACGTGGACAACCTCAGCTCGTAAAATGTGAAATAGAAAATAAGGTAAAAATACAACAACGGTACATGAACGGTACGGTACACGGGTTTGTCAGTCGTTGGGTACACGTAATCTTATAAGAATAAGCAAAAATTAATCGAAGCAAATTTTCAGAAAATTTATCACAATTGCTCGAATTAAATCCGTGCCTACAAATACAGAGATTGGCAACGAGGCAAACTGCCGTGGTAAAGTGCTTTATAGTCAAGGTCATTTTTTCCATCCAGTAAATAATATACGAAATTGACGAAAAAATATGTTAGCAAAAAATAAAAAAATCATCACTTATCCGAAATAATAATTGACGCACATATTATATGTGATAATTTATGATTTATGTGTACGTACTACAAAATCAGTAAACACACAACAAATTTTCGAATGAAGCTTACTAAATTCCAGAAACAAGCCAATGCGGGATAAGTAAGCGGTTGCTCTTGCGCTATTGCTATTTTATATCAATCACGTTCGCGGAATCTTTTCAACTTCTCACGGTTTCAATTCTCGGGGGGACGTTAGGTATTCCCCAAAATGCCAAGTTGGTCAAATTAAGAAAACATGTATTCATTAATAACAAGTAAGTGGGTTATTTTTTTATCCGTTGTTAAAGTGAAATGTTCTCTGTTATTACATTGGTTGCCTCTCGTGTACATCCGTGATTTACGACGTACAAGGGCGCAGCCAAGAAATTCACATTTCAAAAAAATCCGATACGCCATACCTCTGACGACGTGAGGCAGCGAAATTCGGCGATCTCAATCAATGACGATACCAATTTCTCAATAACACGAGAGCAATGATCAAATATACTGATATGAAAGACAAAACAAAAAAAAGCATCATATCTCTTACGGTACCGGTGGTATCGATGGTCTGATCTGACCACGAGATCGTTGAAATGCGGACACGGAACCACGGTACGGTGTACATTTTTAATTTTAAAATGCATCATCAAACAAAAAATTTGAAGTCGTTTTATATTTGATTCATTATTTTATTTTGCTCACCTTATTGTGTATTTCACCTCATCATGCGGTTTGTTTGTAAACTCGTTGTTATTTCCAAATGATTCCGATGGAAGCTCATGAGCTTTTACTCTGTGACAGTGGCAGCAATTTGACTTGATGCTGCAAGGCACACAGAAGCTACTTTCACAAGGATTCCGACATCTGCCTACGCAACTATTCATACAAGCTTCAAATTCTAAACATACTCCGCATCCCGGGCATTTTGTTAAAATTAGTTGATCGCTACTGCGAAAACGTGTATTCTGTTTAGATGCCATTTGCGGCAACCCCTCATCGTTCCTCTGTCGAATCTCTGTCGTGGTATCTATGCAAGGCAACGAATGCGGACGCTGTTTGGTTTTAGAGACAACGTGCTCAGTGCCATTTATTGTCAGACTTCGAAATTTCACATTTTTGGAACGACTGTTTCGTCGCCTTCTTTTGACAAAATCTTCTAGCATAGAGTTGATGTAATTCTTATCGTATTTCTTATTGCTGGGTATTGCATGAGTCTGTTGTACATCTCGCACATACAAACGTCTCGACATTTTTAACTCTCAATTACTGCTGCACTAATTGAAAAAGTACATTCGCAATCACTTTAACGCCAAACACCTTATATATATCTCACTATCATTTTGCGTTAAGTTTCTCCCGTGGAATGACGAGGTATAAAAACCGCGCTCCATCAACAAAATTAAGAGGATATCATAAACATACTAAAGGTTACGTGACCTTTCATGTTTAAACGCCAACCGTTGGCGGCGTATGGTGTAAAATTGTCATATATATTTACTGACGAAATGGCCGAGGCAATGTAGCCTATCTTTGATTGAAAAATGCGCGACTTCCAAACCACTGGCATGAAATATATAATTCATTCACAATGATAGTACTGTTTTGCAATTTGCGCAATGTCCCGAGCATCACATAGTGACCTCTCTCTATGATTGTTGATATATGAAACAGATTAACGCTCAACACGGCATTTATCTTTACACGGGTTACGTTTACATGTAAATGGATAATCCGCAGGAAATAGGTTCATTGCCGTAAACTTAAAACAACGCTTACGAAGGTAGTTTTTCGCCTGCGAAGGTTCGTGCCATACTGAGCCTTTGGCGAACAATTACTGCAGCAACGGCACCAGGACCAGGCAAATATGTACCCCTTAGTAACACTGAACGCGGAAGTCAGTGCATTTTTCATACCCATAAGCAATTTATGTTCTCTTCGAGTGAATATCAATTTATGATTATAAAGTTATAGTTAGACATGATATAATGTATATATATGAAATATTCTTCGCAAACATGTCTAACGCATTTTTGTCGCTACGTAACCCTGTAACCTTTGTACTAAATTATTCTCGCCACATAAAACCAGTCCAATTATATAAATATATACACATTATTAAAACATACAATATATATTTTTCAAATGTTTGCAACTTCGGATACTAGTTGTGCATGTTGCAATTTACTGTTCAAGCAAAAGCAGTATTTTGCCAATTATATGGGGATTCTTTAAATACCTAACCGAAATGATATGGTCAAAATTGGTTATTCCCGTGATATGTGTACAAGGTTAGGGTTAGTTAGGCTATAAGTTTATTCCCATTTTTCTCATTTTAGTTCTATTACTAGTTCGGGGACAGTCTGTGCTAGCCGATTGAATATACCGCTTGTTCATAGGTTTCAGTCCCTTTACACAACTTGATGTAGAATAGGAGCACAAAATTAGTTACCTTTATATTGGCAAATATACTTCTGGAGCGCCCCTCTTGTGCTTTGAGGGGGAATTGCAAATGAAAAAATTGCAGTTATTTTTGGGTGTGGTAAGTTGTATGTATTTGTCCATAGTCATTATAAAGTTTAATTCCAGATAGCACTAACAATGAATCAGATAGCACTAATAGGAACCATATTGCTATGTTCTTTTTATATGGCTGACATCAGATACAATGCAGATGCATCCGCTCAAGGGTTATTGTGTAAATCGAATACAAAATTAATGTCAGGCGATAAAACGAGCTCTAAAGCCATTTTAATATAATTATCATCAACAACGATTTGCTGCAACAAGGTCTTATTGTTGAAAACAGTTCATTGCAACTCAAGTTCAGATTCACCTTTCTCGCAAGAGTGATTATGATGTTTAACAATCAGGGATGACGTTTAACAATCAGGGTTAATGAGAAAAAAATCGCATGGTTTTGAAGAAAACAATACTTGAGCATAGGGTTAAAAATGAACGGACATTTACAAAAGCCGAGATTAAAAACCTTAGAAATAAAGCGATATCCAATGTGAGAGCCATAGTCACACGTGTGCTTTTTATATTCTAATATAAATTGAAATTTATGTTGTGATAATCTCTTTGATGAAAATGAGACAAAATTAGGACGTAGCTCAAAAATAAAGACAAATCCTAATAAAGGACATATTTATTTTACAAGACCTAAGGCCTAAAAATAATAACAAATATTAAAAATAAGAAACATACGGTATATATATGATTAGCAACTTCTTATTGATGCTTTCTGCAGGCAGCATATGTATTGTATACAGGCGTACTTCCGCATGACAATGTACGTTTACCATTGATCCATAGACTAGATAATGGAGAATGTATATTCCAGCGAAATTCCATTGAATATCTCCTCCTATTCAAAATATTAGCGGAAGTCAATTGAAATTGATCTTTGATCGGGAGTCTACACTACATACAAAGGAATAGCAACACCGAACTGTTCAGGTTTTTGGAGGAAGTTATTTGCGGACTGAAGGATTCTGCAGAATTTGCAATATACAGGAACAAGCGCCATTGAATATGCAAAATTTGGGGTTTGTGAGTTACATGAATTTGTTTATAGTTATTATAATGCCCGATGCCATATGGTAGCATGAATACGGAAATAAAAAGAGCGGCTATCCTATATTGGCGTGCTATTTTACCACAACCTCTTGAACTTTTTTTCCGAAGTCAGTCATGTATTGCATTAAATAAAAATATGAACAATATAGCAATGCGGAAATATAAAAACAATACATTCTGGGTGAATATCGTCCCGTAGAACTCGAAATTCGGAAAAAAAGTAGAATTTTAGCGACATATTCTATCCCTAAATACTGTAAATTTAGAATCGGTTGGTTTATTAGCTATGAAGAGGATCGATTTTTCACAGATTCAATAACAAAAGTAATGATGTAACAATGCGATCACTTTATGTCCAAATAAATCAAAATGAAATTATACCGAAAATGTAAATTGGGGTACTTTCTAACGGGTATTACGAAACGCATTTCTGTGGAGTATACACATATGCTGTGTGAATATTTAGCAACTGATAGATCACTGATCCACGTATAACTGAGGATGACTTTTCAGGAATGTTTGCCTCCGAGAAAAAAGCCTCACGCTCAATTCAAACAAAAAAATGTTATCGATAATTTAGGTGTCCCAGCAAAATAAATATAATTGAATTAAATATTATAAATTTAGAGGGTGATAGATATTTTGCTATTAACGTTGAAAATATTTGTAGCCTATAAAAGTGCGCTATTCGATGACCATCTGCACTGGTATGTGAGCCAGATTTCTGATATTCAAATACACTTATTAATATGTCAGGGGAAAAAGTAGAAAGGGAGGGTATAATTTCTGAGGGCGTGTTTACCCCCTATAGGGGTGGAGGGGAATCACCGATTGAACCCTATATTTATGGACGTATACTCTGATAATTGTGATCCTTTAATTTCATTTAAAATAGTGAATAACTTTGTTACTGTGTATTTTATATTACAGACACTCAACACAATGCAGATGCCAAGACAAATTCAAATTGTATCAGATATATGTATCTCGATTTTGAATAGTATATATATAATATATATATATATGTAGAAGATGAGGAAATACCGTACTGTTGTTACCATACACATAACTTTTAGGTTGTAGATAGGCTACTTCCGCATGAGGTAGAGCACGCTTACCATTGTGATGATCTATATTCTATGTAATGGAGAATTTCACACTTCAAAGAAATTCAAATAAATAATGTTTCTTATTCAAAATATTTTCGAACTCCCATTGTGCTGGTTTTGATGGGAAATTTGTCACTTACACAGAAACAGTCACATTTTTTGCCTTTAAAGGAAGTTTGCGAAGTGAACTAAGGAAAAATACAATATACTTGCAATATGAAAAAAAGAAAGCGTTAAAGGCAACCGTGTATAAAATACAGTACGCGTTGAATCAGTAGTTAATAGGGACGTACTGTACTGTAATAGGGGCTTGAAATACTGCCTAAAAGTAATGGCTCCAGCTGATGTCCCAAAAAACAGGATCGAACTGTTCTGTGGATGAAACTATCTATTGAGAAGATGGTATATGAAAAACACTATTTTTCTATGTGGGTCCAGAACATCACAGCAGGGAAACGAAAATACAAATGTCAATCGTCGTGCATTTTGTACAGCTATATTATCTTATACTTGGTGAAGGCAAACCGTGTTACATTGCGTCTGCTAAACGGAATCTAGAAGGAAATTCAGGCTAAAAGGATAGGATAAAATTTGCGCAATGCGTGCACATAGTTCGTATTTTTAGGAATTATGAACAGGGAGATTGCATGAGTGCTAAAAGCCCCCGGAAGGGTGCCACAAGCAAAAATGTCCGTAACCGCTTTTATACATCTTCTAGTAGTTCTTCTGATTAAACCAAAACGGTAAACGAGTTTGAAATTCAAATATTCAATTTTATGTATTATAGAAATGTGTCATATTGTTTGAATTCTTGTGATAAAATATTTTGGTAAATAAAAGTATAGAAGAATCTCTGATTGGCAATGGAGACAGATGATGAAGAAAAACAGCACTTTATTCAAGGTAGGAATTTCAAGGCAGAATCCCTATTCGGGTATACTACATTCGGTCCGTGGTCGGATGTTGCGATAATCAGCGATTACGTTTTTGATTTTTGTTTAAGACCATAGACGACCACAGTAAATAGGTAACGTGAACCTCAGTTGACGACTAGCGTTATATTTTGCGTTCGAAAGTTATGTATCAGATTTATGTGAAGCGTGTTATGGTAATGAATCGCACGTATAACGACATAGATACATTTTATGAATGTGATCTTTTTAGAAACAGTGTCAATAGTGATAAAAAATGTAAACAAAAAGAGTTTCTTGCTTTGTTGAATTCATTTATTATACAGAAGGGACCCAGAATTGATACCAATTTCTAATTTTCTTCACGAGACCAAATCGAAATGTGCTAAAAAGACATTGGTAATTACTGTAAAATGCAAAGAGATTGTAACGAACGAGATAGCTTGCTGCTGAACAACGGGCCGACCGTCAACTGTTTTCAGAAATAGATTGGGAAATTCTGTCCTATACTGCCTTAAAATCGTTTTTTTTTCGAAAAGTAAAAATCAATTAATCAAAATATCAAAAAGATTTAATTGAAGTATTTTTGTCATCGCTTCAAAAAAAAATTAAATAAATCAAACTATTACTTTTTGACTCAAAAGTACTTTCAAACACTTTCAGACATTCCGGTCTCCGAAGTTGATATGGAAAATTCTTCATTCATAGAAGAGAAAAGTGTTGAAGTTGTAAACATTGATAACGCCCAGGCAAGGTCTACTGACTGTCATGTTTTACCATCGTGTTCTTCTGATAACAAAGCCAGAAAAGAAAATCAGTTAGCAGAAAAAGAAGTCAATTGCAGTAATATAACCGGTGAGTTATACATAAAAGAAAATAGAGTAAAAATGCAAAGATGAGGGTTGGGTTAATTAGTTACTAGTTACTCATTTTATTTATTTGATTTTTTATTCTGATTCAAAGTTTTCAAACAAGTGTTTAGCAATGGATTTCATGCTATTTAAAACTGATCTTAAACTTATTGTCCGATGCTTGTACATTTCCTGATGAATTAGGTTTTAAATAATTTTTTTTGCTCGGATCAAATTGAGAAGTTTATACGTTTTACACCAGAACATAACGCAGCGGTTCCCAAAAGGTGTGCCGAGACGAGTTGCTATCAGAATTGTGTTAAACATAACTAGAATATGATTGAATATTTTGCATATTGTATTTACTATAAATGTTTTGTTGTTTCTTATTTTAAATGCCGTGTATATGAATCAATAAATTTATATCAAACTTTAAAAGGCTTAAAGTACACATTAACGATCACAAAATTGAGTTTTATTTAAAAGCACATTTTTTCGTGTAAATGTGAGTTTTTTCCCTGATAATTTGGCGCCGCACGAAGAAAAAGTTTGGGAACCGCTGAAATAACGGATGGAGGGTGGAATTAGATAAATTCAAATCCCCTAATCTCTCTATTTTCAGAAACAAACATCGCTGGAAATGAGGTTGCGACATTGAATGTGGCAAGGGCAGATAAGATTGTAAATTATAACTATTACCTAGGTATGTAGATTTCATACAATGTATTGATTCACTCGCATAAAATCATATCGTACCAGATAATATTATAAAATAAGATTATAAACATTTTTTCCCTTTTTATGCCAAGAATTTCCCAATTTCAATCGATTATTCAGTATTGATCAAATGGCTACAAATCGACTGGTATAAAATTTAGCTCATACATTACAAAATAGGGGGCAGATCACATTGCTGAAGTATGGAAGTAAAGCTTTTGGTTCTATCATCTAACGCTTCGTTTTCATATTTTAACAGGCAGAAAGCCCACGACAGAAGATGGCACAATTCCAACAACTGAGACTGATGCTTGTCAGAGTCGTCTTGGCGACGGTTATCGAGGTACGTCAGTACAGGAACGCGTAGGCTAAATTTTTTAGTTAGATAAAAACAGCTTTGCAAACATCACTCGTCTTCCTGGTTGTGTTTGAATCCGATCCAGCTCTACATATCTTTTACCGCACCAGAGTTGGTATAGTCGGGGTCGGTCGGGGTCAAAATACTCATATCGTAGTCAAAATATCAAATATCAAATCAAATCGTGATAAGGTCAGCCAATTTGCAATTGCTTGAATTGGGATAAAACGTAGTACGTCACTAAACAACCCCCCCCCTCCCAACTCCAAAAAAAAAATAGAGATAAAAAACTTGTCCTGGGAGTTTAAAAATACGACTCCATTAAATATTGTCTCCAAGTCCATGTAAACCCTCCATGTACTTCCTATCTAAATCTTTACTTCGTGAACGCCGAAAAAACTAGAAAAAGTTACGGAAGTTTATTGTCACAAACCAAACAGACGTAAAACTGAACAGAAATGCAATTGATTTATGTTGTAATGCATATTAATTTTTCTCTGTATGAAAAAAAGGTCGATGCCATCGATATGTCTGCAAACTCCCTATGGCATTTTTCGGACTCATTTCGGGTGTTTCTTTACTAATTGTTTCTAACAGTTTGAACGCCGGCGTTGCTTCTACATATATATATACCGTAAACCGTTTTTTTAAAAGGGGTTGGTTACGCTGGAATTAAAAAAGGGCGTAAGTGAAAAATCGATGCAGTGCGAAGCAGTGCGTGTCTTCGAGTTTATAGAGGGATAAATTGCGTTTCTTTCATATAAGCAATGCGAAGCAATGTAGATGAAACTTCAGTGTTGGGTCTCCCTCGCCTCTTTTTGCCACACGTCGTTCGGAGTCCATTTTGCGTGTCCTGTTTTAAAATTTTCACTACTCGCCGATCTTTGCCATTTTGTCAATATAAGCACATCGTGCTGGTCGATTTTCATTGATCAAGTTCGGCTGCAGTATTGCGGATAATGATTTTTTTTAAGAGATCAACATACAAACATTCAGCAACCGTACAGGACATTCAGCTTATGCTGCTGTGGGATGGGGCAAAATAAACATTTATTAATTAACAGTGTATTGCTGGCATATACGGTACATATCGAATTGGTCATTTCAATATTACTGCAATAGCTTATTGGGTGTTTCAAAAGTATAACAGCCCGGAAGCTGCTATACATTCGAGTATCTTTTGTTTGATTATTTATTTTAAACCTTTTTAAAGGTTTGCTCGCTCTTCAGAATTCTTTATTTTGAATTTGTGTATATTATGGAGTATGTGGATAAACTATATATCTATTGTCAACTTCCAAACCGAGTGGTTAAAACACAAAGGCTTTCGCCACTGTCCACGTATATATTATGTCGTTGTGTCAAAGACAGGAAGTTAGCCCAATAATATCAGAAGGAAAGCATTACATATAGGTTCGGAAAAGTCATCAAAAAATAATTCCGAATTCCGATTGATCCATTCAGACTCTGCTAAATTCATGTCTGCATATCAACGCAAAAAGTTTGCCTCAATCATAACGCATTAATTTCATTCTATTAAGGAAGCTTTCAACAAAAACGACAATATGAAAACGAAGCTTACGTTGTTCCAGAAGAAGTCATAACTAAATGTCCACAGTACACAGTTGTGCACGGAGGACAATACGGTGGGTTTCGACAATTTTGCTATTAAAAAATATAGTTATGTCTGATTTCTATAACAGATTTTGCGTTCTATTGTTTGCGAACATAGTTCTAAATAGACTCATTGTGTAGGGTATTCTCATGCAAACTGCAATTTGTGATGTGTGCATATAATGACTTTAAAAGCGCAACAAGAAGATTGCCAAGCAATACAGTTTCTATGTAGAGGCTCAACAGTCATTTATAGTTTGAACTCAATTAAAAAAATTTAAATACTGTTTCTACAGGTTTCGACTGTTTTCAATGTGGTAGATCACGTGAGTCCATTATTATTATTTGCAAACTATATCTTAACCGTATAACCAACGAATAGTTCCAAAACGCCATTTGTATATCTTCAGAGCCCAAGGGTGGCACGAGTTCGGATTTTCACGGATATGTCCGGATTTTTTGAATTGAAATTGGCTTACGAGAGAAAACTGAAAAGATTAAAATACCATGAATTTCCGCTATTTATTGTTCTGCTTTTGGAAATTTTTTTCAAATGAGGCTGTCTTCCTTAGCTGGGAATCGAGTTAGCTAAAAAGATGAGCAAAAGACGTGGCTGAGGCGTTCAAGCGTGACCGAATGAAATGTGTTCCCGCGAATTAAGATAAAACAGCTAAATATCGGTTCAATAGGACTCAGAGTGAGAATGAAAAGGGAGAATTGATAGCCCTTAGAGACTCTTTGATATTTAGGTGCTGATAAATTTAGAATCGACTACAGTAGTTGCATTTAGTAAACAATTACAATCGAAACAATCGACATTAGTAAACAATTTTTTCTAACAACAGCAACAACCCACCTACGCAACAACTAGAATAACAATAATATAGCAAACCAATCCATAGGTTCGATCGGTGTAATATTAATAGAGAAAGAGGAAGCTAAAATGTTTTACACATATTACGGAATAAGAAACGTGTATGAAATGACGCACCAGAAATATGTCAATTTTACTCCACACGTAAAAGCATCACCATTTCTTCGAGTTAAACTCACTTTTAGACTGCCACTCTTGATTTTATTTTAACATTCTACGAGTACAGAGTGTATTTTCAGTATAATGAAAATATAAAATACTGACTTATCAGTGATTTTGATCGCACAATCAAAACTCTTGTACACTATTTATTTCTGGAAATCTTTGGCAACCCTGGCTAATCTAAAATTATGTTTGAGTGGCGCGTTACCACTTTTGAAATTGTCTTGGACCCCTTCAAGTCTCGTATAAACTGGCATTCACTTATGCGTATAGTTTCAGTAGTTCATAGAATTTCACTAGTTGATTGTGGCTTTGCTCAAAGCTGCTTTGATTTTGAGTAGGTGGGTAGTGGGTTGGGTAAGTGATTGTGCTTTGAGCAAATTTTTATGGGGAAAAATCATAATGGTTACGCTAACATTGACCTTGATAAAAAAAAAATTAATGTCAGAAGAAACCTCATCGACCAACAAATTTGGTCCTTTCGTTTTCACCGTTCCATAATATATTTTATGGATGAATGATTATATTAAGTCATTGCTTAGAGGAAGTTTGGATGAAAATCTTACATTCCTACATTTATTCGTGAATAATGACTAACTACTACCAATAATGCTTTCTCCAAACGAACAGATTCGGATATCTTTGATAGCGAATAAGTCTGTAGAGAGATATTGTTAGATATCAGTGGCAAGTAGGCAAGGTAGTCTTGCTTGGAACAAAAGAAGGTATGACTAAGCGTCGTATTACATCAAAATTGGGCTGACTGCGATCCTGCCGTAATGCGCCATTAAAATTTTGGAACAGGTTTAGCAACAGTTGGAAATTTAGTTGTTGCCCAAATCTTTGCTCAAAGTAAAGTTTCTTTCGTCCCTGCATAGGTGCGTATGTCAATGCTTTGAACAAATTCTAACAAATATTTTTTGTTATCAAACTCTTTAGAGAAATTTTGCTAAGGCAGATTTTGTCCATGTAAAAGTCGCGTAGGTCAGAAACAAATTTCAGACTTTCTGTAGTCGAACATAATTCGAATACCGATCTGTTCATGTACAGAAACTTTTTTGTCATAAAAAACAATGGTAATTATTTTAATACGTTTTCACGCATTCCATAATACCTAAAATATTAATAAAACGTGTACCTAAACAACAAGAATTTCTTTTTTCAAGTCGATAGTTGTTCTCACTGTTTTTCTTTTTTCCTTCCTTTTATCACTATACAATTGTTATCTCGCTAACGTTCTGACTTGAACTGATGTTTGTTGAATGGTCGAGGCTCGGCTCGGTTGTTCGATCTCCAAATTTTTTGTTCCAGTACCACAGCATTTTTAACTCAAATTTTTTGGTCGACTACCGATTTGTTCGAGTGTCGAGTCGTTCGACCACCGAAGTATCGTTGTATTTCTCTTACTATACTTACTTTTCCAGTCATGAAATGCATGGCGTTTAACTTGATGCAACGAATGATCGGCACTTTGAGCTTCCTGTTTTTACAGGAAAGTATGCATCGGAATTCAAAAAAGTAGTCAACCAGAGAACAAGCAGAGAGTCTACTTGCAAGGTAACCGAATCATTCGCGGAACAAAATCTTAACGAACCTGCATGTGAGGTCAATCCTCAAATTGAGGAGCTGAAAAAATTTTATATTGGAGAGATGGAGCAAAAGAAAAATCAATACAGAAGGGGAACAAATTTTGATGTTACTTCGGAAGCCTCGTCTGAAGGAGAATATGTGTCACTCAAGGACATGTATAAGAGTTTCAACAATATTGAAAATCGACATGTTGTATTAGTTGGACATGCAGGTAGCGGTAAAACAGTATTTACGAAGCGACTGATTCAGTATACACTCAAAGCAAGTGGGCTGTGCGAGAAATGGTACAGGAAATCAATAATATTCCGAAAAGGAAGATTTAAACTCATTCACTTTATAAACATTCGTGACATTCGCGTCTCAGGATCTATCAGTCCACGTGAACTGCTATTCGATAACATCGTCACAGATTTGATGAGCGATAAGATAAAAGAACATGGATATAAATGGATTTTGCACAATCAGGAGAAAGTGATATTTTTCTTCGACGGTCTAGATCAAGCCACATGGTCTTTGCTTGGTAGTCATCCAAATATAGATCACAATACAAGAGCTAGTACACCAACCGTAATGTTCAACATTATCACTGGCCATCTTTTCCCCAGGGTACATATCGTATTGTCTTCCAGAGAGCACTGTATAGCGCCTCTTACCGGCAAACTTCGTCCATAGTCAATCTATGCCCTTGCAGGATTGGCCCAAAATGACGTAAAAAGGCTCTTCATCTCGATTCTAGGCGAAATCGGCCAGGAACAGTGGGATAAGATGTGCACACATTCCCCTGCTATCATAGCTCTCTGTTCCGCTCCTGCTTTTTTGATTTTTACAGCGATTGTTCAAAGTAAATATTCGGAAGATTCCCCGAATACAGTGACTGGGGTCATGTTACAGATTCTCCGTATTTTTATCAGATCCGATCATGTTCGAGTCACGAAAGAAAAACTGGAAAAAATTCACAGGTTGAAAAAAATTGCATTTTATGCCATGAAAGAAAAACGTGTTATTTTCACAAGAGAAGAATTGGAAAAAGTCGGTATAAATTCCAAAAGTATCGGAGATTTTATAATAAAGGTTCCAAACAAAAATTATATCAGTCAATGTCTACTCGATGGCGAATTCAGTTACTTCTTTTCTCATCAAACAATTCAAGAAATGCTTGCAGCTTTGTTCCTGTGTGAGGCTTCTACGTCAGAATTCGAAGGGTTCGTGAAAGAATCGCTTCATCTTAATCATTGGTCGGTTGTTCTTAGATTTACAAGCGGAATTATGCTTAATCTTTCCATAAAACTAGGCGGAGCTATTTCACTGGTGAAAAGTAAGTTATTTCAGAAAATCAATCATCTTGCTTGAATTACTAACTTTTGTCCATAAGATCATGTCCCAAATGGAACTGAGAACTTCAAATCGAATAGTAAATTATTCGAATCGGTTCAGATTCGTTAGATAATATGTTTTCAGTAATTTTTTTTGTTCCTGTTGGACTCATCACAATAAAAAGTCACATACAATCAAATATCTTCCAAATATTCGAGATTCGATTGTGAAAAATATTCGATTCATCAGGTATTCGAAAATGTCCAGCCGTAGTCTCAAACTTGATAACATGCTTTTACATTATCTATCAAAACTATTATGTAAAATTATATGTAAACTATATACCTAAAGTGAAAAAAACTTTGTAACTTTCTTCTTCTAACTTTAGTTGACAATGGAATAGAAAAACGAAAAATTCTGAAAGATAGTTTACGCGAGAGATTGAGAAAAACAAAGGAACGAGAGAAGCCTTTTGAGATGATGGAATTGTTCGGAGTTCTTTATGAAGCGAATGATAGTGATTTTATTCGATCAAACGTTTGGGAAATTAATTTCGTGAACGCGGTCATCACCCCAAGTGGAATGCTAGCCATATCATCAGTTCTACGGCGATGTGAAAATCTCGATCTCATTCGATTTTCGGAATGCGGTTTCAAATCAGAAATACTTGAGATCATGTCTACTAATTTGGTGAATGTACATCTCCAGGTTCGATTGTAAATTGATTAAATTCAGACAAACTGAGATCATTTATATACAGGGTGATCAGACCAAGTGTACACAAATGTTTATTAAAATATCTGCAATACAAATGTGAGAGGAAAAATATTTTGCACAAAATAGCATTATAAAGATAAATGATAGAATTCATTGTTATTGGACACGTAGTGGACATAATGATCGTTTCAATATTATGTTGTTGTTGTTGTTGTTCTTGTTCTTGTCATTGTTCTTTGACACGTTTTTAAAAAGTCGCTTTTCTCTTCGAATACTGGACCAATTGCTTTGAAATTTTTAGTGGTTAAAGATAAAAATTTTTTCCAGAAGGCTATTACTTTTTTTTTCGCTATGACGTCATCAAAATTATGTGACTCTACGTGCCCATATATTTGAGCATAGCTCTCTTGTTCTTCGATATATCCTTCCTTTGCCTTCGCTACACGCCTCGATCTGATTTGAACTTGACTGCACGTGGCACGTATGGTTTCTCCTGAAATTTTGTCCCAACAAGTCATCAATCTATGCCTTAGAGCAGTTGTTCTCAAATCGAGTTACCCGCACCACTAGTGCTCCGTTTTTGGTGGGCAGTAACGGGCGAGGGCGGGTCAAGTTCCAAACAGATCGGTAGGATATATCGAAAAATAATAATGAATTTTATTACTTATCTTTATATTGCTATTTTTCTGCAAAATCACCCTGCATGGTAAAAATATTTAACTTTATTTTTGTATGCTTTAGTAGGTTAAAAAGTTTGTATCTCCAGGTTTGTTTGTAAATTAATTATATTCTTATATTCAGACAAACTGAGAATATTTATATGTATATATATGTTAAAATGTTGCTTTTTATTTTTGTATACTTTGTTCAGGTTAAAAAGTTTGAATTCGTACAAACTGGATCTGTACTGGACATAAACGGACTGAGCTACCTTGGATCTGTTCTGGGAGCTTGTCAATCAAACGAATTATTTTTAAACTTTGGATGCACTGGAACAGATTACAAAGAGCTTACTAAAAGCTTTGAAGAAGCAAAGGTAATGTACTAAAACAATTCAATTAAAGCATTCTCTTATAAAAGATTGTCAAATTTTTCAAAAATAAATTTCTAACAACAGTATGTGATTTTATGATTCAATCTATACAATGGAACGCAGTCAAGTCAAAACAAACGCCCAGAAATGATCAAAACAAATACTGCAACATCACGTTTATATCACTCGAGTGTGGACTGATAGTGGTGCGTGAATTGTATCGAACCGATAAATTAATTCCATAGGACACATTATTTTTTTCCGGACGATGAAAACACGAAAAGTTTAACAAGAAAATATCACTTTTTCCATGCAAGGTGCATAAGGATTAATATCAATATTTTCAAAGGGAATCGCAAAATTAGGACAAGAAACGTATTTGAACTTCCGCCGCGACTCAGTCATGCACTTTGATATATGGGTGAACAATTTGCAATAATGGCAATGGGTGTTTCCGCGACTTTTCGATCGCAGGAAAATTCGTCCTGTTGCCGTTAAAAAATTTCTAATAGTTATTCAAGTGCATTTATGAGATTGAACTTACGTACATCAGTTTGACCTTGTCAAATTACCATTGTGTTTTAAACTATTTAAAACACTGGTTAACTAAAAAGTATTTATATTTCCCAACGATGGTCGATGTTAAACGACTGTTATATCTAAAGAAAAACTGGAAAAAATTCACAGGTTGAAAAAAATTGCATTTTATGCCATGAAAGAAAAACGTGTTATTTTCACAAGAGAAGAATTGGAAAAAGTCGGTATAAATTCCAAAAGTATCGGAGATTTTATAATAAAGGTTCCAAACAAAAATTATATCAGTCAATGTCTACTCGATGGCGAATTCAGTTACTTCTTTTCTCATCAAACAATTCAAGAAATGCTTGCAGCTTTGTTCCTGTGTGAGGCTTCTACGTCAGAATTCGAAGGGTTCGTGAAAGAATCGCTTCATCTTAATCATTGGTCGGTTGTTCTTAGATTTACAAGCGGAATTATGCTTAATCTTTCCATAAAACTAGGCGGAGCTATTTCACTGGTGAAAAGTAAGTTATTTCAGAAAATCAATCATCTTGCTTGAATTACTAACTTTTGTCCATAAGATCATGTCCCAAATGGAACTGAGAACTTCAAATCGAATAGTAAATTATTCGAATCGGTTCAGATTCGTTAGATAATATGTTTTCAGTAATTTTTTTTGTTCCTGTTGGACTCATCACAATAAAAAGTCACATACAATCAAATATCTTCCAAATATTCGAGATTCGATTGTGAAAAATATTCGATTCATCAGGTATTCGAAAATGTCCAGCCGTAGTCTCAAACTTGATAACATGCTTTTACATTATCTATCAAAACTATTATGTAAAATTATATGTAAACTATATACCTAAAGTGAAAAAAACTTTGTAACTTTCTTCTTCTAACTTTAGTTGACAATGGAATAGAAAAACGAAAAATTCTGAAAGATAGTTTACGCGAGAGATTGAGAAAAACAAAGGAACGAGAGAAGCCTTTTGAGATGATGGAATTGTTCGGAGTTCTTTATGAAGCGAATGATAGTGATTTTATTCGATCAAACGTTTGGGAAATTAATTTCGTGAACGCGGTCATCACCCCAAGTGGAATGCTAGCCATATCATCAGTTCTACGGCGATGTGAAAATCTCGATCTCATTCGATTTTCGGAATGCGGTTTCAAATCAGAAATACTTGAGATCATGTCTACTAATTTGGTGAATGTACATCTCCAGGTTCGATTGTAAATTGATTAAATTCAGACAAACTGAGATCATTTATATACAGGGTGATCAGACCAAGTGTACACAAATGTTTATTAAAATATCTGCAATACAAATGTGAGAGGAAAAATATTTTGCACAAAATAGCATTATAAAGATAAATGATAGAATTCATTGTTATTGGACACGTAGTGGACATAATGATCGTTTCAATATTATGTTGTTGTTGTTGTTGTTCTTGTTCTTGTCATTGTTCTTTGACACGTTTTTAAAAAGTCGCTTTTCTCTTCGAATACTGGACCAATTGCTTTGAAATTTTTAGTGGTTAAAGATAAAAATTTTTTCCAGAAGGCTATTACTTTTTTTTTTCGCTATGACGTCATCAAAATTATGTGACTCTACGTGCCCATATATTTGAGCATAGCTCTCTTGTTCTTCGATATATCCTTCCTTTGCCTTCGCTACACGCCTCGATCTGATTTGAACTTGACTGCACGTGGCACGTATGGTTTCTCCTGAAATTTTGTCCCAACAAGTCATCAATCTATGCCTTAGAGCAGTTGTTCTCAAATCGAGTTACCCGCACCACTAGTGCTTCCGTTTTTGGTGGGCAGTAACGGGCGAGGGCGGGTCAAGTTCCAAACAGATCGGTAGGATATATCGAAAAATAATAATGAATTTTATTACTTATCTTTATATTGCTATTTTTCTGCAAAATCACCCTGCATGGTAAAAATATTTAACTTTATTTTTGTATGCTTTAGTAGGTTAAAAAGTTTGTATCTCCAGGTTTGTTTGTAAATTAATTATATTCTTATATTCAGACAAACTGAGAATATTTATATGTATATATATGTTAAAATGTTGCTTTTTATTTTTGTATACTTTGTTCAGGTTAAAAAGTTTGAATTCGTACAAACTGGATCTGTACTGGACATAAACGGACTGAGCTACCTTGGATCTGTTCTGGGAGCTTGTCAATCAAACGAATTATTTTTAAACTTTGGATGCACTGGAACAGATTACAAAGAGCTTACTAAAAGCTTTGAAGAAGCAAAGGTAATGTACTAAAACAATTCAATTAAAGCATTCTCTTATAAAAGATTGTCAAATTTTTCAAAAATAAATTTCTAACAACAGTATGTGATTTTATGATTCAATCTATACAATGGAACGCAGTCAAGTCAAAACAAACGCCCAGAAATGATCAAAACAAATACTGCAACATCACGTTTATATCACTCGAGTGTGGACTGATAGTGGTGCGTGAATTGTATCGAACCGATAAATTAATTCCATAGGACACATTATTTTTTTCCGGACGATGAAAACACGAAAAGTTTAACAAGAAAATATCACTTTTTCCATGCAAGGTGCATAAGGATTAATATCAATATTTTCAAAGGGAATCGCAAAATTAGGACAAGAAACGTATTTGAACTTCCGCCGCGACTCAGTCATGCACTTTGATATATGGGTGAACAATTTGCAATAATGGCAATGGGTGTTTCCGCGACTTTTCGATCGCAGGAAAATTCGTCCTGTTGCCGTTAAAAAATTTCTAATAGTTATTCAAGTGCATTTATGAGATTGAACTTACGTACATCAGTTTGACCTTGTCAAATTACCATTGTGTTTTAAACTATTTAAAACACTGGTTAACTAAAAAGTATTTATATTTCCCAACGATGGTCGATGTTAAACAATAGTAATAATGCTGTGATTACATCATATATATACCTACTAATACATACTTACCAATAAATAGCGTTTTCAACATTGAAAGTATATTTTGAGTAATAAAAGACTTTGAATTTGTTCAGATGCCGAATGTTCGAATTCAAAAATTCACATTCGAACCGACAGACGAAATGAACGGGCCATTGTTTTCTGCAATTGCTGAGTTTGCCGAAAATTACGCAGATGACGTCTTGGTCCCTTCTTTACTCAAATGTGCCGAAGAAGATATCGATGTAATTGGTGAAGGAATCGGATGCAAAGAAGCAAGTTTATTTGCCAAACATTTTTCTTACTTAATTTTTTTGCTATTAGCAGCAATACACTGCGGTAGCAATTTGCTATATATATATATAATATATTTTAAAATAAAAAAATGGGATTTTTCAGTAAAAAATTGACCGTAAACTGCATACTTTGTCGTTGCAACCTAAATTGTATATTGTGCTATACAAATAAGTTTCCATCCTTCTGTTTCTTTTTATAATTTATATTGATATCTATAGTGAAAATAAACCTCAAAATAAAATCTTTCTCTGTAGATGGTAATAGAACACGTGCAAATAGTGAATATGTCTACAGAACGAGCTAGAAAACTTGGAAAAACTTGCGCTAGCTTCCACGTCCAAGCAGTGGAATTGGATGCTGTTTTTATAACTGGAGAACATTTAGAGATTGTAAAAGAGAATATTGGCGATGAAAAGGTATGAGTAAGCAGTACAGTAAAAATTTCAAGCTCTAAAATAGGCGCTCCAGAGGTATGTGCATCAAGATGGCGCACAACCTGACAACCCTAACCTGGTACACATACTATGTTCAGGTTGTGCGCCATCTTGGTGCACATACTTCGGGAGCACCCTAAAATAAAATACAAAATAGCTTTCGTTAAATTATACACATAGGCTATATTTTTTAAACAACTTCCTTAACCCTGATAATCAAAACGTTTTGCTTGATATAAAATCTCACATTTTGGGCTTGAATGACACGACTTTTTATATCTCCATCAATTAAAGACTTCTTCGTCAATCATTCATTACATTGAGTATATTTAATAAAAAACATAGCCTACTTCGGTGAATATGTAATCAGCAAACGGAACTTTACCTGAAATCACGATCATACTCTATTTTATCAATCATGAGTGATTCAAAAGTATTGCTGTACACTAACATAAATAAATTTCTGTAACGTTTTGTCTGACCAAGGTCAAACTTCCTCGAACGTACATAGTTGAACTATAACAAAAAAGTAGTTGCATGCATAATTAATCAGTGATTGGTGGTTAACCGATCAGTGATTTGATTGGTTAGGGTATCAATCAGATTGGGGTTTGAAGTCAAAACTCTATCAGACGCTGATTTTTCATTATCACACAACGTGATATTGTTCTATTGAACAAGTTACTACTGCACGACAACCAAAATTTTTGTTACTTTTTTAAAGAATATTTTTTTACGATTTTAAGATCCAAAAACTGATAGTACAAAGCCTTAAAGAAATAAGCTCGGCATTATTCGTTGCTCTCGCTGATTTTGTGAAATTCCACACGGAAGAACTGGAAATGGAACCGACAGTATGGAATGAAAGCGACATTGGAATCGTCAGCAGAGGAGAAAAATGCAAGAAAGTAAATTAAGTTAACTTGGATTTCAATTTAACAAAATCGCAGTTCAAACTTTTCTGCTCAAATTTCCAAGAGTTTCAGAAGGTCATACAAATTTTGATCGATTACAATCAGCGAGCACCTTTTTTTCAAATATGGCCTGTTTTTATTAAGGCGGATCACTGATCAATCACGAAAACTAATTATAGTATATATATATATATTATAACCTAGAAGAAGGATCATTCAACATATCCAATCTTTATTCTATTCTAAAATTACTGTTTAAATTATTTATTCTTGTTTTACAAAATTTCTAAGCTTTTATTTTGATCTTGACTAGATGCAAATCAGAGCTGTTAAAATAATCCATCACAGTATATCGATAAGTCGATGCGAACAATTGGGAAATATCTGTTCCAAATATGACGTGGATGAAATACACATCTTCCGAGCCCGACTCGAAGCTCAACATTTGCAAGTTTTCCTTGAATATGTGGAAGACGGAAAAGTAAGTTGAAATATTTGGGCTACATTTTTCAATTGATTAACCTAACTTTACATATCAGCATATTCTGAAAATCAGTGGTAAAAAATTCGATGCCGGTCGGGCCGATATTTTTGAAATCAGGTCAGACTGGTACTGTAAGAATCTGACCAGGGAACAGCCGGTAAACTTCAGTGCCTTTAGAATATATTTATGCGTTCTATTTGATATGATGTTGGTTTCCAAACGGGCGCTCCAGAAGTGTGTGTACCAATATGGAGGTAACTAATTTTGTTCGCCTACTTTACATCAAGTTGTATATAGAGACCGAAACTTATTGGACAGGGGATATATTAACTTGGCTAACACAGACAGTCTCCGAACTCGTAATTAAACTAAAATATTCTTAATTCAACCGGATAGCTAAAGAAAAATCGGAATAAAATTATGGCCTGACCCTAACCTGGTACATACACTACGGGAATGGCTACGTTCAAACGAGCCCTATCCTGTGTCCGACTAATCTGTTTAATCTATTTCAGTTTAATTCGTTGAGTATTGGTGACAACTACGAATTAGGAGACGAAGGTTGTGCTTTAGTTGGAGCTGTTGTTGTTAGATGTGAAGTTCGAAAGCTTCGCATGAGGGAATGCGATTTGAAAACCAGTGAAGTTAAAGCTTTTAGAGAAAACGTCAGTGATGCGACAGTAAGATATTATATATATATATACATCCACACCACCAGAGATATTTTAAAAAATAGAGCAGGGTGAGATATCGGGTTCGTAGAATTATTAGAAAATTTGAAAAATGAAACTAATAGACTTTTAACGGCGAGAAGAAAGCCGATAATCATCTGGCGAACCATTTGAAATCGATTGGTTCAATAGTTGCACAGAAAAGCGAGTTTGTCACAACAGCAACTTCAACCAGAAAAATTGAAAATTCTCAAGTTTTATGGACAAACAGGTCAAACGTCAAAACAGTTCTCCTTCGATTAAAAATACAGTAAAATATAATCGGGCCTCATTGGCCTCGAATAATTTGTGCGACATATAATATGCCTATATATATATAATACCAATATGACTATGCATTACGTTTTTTTAGGATATACATTTTTTATTTCAATTCTAGTTGGACAGTCTCGATGTGAGTTATAATGATAACTTGAATCCTTCAGTCTATTCTGAGATTGGCGTACTTGTAACACAGTGCCAACTTAAAAATCTTGCTATAAAAGATTGCTACCTGGAACCAAAGGGGATAAAAGCACTAAAAGACAATCTCGGCGATAACGTAGAGGTAAAATTCCATTTAGTAAAGTTTTAGAATATCACCGATGGAATCTATTTATCTAAAAACAAGAGAGCAATGTTCAAATATATAGACACGAAAGCCAAAACGGAGTACCAAAAAATTTTACAGTACCGGTCGTCAAACTACTACGGATATTTCTGACGAACGCCACGCGCTGCGCAATTTTTAATTTTTATTGTGTCTTTCCTCAAAACTTCCAAAAACAATTATTACCAACTGAAAATTGCAAGAGTGATATTTTCACAACAACAATAAGAACAACTACCGTGATTTAAAATGGAACAGCAAAATTTTAAGTGGATTAACTGGTCCCGTGGGAATCAGAGGATATTAGAAAAAAAATTAATAGCGATTTTAGCAATCGTTCGAATGCTAAAAATTTGAAATTGATTGGTCTATTCGGTAATAATAAAATAGTTTTTTTCCATAAAAACAACAATCCCAACTACAAGAGGGTCGCTAAATGATCGTTAAATCCACTTGTGTCTAACTAGCGAACAACGCAAAATTTGCGTTTCCGTTATCTGTACGATATCTGTATTCACTTAGTAGCGCAATTTCATTTACGGTAAATGATAACATTTTGATTAGAATCTTGTTTGAATATAATGGTATTTCTAGCATCTGGTACAAATGTCACTATTATTATTTTTTGACTCGGTAGTTGGCGCACTGTTCACGCTCGACACCGCGGCACTGATCACACTGCATAATGTCATTATGTCCAGGGGAATTAATAGACTCCTCTCCATTTCAGGGTGGTTCAATAAAACACCTATAGTCGGCTATTTCCCCTTTCGAACTTTGTGCGTTTTAAGAAACTGGTGAACTTTTTCCGTATAGTCCTCTGTGATTTAGTAACGTTATTGTTTATATCCTCCACGCAAAATACGTTTAAATTTATTTACAGCTTCAAACACTGGATTTTAGTGAAAATAAAGCCGACAAAATTGGCAAGGAAGGATTGTCAATGATTGGAGAAATCGTTCGCAAGTGTAAAGTTGAAAGTCTATTGATGAAAGATTGTAAATTCGATGAAGATCAGTTAGATACTTTCAAGGAAATGATTGGCGACATCGAATTTCATCATTAATATTTTTATAAGACTTAAAATTCTGTACTCTTGACCAAATCTTTGTTTGTTTTGTAGTATATATAGTGTTTTATTTTTCAGTATTAATATTGACTAAAAATGTGAACACGAAAACATTATCGTTGAACGAATGGCCCGACAAGTTTAAACAGTCAATTTCGGAGATTTTCAAAGTTCGACTACGACTTCCATATTAATGAAAAAAACAGAACCAGACTCCAGGTCCATAGATCTGGTTTGCTATGGAGGTTTTCTAATTCGTAATTTTCCCAATTTGATTTTTGGCATTGAGCCGTCATAGTGTACAAGATATAGAGAATTAAAGTTATTAAATTAAGTTATTAACACAAATTGAAATTTCAATAGCCACTGAAACAATATCAGTATATTGCTGTAATATTAGAATATTTTTTTTTTCTCAGTATAGTCTTTAAATATTTAAGTTAGGATTATAATCAACACACCCCGTAGCTATATAAAATGACATAACATATGTTCAACGTAACCTTCATTAGTTCTCCTTCATCTTGTACTACGGCGCGTAGCATACTTTCGTGATATATAGCCTACTGTACTACGAAAAGAAGTGATTTTACAAATCGTGGCTTTTCGCATTTCTATAAGCCGAACTTTAAAACGTTTTTCTATCCTCAATTAAGCCTGCTCACGTTGCTAGGCTATTCATGCTATTTTTAAAAAAAGTTTTTTTTATTCATGTTTTTTATTCCGATTTCATATCTATGTGTAAATAAAGCATATACGAGTAGCGATAATATTTTTTTTTATATCTCCAACAACATTATTGAATTTTTTTTAACCATATTTAGGTCAATGTGAAAATAAAGAGACGAGGTTGCTATGCATAATAATTATAAAGAATTATCTCAAACGATTGCAATAGACTAGAGGGAGAAAAGGAGACACAACCGTTTAAAAACTTTCGATTTGTCCACAATCCAGGTCCAAGCCTAGCTATAGCACGTGTAAGGTAGTCTGAATTCTGGTCACCGCCTTGATTTAAAAAAAATTGTACGATTTATGGACGAACTAATTTTTAGGGTGGTTGATTTTGTTCTGCATATGTACATGAGGGTTAGAGTGGCAGAATTAGAAAAGTAATCAAGCGTAACCGGTTAATTATAGCAGATATGTTATGCTTTAATTCAGGGCTCTTTAAACTGGGTGTTCCGACCCCCAGGTATGTCGTGAAAGGGTCCAAGGGTAAAAGCTTTTTTGACACTAACTTATGTTAAAACAAAATATCGAACAAATTTGGAAGTACCAGTACTGAGACCAACCATCACCGAAATAGAGCCGACATTCGATATTTCTGCGAGAATATGCAAGTGCAATGCTCAGTTTCCTTATTAATATTTTTTTTTTAATATTTTCTGTATTATTGAATTTTAATTTTTTTTTTTAGTTTCTGGGGGTCGGAAAAAAATTGGCCGTGCCGAGTGGGTCGTGATAAAAAATTTTTGAGCAACACTGCTTTAATTCATACATCAGTCAGAGGTTTGAAATGAAATCTGATTCCATTTTTGTTGAGTTTATGCCTCTGTATTGTAGTTCAATAACGGTTACGTTATTTCTGATAAAAATTTCGTTTTGCAACTTGAGCAATTTAACCCGAAGTCTTTTGTTAAAGGAACTGGACTGGCTTCAGAAACTTAAGAAGATGACAACTAAATCTATTCCAATTATAGAAATATATTATAAAGCTTTTCATGTTTTAAAACAACCATAAATAAAATATGATATAGGCGGCTCGTGGTCTTTCTTTTTCGTGTATATTATTAGGTCAAAGTGGGATGTTTAGCTGATATGTACAAGATTTTATAGATGGCTTCTCTTTTGTTCAACACGAGTATTCACGTAATAGTTATTCAACGACTTGCGGATATCTTTACTTCGAGATATCAAAGCACTAGCTACAGAAAAAACAGAAATTTAGTCTAATTTTGCTGTAATTGTGGGTTCACAGTAGTTTCAATCATGCTCTACTCAATGGAGCTGTACAGCAAGCACTCTAGTGGTTGGTGGCTCTGATTGTCGAACTCACAGTGAATTAACGAACTTTTTGAAAGCTTTAAACATAATATTCCTCAAGTCCTAAAATATGCGGATCACCTTTATGGTAAATTTACGTTGACAGCATAGATAGGCTATTGAAAATAACGATTACATGAGTCTTAAATAGAAATCCGGACATTTTATGTTTTTCCATTGTAGTCGGGTAGAAACAAAGAAATTAATACGACGGTAATTGATGGATTTACGCAAATCTATTGTATGTCCATGAAAGTCAATCGGTATGACATGAATGTATTGTTTTTCAACAAAATATGTTCGGAAAATTGTATCTAATTCTTCGTATATATCATATCAGCTCTGGTTCTTTTTTCGATTTCATAATTTGTAAGAAATAACTTTCCCATTGCGCTTACACCATGGAAAACGAAATTGTAAGTTGAGGCCGAAGATTCATAACATGTACGGTGGTATTTGAGCTTGATTTCGAAATATGTGAAATATGATTTAAATTAGGTGTTCTCAAATTCTCATTATCCGTGGCGCTTCTCAAAAAACCCAATACTTGTGGTCCATTGTTTCTCTAATTGAAATACCTAGTTGAGATTTTTACGCTATTCAATCAGATATTCCACTCGTCAGTATTCGGTCTTGTAATTTGGTGCTATACTCGTTTACAGATTGATATGACGTGACCACTCGTCTATGAGTCCAAAAAAAATCTTCATTAATTCTTCACTAGCTCTGCGATGAAAAGAATGCAGGACTTGAGAAACTCATGGGATCGTCTCCTGACTATGTGAAATTCAGTCCCAGTCAGTGACCGTAAAATTATGCATTTCAATATACGAAGCAAGTAAGAAGAACAAAATAGCCCAATCAAGTAAAATACTTGTTTTACAAAATCAATCATAATCCTGAGGTATAATACTAAATTTTTTGAAAATAAAATTCAATCTTTTTTAATATTTACCGACAGTTTCCAAAAATATATCAACGACCAAGAGGCGCTAAATTCAACAGATTCGGCAGAATCTGTTTCCGCATGATGGAAGTTTAAATACAGTCAGGTACCAGCTATCGAATTCATGGTAAAGCCACCTCTAAATAATAGTATATTTATTTTATATAACAACTTTTTAATGAAAGTTAAACACATTCGAAAAAGATGAAACAATTGAACTGACTTACGAAAACAGCAAGCGTTGCCTACTATAGCAGAAGACAATTTTGATGCTATAAACCAGGGGTGTGCAACCTTTAATACAGGAGTGCCAGATACAAATAACTGGGCGAAACCGCGCGCCGCCCTTCATTTAACATGATATATATGCTTTCTAGTAGTTTCAAGCGGTATGTTCCCCAGCTTTTCTCTTTAGGGGGGGTGTTTCAAAATTTAGGGGGTGGTAAATAATTTGCTATTAGAGATAAAACTAGGCTATTTGTATTCTTAAAAAAAATGGTATGTATTTAAGAGACGATGTACATGGGGGCCCCCTCAAGTTGATTGACGGCGAGCCAAAATCCACAGCAGAATGAAATTGTCGGGCCAGAAAAGGGGAGCGAAGAAAAGTGCGGGACGACACGGCTGGGGTTCAGGGCGCGCTCAAGCGGCCTGAGAAAAATTTGAAAAATAGGCACCAAAATAGGCTCTAAGCTTGATTTTAGATACACCTAGCATCGCAGTTTGTTATGTAATAAAATCAATAATTATAATATTTAGCTGATAGAATTCCCGGGGAATAGATAACAAGCACGGCTTTCAACCGTAAATATCTACTACTACGTTTCAACAAGTAATTTGCAAATGATAGTGACTAATGAAGTTACTTGCTCATCTGTCATTGTATGAATGGCTACTTATGGCTAGTTTTGTTACACATTTCTAATTTTTTTGAACATGTTTGTTTGACTTTTGTATGAATTAAATTTTGAAATACGCTCGTCAACTGATCATAATGTCGCATAATGTTGTATTCCTTCAGAACTGAAATATTTTGTTGGTAAGAAGACAAATCGCTGAAGTTTGATTCTTTTCAATAAAGAAATAAAAACGCTGTCATTCATCTAAAAAACGTCTGTTTTCAGTGCCTAGTTTTCGTTTTGTGACATCTTTAAGCTTTCTTAATATACGGCTGATATCTAAAAATACTGCAGTGTGTAATCATAATACCCATACCTATACATAAGATACCGGAATAATTCAATTGTTACGAAATAAACGTGCTTAAACTGTGATAATGATGTAACAATAGACGGTATCTAAAACTCAAAAGGTACCACATGAAGGGTTAAACTATTTCACTCAAGTTCGGCGGGCCATTTCAAATGGTCACACGGGCCGTAATTGGCCCGCAGACTGCGGTTTAGAACCCCTCAGTGTGGAATCGCACCTCAAAATTAGGGGGGGTGTTTGAAATTTTAGGGGGGGTGTTCACCCCCTATAGGGGGGGTGTAGGGAAATCACTGGTTTCAAGCACAACAATTTTTGGTATTGATTTTGTAATATTCGTTTTTCGCTTCGCAAAAACTAGCTGTTAGTGCATTGTGACGTCATAGGCATAAATGATCGAACTCGGGTATGGGCATTGCAACTCAAAGGGATTGGAATTACTTGCATGTGCCAGATTGAACTGAATTGAAAACTCGTTTGCGGGCCGCACACCATTCAAAATTGTCACTTCTCCGCGGGCCTCCCAACTTTTCCTTGTGGGCCGCATTTGGCCCGCGGGCGCAAGTTGCACACCCCTGCTATAAACTATTAACTATACAACTTATCTACAGGGTTTGTACTGATCCAATGATAAGCATTTCATTACATAACGGCGCACATATACGAAAATGTGTTAAAACTCGTCAATATAAAAGTTTATATTACGAATGTAAATAAATTTGAATAAAAAAATGTTGAATGTGGTAGAAATGCAAAACCTAGAAATAGGTCGGAAATGTCACCTGTTTAATACTGCTGTAGATATCAATCAACATACCTTATATGCAGACGGCACGTGTGTCTGGCTTCGCAAAGATTGATAATATTTTCCACTAGGTCCTCCTTTATTTTATCTATTACATTGATGATCTTCGATAAAAGAGTATTTCATGTATAATCAAGTCCGACCAGATAATATTTTAAAAGTAGAATGTTACCATTAAAAATAATTAATATGATACCTAATGGCCGATTGATCAATTTCACAAATAAATAAATTGCAGATAAATATATATAATAGTGACTGAAATAATAACATTCCTTTGATGTGAAAACCCAGCAAAAAAGTTTAAAATAGCTTTTACTTTTCAGGATAACTTTTAAAAGCCTAAAAGCAACTAAAATAGAAATAGCGAGTGTATAGTTTAGAATTAAATTCACTCCACGATTAAATATTATCAAAATACCATATGTTGCGATCTTCTTTTGATGACGATTGTCAACTCTTCGTTTCATATATAGGCTACTCATGAATATTTACGTAAAAAAAGTGCGTGATACTCGAGGATAAATATTATAGAATGAATACTCCCTCCCAGTATGTCTCAATGATAATATTATGTTCATTATTAGAGGTATATTTTTTATCAATCGCTTCCACGATCAGGTTTGTAAATTGTATCTGAGATTACTAAGCCTTGATCATTTCAGTTATGTTCACTAAATTTGTAATATTGCTTAACTTATTTAGCTCAGAAAATCAGAAAGAGGTGAATGAGAAAATATTTTATATTCTCATACAGCTATCCTAGTATGACAACGTCCGTTCAAATTTTTGTGCAGAATTACGTTGTAGACAAGATCATGAGCATCGTTTGGATATTAATGAAATGGTTGCACGCTTTTACGTAAAAGTCGAGCCAAACTTTGGCCTTGGATTTAAACTTTGACAAAGAAATTTTAGGCAGAGTACGATAATACATCTGCAGATCTTAGATGACACAAAAAAAGAAGATTCAGAGGAATTCAAATTCTAAAGTCAGGAAGAGTGATTCCGCTCCGAGCTATGTATAGTGCACGGATTTTACTGTTTAAGGTGTTTTGTGGTTAGAGCTATTTTGTGTCATATATAAATAATTGCACATCTGCAAATCAAAATTCAAAAATCGCTTTCCGTCTGTGCTATTTGAAGGCAAATTTATTTATATGGTTCTAGTGGTTTGAGAATTGGCAAGAATAAAAAATTAGTTGTGTTTTCTTGGGTGAGAGATATATTGAGTAATGTAAACTTGTCTACTCATTCTTTATCTTCACAAATCCAGTTCTTTTAGAAACTTTTTTTGTATGTAATATGCTGTAAGGATGTTTCAGTTGTGTATCAGAAACAACGTCACTCTCCTAAGGAAGGCTCAGGTCATTCTAAGAAGGGCACGATAGATAATCATGGTGCCTCAAATATGTGTTGCCGACCGTGTAAAATAAAAATGGAAACAAGCAGATATAGGATCCTAATAAAGTAAAACATAATTCGTGAACATCCGCTCAGACACGCGGCACGCGTCTGCATTGTCTGAATTTAGTTGTAATCTTTTGAAATTATGACAATAACTTTTGACGCACTCCGCCCCCAAACGTCTAATTTGGTTCGCTTTTGATAAAACATTTTCGGCTTAATTCCAATGAAATCGAACGGAAGAAGTTGAACAATGATATCAATTAATTTATTGTTCTTCTAATTATCAGTATCGCGTCAGATGCGTTTCAAACATATTCCCTCATATGTCGGATATAGATGAAATAAAAAACTTTTAGCCTCAAGTCCTTATCTTTCTACAAAGCGTGCCACGCAACGGCAAGATAATATGATATTGAAATCAAGTCCTATTTTCCGGAATAACACGTACTGATATCTTTTCAAACATGTTGTTCGTTGAATACGTAAAAAAATATTACAGCACAGCACTAAAAGAAAACCAATAGGCTATGCGTTTTTTTAACTACAACAAAAACATTTGAAATTAAAAGTAACCGAAAATATGAATGAAAATTGCACTAATTAAATTTTAATAATATTATTATCATGCACCGTTTAAAAAACTAGTTGCAATTGTAAATTAAACTGCATAAATATCATGATTTTTCTTTATTTTAAAACTAAAAAGTAGAAGTTTGTTTTGTATTAAGAAGTAAAAATCTGCATTCTCTGAAGACCACGACGCAGTGATTTTTGTTTTATTTTCAATCTAATGAAGCCCGTTCTAGAATCTAGGCTCAAAGACTTAAAAACTACAGCTGTTATTAATATGATATAACCATTTCTATAAATATTTCGCATTTAACGAATTATCTGTTTGGTGTAATTAGCAAGCTTCTTGTCAATTAAAGCCGTATGTTATTCCGCATATTGGATTCTACCATTATGTCATTTCTCGTAATTAGATATTTTGTTTTCACCAAGAATTCAAAACATGGTTCAATTTCGAATCACGGTTGGTGAGTTCATGACGAAGCGACACATTGGTTTGGAATGTACGTCGTGTTGAAAAGGTTTAAAAATTTATTTAAAACCAACACACAACACCTTTGAAGATGAAAATGACTTCATTTTGTTATTTTATACCAATCCCTTTCAAAATCATTGATTATTTATTATTCATAATTAAAAAAAAACGGGGGCCATCCTTGGGTTATGCTAGATTAGGAATATATTTTTTCACCGATTTTTTTGTTATACCGTTTGATATTCGAGTCCTCTTATAATGACCGTTTCCCGGCGCCATGACAGATATCATCCAACAGAACACAATCTATGGTCAGCTGTACCGTGGAATTTCTCCAATTCTTAAATAATGCGCCGCGGAATGTCTAAACAATAGATCAAATTAGGTGAAAAGAATAATGATCGATGATCAGTTACCATCTGTAACAAACACCGGTTAATTTTGACAATTGAGCAATCACTACCTATTCTCCGCTGCTACGATTACTGTGTACGTGTATTCAGAAATAGCTTTGGCGGGACGCTATATACGCAATCCGAAATGCAAACAAATAGAGACGAGATAACTTGGCACAAAAATGTATTCTATTGCATTATTTTGGGAGCGTTTGATGTTGGTCACGCCTCCGCTTTTATTGACCTCAAATACATTTAGCTCCAATGTTTTCGCTGTGTGGGTTTAGGGAGCGAATTAGAAATCGACTTGGGTACGTTAATTCAAATACGCACCATCAAAGCGCGACTTTTGTGCAACACCTGATAGGCGTTAATGTTCTGTTTGCTTTTGCGCCAACGTTAGTTCGTGTTTGGAATATAATAACAGGCTTTTATGTGACCGCTTTGCGTTTTTAGTCAAAAGTGATTAACAAATTTAAGGCTCTTTTAATTGAAATCGACCGTGGAGGCGGCGTATCCGAAAGTAGACGAAAAAATATATCGGGATACGTAAGCTTTTACATTTGCTGGAAAGATATAAATACGATAGAATAGAAGGCAGTATGATTAATATAATATCGCGGGCAGTGATTGGATATAGTGTCTTGAACCTTCCCGCTGTGGGTTGGCCAACCCGGCGGGTGTGAAAATCCTAAGTTCGCGAGCAGGCTTAATTCGAATGTGCTTGATGAGAAAAAGGCAGTAGAGATTTACATTGCTATTATATATGTAGGTAAACCATATCATTACCTTCGGACAATTGAAACAGGAACGCGAGATTTTATTAATGAGCTACATGAACCACAGGGTATTATATTCAGTTTATTCTCTTCTACGGCGCATATGGTTCTCGCAATTCTCACTGCCGGACAGAGAAACATAGCGTGCAAATTAGGGAGGTAATTAACGGCAGGTGGGTGACCAACAAGAATTATTAATACATAGGAGAATAGTGAATTGTTCAACAATATGGGAGCCCTTATAACCACCATTAGTTGTACGAATAAACATGTTCTGTTATTTGCAGATTTTATATAGATTTATTTTATAGCCAATGCGATGCTGTTGGGAAGCGAATGTATCGCGAAAGCGCTTGCATATAACTGCTGCATCGTTTTATTTTTATTACTTGTCTGCCATCCGGACTCGTCTATATTTGCAGAGGCACGCAGGCGAGGTAGTTCAAAATCATACAGGTTCAGAAATGGTCACCAGAAGTGGCGAGAATCATCGGTGTTTCGCCATAGACTATCTAACCCAAATAAGGATGATTCAAATCACAAAAAAATTGACAATTTTATGCCGCAACGAGCGCGGCCAACGGTTGATGCAAGAACTGAGCGAATAAGACAAGCTATTTTAACTCTGCCAGAATTATCAAAACTTCTGGATCCGCTAAGACACGCGTCAAATATAAATGATATATTTGCACCAGCGGACAATTTTCACCTTATGGGTACAGTAAGACGAAGAAGATTATATTGTCGTGTGGGAATGGGATATCATTTAGAAATTCGTCGAGATGGAAGAGTAATGGGTCGCCATCGACCAACTCGTGATGGTAAGATTTCAGTTCATTTCAATTATATTTACTCATCGAAATATCTGTCGTATTATCCTTTACCGTATTCTACGCTATTATTATAAATTACCACCGTTCGAATTTAGTACTTACGCGGAAAAATGTTCCTACAATTTTTTTCACATTGTTTATAAATATATCAGCGGGATATATTCGTACGCAGCGTGCCTGCTTAGACAATCTTGTGCCAATTTAAATTTCATATCATGTCTTGCATTATGTTTAGCACGATGGAATTGTCTGACTGGCTATACTGGATTTTCAACTGTGGGAAAACTAATTGTCACTGCATGACTTTATTCATATCACCTACCGGTGTCTAGCACATCAGCCACAAACGTCCCTAGGAATCCTCGCTTCGATAAAATTAATTTTTTTTTCATTTCGGTTAAAAAATAGCATTCTAATTTTTATTCCGATTTCTTGCGATTACAGGTGCGTTACTAAAGTTTTCTGTTCAATTTTTGAATATATTTTGAATGTAAAACTTTTTTAAATTGTAAATTAGCGCAAATGATTTGGAGGGTTATAAATTATAAAATTCGTGAAAATGAAAAAATGAAATTACGGAATAAAATTACAAATTATCAAGAAATTATAAAAAAAAATTGTAATTTTCGATTCAAATAATTTGTTTTGAAGTATTTTTAACATGGGTGTGTATATGTTGTAAGGGCAAAAAAGTTTTCACCACTGTGAAAATATATTAATTTCCGATGTTCGCCACATCAAAGCACAGACGAAATGTCACAGCGTATCATATATCAGTATTATAAGCCACAAATGTGTGTATCAAGCATTTAAGTATTTCATATTTCATACAAAGATATCTAATTATGAGAAATATGATATTACTGTCGCGGGGCTGATCACTATATGATCTTTAGAAATGATGATTTTACGGCAACAAATGCGCGTGTAGTAGAATTTTAAACATGTTTATTCAGACATTGGGGTGAAACTGGGGAATGAAATAATATTATTGCGTCACGTTTGATGTCAGATTGACATACACAATACGTTTATGTTTTATTCGTCTACATATTCATCTACAATTCATAAAAGTGTGTTATATTTTTGAAAACGTTTTTGCTTTTGAAAATGGAAAAAAAAATCCTAATAATGGTTCACTATACAACGTTTTGATTGGTAAAATAAAATGGGAAAAAAGTTTTTTATTTGTTTGTTTGATTGGAAAAGCATGTACCTGACTATTGCTCCTTAGCACGAGGTTCCGTTTGCTATTTAGTATTTTATATTACTGGTAATTTCAACACAAAAAATATTAATTGGCAATAGTATTACTATAAATGTAGTATAATTGATATTAATCATTTTACTTTTAGAAATCCGTGTAAAATCACATTGTTTCACAACGTATTAAATTGTAAAATCTATTTTCAGGTATTTTAGAAATCTTCAGCGTGAAGACCGGTGTTGTGGGAATACGTGCAGTTGCCAGTCAACGTTATTTATGTATGAATAAACGCGGAAAGCTTTATAGTTCGGTAAGTATTATTGATCTTCCGTTTGAAATATTTTTCATAAATAAAAATAAAATCTTTTTGACGTGAAGGAGAAAAGAATTTTTACAATCGAAATAGTGTCATTGAATATAATTTAATTAGTTGTTTTATATTCATATTGCGTGAAGTCGTTACTATAGAACTAAATTGCGTCCATTAGCAATAATTCCTATACACACCCGCCTTCAACCTTTGTCAAGAAACGGGGGGTACAAACAGATTATGTCGTAATAATGTAATAAGTAAATTCAAACTAGGCTTAATTAATACGTAATAATGCGAAACAATTAAGGTATTTCAAATTCGCGCGATTTCGTAACATGGATAGGGATGTATATACGGTTCTAATCGCAATTTGAATGGCTTTTTTCGTGAAAATAATGCTAACGTCGTTGTATCAAATATATATTTTTGGATATGTACGTTTATTTTCATTTATAAATAAAAGTTGTATCGCGTTTTCCTTCTGTAAATTTTAATTTATTTTTGATCTTTGTATTCTCGGTTGCAACCAAACGTATTTTCGGAAGCGCTTTGGACTCATGGTAGGGAAACGAACACAAATAGATCTTATATTTTGACAAAAGTGTCACAGAATAATGTTGATAAATAAATCAAGCGCGGTATATTATTACTATCAAAGGTCGGGAAATATCACGTGATATATTGCGGACGCGGAAATGTAAATACTATATGATGTACAATTTTAACCACGACGTTTTGGGTTTGAACTCCTGCCCTTGACGCATTGTTGCGTCATAGTTAAGAATTGATAAAAAAGAACGTATCAATCAACGTAGTGAAAACCAGATGTTTCTCTCTTGTCCGATGTAACGCATGTCGTGAGAAATTTTTAACTTATTGTTATCATTGTTCCAAAACATTTAAACAAAAATAATTATGATATGATGACACGGTAATTTCAATGATCACAGACATACCGCACACAACGTTTTCCTCAAGTCATATGGCACCTGGCGACGTCAACTTTCATAAAACCTCATTTTTCATACGCCGAATTGTATTGATAAAAATTAGCGACATTTGTTCACAGTTTTGGAATTGGGAATTAAAAAAAAAAAATTTACGAAATAGTTATAAAATAACCCTATCGTGCTCTTTTTAGAATTCTCAAAAAATTATTTGTTTTGAGTTAAAACGAAAAATTGTTTTTCACACGACAATCATGTACGTTTTTTTCATTGAAATTAATATCTCCGTGACGTCAAAGGACGTTTAAAAGACGCCGCTTAAACTTAAGAGAGAAAATTTCTCATATTTTGAATTTAATGAAACGAATAAACATATATTATTGGTATATGTACGATTTAAAATTAGATGAATATCGCGACAACTCGCTTCCGTTTCTAAGGTCGTCAAAAGAAAACATCGACTTATTATTATTTTACTTGGCATAGATGATATCACACTGAAATATGTTCCCACTCTAGGATTATTCTACAAGTCTGGAATTTATGTTATACATGGGGAACCCAAGATCTAACAACAGAGTTTGAGCGCGTCCCATTGATTCAGTCGGCAAAAACATTCGACTCGCTTTTTGTTATTTTCGATTCGCAATGTAATAAATACTATTTAAGCATTTGACACCTGACAGTTAAATGATTACAATTTTTGGTATGGGACGTTTGTTGCGCCGTCAGCAAAACAATACACCTTTCGGACGAGAACAATGAATCGATCGAAGCCTACCTTATGTGAACCAAAGTATTGATAAACGCGCATCATATGGGAATTGCTTGGTAACTCAAAGTCAAGATAGATTATAACTAAACTAATTTTAGATTAAACATAATCTTTCGGTTTAATCGGTTTCATCTAACCCCACGAATTTAAATTGCTATTCCTATCAGCTTTAAGAAGTATCTCGAGCCCCTGGCAATTTTATAATTTTGATGAAATATAAGACCAAAAATTCCCAACATGTAAGCGCTTCAATTGTGTAAAACGATGGTTTAAATTTTACAATTTTTATCGAATAATTTTGACCTTCAAAAGTTTGTAAAATTTCCTAATTTTTTAAATGTTTTTTTTTGACAAAGTCATAAATCGTCCATTACTAATTACATTTATGATTGTAATTTAAATTAACTTTTTGCTTCAAAAATAGAATATTGTTTCGAAGTTGTCCGATATTTAGACGCGGTTTCCGTACCGACCGATATGGCGTAATTAAAATCTATACTCGACACAATGGATCACCATGTGAACAGATACAATTAGATTTCTACGTCTCCACCACATTGCCAGTGGAATGTCCGTCACAAAGATTTTGTTACGTCATATGCAGTCGAGTGTGGATCAGAAAAATATCAATCATCACATTTGTTTCAAAAAACGTTTGTGCACGATAGAATTTCTTATGGAGACTCGCAATACGGAAAATTACGCAAAATAATTGATTTCAATGTAAATCTAATCTGTAATCACGAAAGTACAACGAAATACAATGCTCGCAATTATATCAGCAGATACCGTCTTTCCGGCTTGCCTATATCTTCCGGAACTTTGCTGGCGTCTAAAACCGAATTAGCACCGACGCAGCCCTTCCTCCGTCCCCAATCATACTGGCCGCCTATATTTGTTTGATATGCTACAAGTGACCCTTTACAACCTATCGCTTAAGACTGTTAGAAGTTGGAGGCGGTATATTTTTTGCGCGTGTCCAACAGAAGTCGTCTGCGATTTGCGTTTTCGTTTTAAAACAATGTTCCATACAATAACAACTCATTATTATAAAGATAAACATATTAATTATCGAGTTTATTTTACGTCTTTATATTATTCTGTGTGGTCGTTTAAAACAGCGTATTGGGATATATACTACGATTAATAACGTCAAATATTTTACCATCATAAGATTTCGTGAAATAATATTATTTTGTACAATAATTATCATTATTTATATACAATATATTTATGATGTAAAATGAAAATAAATTATTATTCTACGATTACGTCAATTTAAGGTAAATTTAGAAAAATAAGTATTTTAAAAAACAGGTGTCGAATCAGAATGGGCCTTTTCGTTTCGGTCGATTTGATGAATGATGATAGGCCGTTGTAAACTTAGCGGCTGTCAAAAACAGTAGAATAGACACGGGAGTAAACCTCAATCTTGAAAAGAAAAATGTCATGTTATTAAGACTGAAGTGAAACCCACACCCCCCTCGATAAACACCTGTGTCGATTTATAATCTATTCTCTCCATGACCCACTAAACCTATCAATTCCTCACTAACGAATGGCAGTCATCTTCTCTAATCTAGAATTAATACTTCAACAAAATTTTGAAAATTTAACGAATTTCTCTTTTTTTACAGTCTCAATTTATTCATGAATGTGAATTTCGGGAAAGAATCGAAGAGAATAATTTTAATACGTATGCATCAAACTCATACAGTCATCACGAGAAACGAACTGGGTACTACATGTCGCTGACAAAAAGAGGAAAATCTAAGAAGAGTAAAAATGTTTCTGGGCGACAACAAAAGGCACATTGGTTGCCGAGAAGTGTGAATGACTGATAAACATTTGACAGTAAACCTATATATCTCAAGAAGTGGGAAATTCTTCGAAAGAAAAACGAGGGATGGTGAATTTAACACCAGGAATAGCGAGTGAAAGCACACGCGATCGCGGTGCGAAAAAGCGCGTAAAGGAGAGGGGTTCGAATCCGCTGGCGGTTGCGACCCACACAGCACCGAACATGCTTTGACAATATGCTACTATGCTGCTTTGACAATTTTGAAGGTTGTACATATATATCAATGCATACTGTATGGCATTTCAATAACGATTTCTCTAAAACAAACTCTAAAGAAACTATCAAATCATTTAGTGCATACTGTCTTGGCCATGGTGGTGGTATCCATATCTATTAAGTTGAGAAGAAACGTACTGCCAAGTGCCAATAAAATGCCTTTTGCAAGAACTTGAATATGCACAAAACCATGTTCAAACTATTCAAAACACAACCATCCACAATATATTGCAATTTTTCATTTATAAATCGTGTGGATTGTTGCATTTTCTTCCACATAACCACATTTCTTCACATAATTTATCACTGTGATTTTCATGATATAGTTTACTACACCGTGAACAAACTTATTTGTAAATTCACTGAATTTTCACCGTGAAAGTGGCTACCGTATTCGTCGACATTTGCATGGGTAATAATGGTTGCGATGTGATTCATTCGAGCGTAGCCTACTTACAAATGACATATTGAGTTACAGTACAACGCTTGTAAATTTTTTGGTTATTTAACCCCTGACCCCCCCAGTCGTGGCGATACAGTTTTTCTTCATATAATGTAATTTTCATACTAATTACTAAAAATACTAAATATCCATTCCACTTAATATTATATGATTTTCTTTCTAATTGTGGTCATGGATTGCCTTAAATCCCCGCACTTTAATATTTTCACAATACCAACTTGGACAACAATTTCGAACGAAGCCTTCCAAATCATTTATTTTTCCACAGTATAAATTATCATTTGACAAGGCACCATTTTCGTCCCTCATAGAATTCATGATATTTTATTTGGACATTACAAATTTGAAGAGAGAGCTTGAAAAGATTGTGAAAAATACCCACAAGAATTTAAAACTGATCTATCTCTTATGACATACACTGTCCTATATTCCACATAAGATACAACTAGTTTGAATGTTTGAAAAAAATAAATGTGTTTTTCCGGTACTTGGTTTGATGAATTGTGCAAAATCGGGAGTTTTTATTTTATTCTGTAAATATTTTTGTATTAATGTAATTGAACTATCGATCTAGCGCATTTTGTACACTGTTTACTCATATTTTTCTCATTTCTTTTTAATATTCTCGATTTATATTATTCCAGCATTTGTATATATCTAATTTATTTGTACAATATTTCATCACACAGTGGCGTGTTTTGCGATATCTTTGCCATGAAAATGCTGTCAAAATTTTTATGTTCCGTTGAAATGTTCAGTAGTTTATTCGTGAAAATAAATGAAAAGGAGGCAAGTAAATCTATGTTTGATGTATAAATTTGCTTACAGAAATGTTTAGCTGATCAGAACAAATATCAAAACATGAGGATATCAGTTAATAAAAAAAAAAGTTGGGTCAAATGATTATATTGTTATTGCAAGAAGTGGCACAAAGATATCAGTCTACAAATGAAAATTACGAACTGCAAGCTGATAATATCTATCACCACGTTGGGAATACAGCAGTGTTTCAGTTTACTTGCGCTGTTAATGTTTTCCTATCTTCGCCTTGCTTAAACTTTTTTGTTAACGATTAATAGTAATAACGGGTTTTTCAGGGTAGAGGATTTGATTTTTTCAGTACGCGTTCTAGATTTCGCTGTACAAGAAAAGTAGGCTATCGGCTTTAATTCACAATTGCACGCAAATCTTTAGTTGGCATGTCCAAGTAATAAATAAGTACAACAATTCAGCCGGTGTAGTACGGAAAAGAATCAAGCAGACTGTATTACAAACCCACTCTTCAGACTTATAATAACGAGTCGCTGAATATTGAAAAATCAAAATAAATAGTATTTTTGTGACTGCTTCATTAAATTCAATCAGCTATCAATGAAAACGATCACAGAAATTGAAAAACAGCGATGTTGGAAAGAATTGATAAAAAAATCTTTGTAAAATATATATTTCAAGTCCTTCAAACCTGTAATTCATTATAACAAAAGTGGAATAGTTTATTGATCACACAATAATCATCATTAAAGGTTTGCCATTTCTATAGCATTGATTTCAAAGTTGAGATTTTATCCCACTGCGTTTTCTTCGCTGAAAAATAATTTTTGAGCTTCTTAGGTGCAAGATAAAATGTTTATTTAAAATCCATTCGTGATATGAAGTTTGTGAAATGTTGCTGACGCAATTTTAGTGATGACTGAAATGGTAGCAAAGTATATATATTTTCTAGAAGACTAATTGCTTTAATGTAAAGTTACCACATTTTAGCTACGTGACTCAGAATTCTCGTAAACGAATTACGTGGTTCAGTTGGGTTCCTTAGGGGATAGAATTCATGGCCCGAAATTGAAAGTCAGCACTACAGTGAAACGCTTAAAGTTAAGAACGGGCCGCATTTACGTTCTGATCTCATCGCTGAAGTTTGCACAAAAACTAAAACGGTTTTATAAAAACTTTTAGTAGAGGGCCAATGAAAAAATATTCACAAGATGAAAGCAATGAGCCCCAACACAAAGTCTTTTAAGCCTAGTGCCTAACAAGAGATGTTGGTAAAGATGATTGGGTATTGATTCAACATTATAACAAAACGGGAACACTTGATATTTTATATAACACGTCTTAGCGAAGACAGGAGTTAGAAAAGGTTGTCCCGGGGGTTCGTGATGGATGTGTTATTATTAACTGCTTAGTATCCTCAGTTAAATTTAACATATAAAACAACATTAATCAACGTCGATAACTTGCTCTCGAGAGGATGTCGTGATAAGCTTAGAGAATTGTATACAAGCTATATTGAGGCTGTGTTCCAACACGCGATCGGACTAATATTTAGTATGTTGACAGAAGGATGTCATGTGTTTCCCTTCTTTCCTTCGATAATCAGAGATTAAGGATTTTTGTTCGTTTATTTAGTCGACGATAGGACGTATTTTGCGGTTTATAAAACACTATATGATTGTTGTAAGCAACTGGCACAGGTGATGATGAGAACCGGAACAGTCGTAAACACAAGCAGATCACCATTTCACGAAATAATATTTTCAAATTCGATTCACCTGGTTTTTCACGGATGAATGATATCATAGCTGTACGGGACATCCTACACGACTGATCTTCAAAACGTGAACCGACAGAGACGCGGGGGTACAACGTCGCTTCTGCGACGTTACCCCGCGTAACGTAACTTCGACTGGGCGTGTATTTGAACTAAGTGCCGGTACCGAGAAGTAACAATTTAAAAGTGACGTTTTTGGCTTGCCAAAAAACTGGAATAAGGCGCGACAAATAACGTGAAGGTACAACCTCGCCTATGTGCCGTTACATCGGCGTAACGTAACTTCGAGTGGGCGTGCATTTGGTGCCGATACCAAAGTAATGAGTTACAAAAGTAATGAGTTAAATATGACGTCTCGAACTTACCAAGGAAACTGAAACAAAACGCGACAAATGAATTGTGCGCATTTAAGATTGGTATATCGTATTCGAAAAGGCACGTTAATAAACGCATGCTCCTCTTACTTGTGGGCCTGCTTTAGGTCTCGGATTTCCAAAGTTATTTAAAAACATTAGTTTAATCTTAATGATATATATACTATATTTTACTCCTATTATTACAAAAGCATATTACGCATTTATTATCAAATACATTTTCTCTTTTTCGGGAGTGCGGGCATAATTGCCCATTTCGCTTCACGGGAATATATTTCTCTCTTTTCATCTCTGAATAATTAGAATTCCTAGATCACATGTTTCATTACGCTACGTTTAATATGCAAAGATGTTGATATTACCAATCAAAACAAGAAATGTGCGAAAATTTTGCCGATCATCTAGTCTTGTGATTTATAACTTTTGAATTTGTTTCTATTTATAGATGATGACAAGCACTAATGTGTTGGACTGAATATTTTTCCTTCGATGAGTCTAATACATAAGATTTTTTCAATATAGTTTGTTGGTTGAGTACAGAGTGCACAGCTGATGCTGCGGTCCTAGCCCTGTTAAACATTGGAACAATCAATGTAGGTAGCCTCTTGTGCGCCACAGACACTGTCAATTGTGAGTGCAATCTTTCTTAAATGACGGGACTGGCCTACTGAATTATGAGTTTTACATAAAGATAGATTCATCTGTTTAAGCGAATAAACAATGTTTACAACCTTCAATTCTGTTACACATATGGCCGAAATAATGATTTTTTTGTCGGTTAGCGGAATGTCAATTTCAGTCTTCTCGGATTCTCGCTTAGTGCTTTAAAATTATACCACAGTGAAAACCACATCGAAAAGATCTACAGTTGAGCTGGTCGGTAAAATATGTATATGTATGTAACAATTTTGAAATTTAACATGAAGTATATAATTTTTTTTTAAAAAACATATCTAGTGAACTATCAGAAATAAAATGAATTTGCAGCGACTTGCCAATGCGAAAAATTATGTTCTAATCAGTTTAAATGGCGCTTCAGTACATTTTTTGTGAATTGCATCGAATAGCGAGTTTTCTGTATTGCGCAGCATTAAAATATATCACCTAAATACATGATTCAAATAAAATTCGCGAATGGAAACTCCAATTTCATCTGGTGAATCCTCTTGCAGATAATGAAGGCCGCTCACGGACGCCATCTTCAGGTTAGGCCAGTTGCGTACAATCTTACGAATTGCAGGCGACAGTTGTCCGGGATTTGCGTCAATATACAGCTTTGGTAAATAGGAAGATTCGGACAACCATGATTTGTAAGATAGCATCTTTTCTCTAACAGATTCTGGTCCATTTTCTCCTAGACCTGGGAAAAGTTTAAAAAAAATCTTGTTCTTAAAAATATTTTGTCCTTGCTACAAAACCTAAATAGTGCCTACTGCCTATACTTAAAACTAATGCTAGGACATAGTAGAGACTCCATTAGCGTATAGAAAATTGTGACTCGTTATATTTATAGCCTCTGCAGTGGTCATATTTTGCGAAACGTTATCTTGATTATCTCACATCGCAATAGGAACAACAATACTGTACCAATATTATTGAAAGTCATAAGGAACGTTTCGCGGCGGGTAAACAATCTGTTGATTTTGTGGGTGGTTGATTAAACATTACTAAACCAAGGGTAATTTGAGTTTTTGTATTTTGCATGCAGCTTTGTATCGAAAATTGACATAATGAACCAGTGGGGTTAATAAAGCATATTTGATGTATGGCACTTTGGGACTACAGTAAGTTTTCAGAATATTTATAGGTCATCCCGTGTGCACTTTTACTTCGATAAATCTCTCCACCTATCACCATTGTACCGTTTAATGCTCATTAGTACGTACCGTCGATTATAAGCTGCCGTGGAAATGTTAATGTTGGCCTACGCCCTTCTCCTTTGTCGGCAAAAGGTTTTCTGTATACTTCCATCTCCTCTGGCTTTAACGTTCTTTTGATCGCTAAAGGTATGATCTGTTCAACAAATGCGTTGTTTTCGAGAATGAGCTCTTCACCTAAAATTCAAACAATCAGAGTGCAATTGGTTTCCCGAGCTCAAAATAATTTATCCAACTGAATTACCTAACCTTACCTTACCTAAACAGTCGACGATGATTATAACCCGAAGGGATTTGTGGCCTCGTTGCAGGGTGGTTCACCTGTTGTGATCTTTTATACTCTTTACACACATAGCGTGCCCAACGTGGCACGTCATAAGCTCGAACGTGGCTCGCAAACGATTTGGTAAAAATTGTTTTCATAATAAATACTTATATCTCACGGTTATTTTATTTAATTCAAGAGTCTTGCTATACAGTTCTACACTAACACAAATGTATTTCTGTAACCTCAATCATACGAAACGTTACAGAACTACATTAGCGTTAGTGTGCAATTTAAGTGACACTTAACTGGAACCTTTTGAACTTGAGGTCAAACCAAGTTTTGAATGAGACTAAATTCATTACGTGAGTTTCACTTTCGCCTCTAAAAAATATCCAGTTTTGCTGAGAAATGCAAAATCTGGACTGTTCAATTTGCAAGCACGTACAGTTGTGAATGGCCATCCTCAATCATGAAAATGAGCAAATTTTAGCTACAGACAGATCAACAGATGAACATTTAGATTCAGTAATGCGCATTGCTATTTTTCATTTGAAGCCCAACATTTTGGTCCACCAAAAACGTTTTCAAGGCAGTGGAATTTCAGAACCTTAAATTGTTTCAGTAAATAAGTATTCGTTTTGTGTTTTACATAAGATCGTTCACAACATCTACAATTATTCGAACTTGGCGTGACACGCGACAAGAATATTTTAATAACATTGGCACTATCCTCATTTGAGTTGTACAACCCAGCTCTATAAAATTATCATGACTAAAAATAGGCTTTGAGATACCTTGACAAATTCACCAATCTTAACCACAATATAAATATAATATTCTTACCTAGCGGTGAACGAAAAGCTTTAAATGCTTCACGTCCTTCCTCTGGAAAATCTTCGTAGGTAAGAGGAGCAACGAGCGATTCCATGAAAGTAATTGATTCTACACGATCGCGATTACAGTTGGCCCAATGAAAACCAAGAGCAGATCCCCAGTCATGGATGACCAAGTTTAACTGTATAGAGATTTTATCGTTGCGATAGTTTTTTGTTTATACTTTTTATCTTTTCTGCATTACAGTTATAATAAGACAAAGTTTTTTTTTTCAAATTCTAATCTAGACTAATATGGATCAACCACAATCGTTCGCGGAAGGCTGCTTCATACACAATTACAACCGCATACCAAACAGACTAAAATATTTGTGGAAATGCCTTGTATTCAGAGCGTAGACCGAAATTTGTTGTGAATAGTGTTTATTATAAATTCATTGATACCTTGTCCGGAAGATTTAAAGATTCCAATAAATTCGACAAATATGAGTAATGATCGTCAAAAGTATACATCGAATCCTTCAATTTCTGAGACCGACCCATTCCTATCAAGTCAGGAGCGATACATCTTGCTATATCTGTCACGTGAGGTATGATATTTCTCCAGAGATAAGACGATGTGGGATTACCATGAAGAAACACAACCGTTTTAGTTGTATCTTTGTTTCGACCTAAAAGATAACAAAAATTCCTTTTTTATAATTTGGTCAAAATTTTGTGTTGATATATATATATATTATACGTTCATGTTCGCTGATACCTAAAATGAAGATTAGCCAAAGTCAGTAAGCACAGAATGTAAGTATTTAGTTACACATTCAATATACAAAGGTATTGTCGTTATTTCCCATATTGTGAGTATTTACTTCTTATAGGTGAGGGATAAGTTTGCATATAATCTTGCTTTTAGCTTCACAAATGCAGAATATCAGATCATTGCTTCTCCTTTTTGTACGCACAGGTCAGTCGACTGGGTATAGGTGGATACTTTACATCCGTCAGCTGACCAGAGTGCCATCCGTTTGATTTAGAACCCGAATTTTCCACCTAATCTTCGGTTCATACATAAGTAGATGTACACCAATATGCACAATAGCATTTCTTATCTAATATATACAGTATCTTACCAACATCCAAATAAGCCATATTTGCACTATTTACAATCGCCGTTTTGTAGTTTGAATCCGATGTAACACAAGATGATAACAAACGTCCAGCCAACTGATTCATCCATTTTGCCTGCAAGAGGAGTTTCGGTGAGATACAAGACATTTTCCACGTACAGATTAACAAAGCAGGTTCGGAGACAAAGTCAGTCCAAATCTGTCTCCTTTAATGATTGCGAATATGAGCTACGCAATAGCTAACAATGCTGCGGCTAACAACCGATTCAAATATATGTAATTTACGTCCGTTGTTTAATGCGAAAAGGATCCATATTAACGTTCCATGGCTGACTAAACTCCAGTCAATTATTAACCAAGTTTATGTACCAGTCGCATTTATAATTACCGCGCGACGCCTATGATGAAGCCCGACCGATTCTCAGCTACACTCGAGTCTGTGAACGTGCAAACCATTGCGAGTTTTTTTTATACGAATTTAACGCATCATTGCGCATGTGCCAGAGATGAATGTGAACCAGTTTTAGAATAGAAAACAAAGTATCGACTATTTGATTATTTGTATATGAGGTTGGACGTGAAAAATCGCATATCTCGCTATTAATGGAATATCAATTTTAAATTGTCAATACTCGAAAGGAAGTCTATATTTATTTTATTTTTTATTAATTTTCTTCGATATTGCACATCAAATAGTTTGCTGTGGATTTCACGGTCACAATCTCAAATGGCATTCTGTACAACTATTGTAACATCTACATTTTTGGCCATCAACTTACCTGCATTCGATCTTATAACATTTATACTGTAAAGAATTGAACGAATGCAACAGGGATAAATTACAAAATTCGGTGTTATGTGATTTGTCCTTCTAATAGTCCCTAGGCAGATTTGTGGTTTTGAGAGAAGCAAAGTCACACGTACACACTCATAAGTAAAGTAGACTTATCGTTGGGCGAGGTTAGAAGCAACCAATGAAACGCCAAGAGATATTAAGAATTTATAGATTTAGGTTAATGCAATACCCAGCAACAAATACATATCGATCAACACGAGCAATTCAAGTCACTACGATCTAATGAATTGAAATCAATTAAGTCTTTATACTAAAACTGAATTTACTTCGAACAAAATCGAAACTATCCAGTTGGCTCGTTTTATAAATATTTAATTTGTTACTAAAGTATATTTCAAAGCAATATATATGTTCGTTACAATTCATCATTAACTGACAAATATTAGGCTATTCAAATTAGTTCTCAGGCATATGTAATTATTTAGTCGTGTTTATTACTTATCATCATAGTATCAGTATATATGATAAATGGCCTAAGGGATTGGATTAAGACGTGCCATGAAATTATCTCGATTGAATATATAATGATTTGATTAAATAAAGATAGTAAAAACGTTGCGTTTATATATCGGAATTTATCATTAGTAGAAAATCATTATGGCAGGATCTCCACACGCACACCCTACTGCTAAAGATATCGGTAAAGTTCGGACCAAAATCATAGATATTGGAGAGGGTTGGAATGAAGTGAAACTTTATCTTACTGGTTGTTAAGATTGTACGCTCCAGGGATATATATATTACGAGAAAATTTTGAATTAGAAAAAACGTAAAAAAACTTCTTATTGATATTGTTATGCCATTGAGAGTCAATAATTTGCCATGGTTCAATTTTTTGATCGTAGCCCGATTTAGGTTAATTTGTATGACGCAGTTAAGTGACGTCATTATGGCGCACTGTGACTTAGGCAGAAATGTGTCTATGACTTGGGGACATACGCAATTTTGCAACTTTACTAGATGCACCAGTCCTGAAAACTAAACTTTCCCAAAAAAAATGTAATTCTCAGTATCTACAATGTCTAATCCCCAAAATAGCTAATCAGTTTCAATTACATTATTTTTTATGTTTAGAAATAAATATTTCATCAATATAACACGTTCTGCACACCCACCGAAATAGGACTGAATATAAAGAATAAAACAGCAATGCACCCAATATGAGAGCCAACCAAGGTGAATTGGACTCGGACAGTGAATATCACAAGTGCACGTCTTCCTATACTGTAGTATAAATTCAAATTAATACGCGCTAAGTTAGAATCCGAGATGCAAAAACTCGAAAAGACTTCACAGAGGTTATTTTGCCTTTGTGACGTCACAATAGTCCGGCGGTAACACAGATAATTCATTAGGACGAAACAATTGCACAAATGTGCATGTCATACTAAATCTCCATTTTTATGGGTTTCGGAATTCTTGAAATAAAATCTGAGTTAACAGACAGGTGCGCAGCATTACATAAATACCTATTTTCGGAAAAAACTCAAAATCGCCAAAAATGACTTACGCAATTCGGTTATTAGCGTGGCGATATTTTTTATACCTCCGCAACTGACAGTAATGTTTATTTTCATTTCTTCCACATTCCATCCTACTGTTTTACCTTGGAGCCTCGCTGATTTCTATTTTCTTCACAAGTGTCTTCAATAAATCGCTGGCTTTATTCCTCATTTTCATTTTTTACCTGCATGCGGGATGGTCGGTCCTAACCTCGCCAGTTTTCTATTTCCACTATTAACATTAGCTGCTCCAGCCAGCCTGGATGATTTTTCTATCTCATTTTATCTTAATTTTTCCTTGGGCCTTCCTCGATAATCTTTGTTACAATTTATTGTCTTTGACTGGCATGGGCATAGCTGTTATTTTATTTTTATTTCTCATTAATAACATAATTTTCCTTGTCTCGCTGCTGATTTAACTTCACAACTGGTACAGATGCTTATATATTTGTTTTGTCTTCCCGCTGGACTGCTTGCAGTTCGTTATAATTACTCGCTGGTTTCCTTCACAACTTGCTTGCTTGAAAGAATATCTCTGCTTTTGCTGTTGTTTTTTATATATATTTTTAATTCACCCTGTTTCGCCGCTTTAAAACCTCGCTGCGATTTTTGCCATAGTTTTAATTTCTTTTTATTTATTACCCCTAGACTACTTGTTTTTTTAATATTTTTTCTCGTCATTTCCTTTTATTTTTGATGCCCTTTTTCATTGGGCTGCGCGTTAGCTGCTTGCTGTTTTTATATTTTCAATTTCACCTGTCTCGCTCGCTCCTTGACTGCCTTTCCACTTTTAATTTTTTGTTATATATATATTCATTTTTCCTCATATTTATTTATTTGCAGCTGTTTTTTTCACTTATTTCGTTGATTTGAATGAGGTGTGTGAATATCGCTTGATGTCCCGTTTTAAAATATGATGGTTCACAAGAAAAATGCATTATTATGCATTTATCGCGACAATATGCATAAGATTATTCAGAGGAGTGAATTTACAAACCAAATTTCTGACTGTCAGTGGTGGAATTCCAAGACTGGAATACGGTTCTATATTCTGATCCTCTCTATCTCTTGTGCTAACTAAATTTATAAAACATCCTAGATTAAAATTGACGTGGCGTTGGATTTTAAGAATTGAAACGATATCATACACACTAAAAATAAAACGGAAAACCACATAAATTTTGTCTTAACAGCCTCGCGGCAAGTGAAACAGGCTACCGCGGGTACTTGAGGTGAAACGCAGTAAATTGTGCTAAGCGAAATGAAAATATGTTTCCATGAAAATATGGCGACATTTTCGATAAAACATTGGATCTCATTGGAAAGTTAGGAAGAAATAAAAGCCTTCTAGCGACAACAACAATCTTTAACTCACAAAAATTTCAACGTGATTGATACCGTAGTCGAAAAGAAAAGCGATTTTTCGTAACAAAAAATACTGGCATCAACTTTATCATTAGATTTTCACACTATTTCTGTTACTAATCGGTAAAATCAGAATTGATCAATATGAAACAACCGCAGTCAAATGTCCCGACAAGAACTTTCCTTCTCGACAATATAACTTTGCTGACAATAAATCATTAGAAGAAAATGAAATCGCTATTGTTTCGGAAGAAACGGCAGCTTATTCGAAAATTAAAATTCGGCTGAACAACTTTGATACTCTGGAATGTCGAAAGAGAAATGCCGCTATTATACCTGCCCCGTCAGTATCACCTGTACGATCCATTTAAAGGCACTACCACTATGGTTGGTTTTGACAACTCCAATTTGTAAATTTTCCAACAAGCACTGGCAGACAGAATAATCAAAACAGTAACATCAGTTAGTTTTGCTGTTATGCTAGTTTATTTTAGTCAGTTAAGCCAGTGAGCATATATACAATGAGTGGAAACTTGCAAAGATTTGCTCATTATGGCATTGCCCCCTGCATTTTTACGTCGTCCAGCTAAATGGTTCGTTGCATATTAAGAAAACGCGTTGCTTGCTGCCAAAATCCCTTGCTTCAGCCGAGTCGGGTGCGAATTTGGCCGTATTGAGGTCTTTAATTCTTCAATACATATTTGGTTTTGGGTTTCGAAGTATGGTGCGCTGAGAGCATACAACTATGAGCATATGCTTATTGGGAATGCATATCTATTAGACAGAAAACGTATCTACAGAACAGAATATGAACCAGTCGCCGAGAGGAGTGCGGTTATTTATGTATTTATTAATTGATATAACATGGGATTTACATATTTATCCAAGGGGAGAAGAAAGCCGAAAAGAATGCCTAAATATATGGCGAACCACGGCCTCTCTCAATCATAGCTCTGTGCTCCATATGAATCACATGGCTCTGCGAGCTATTCGTTTACTTATTAAAAATACTGATTTTAACTATAAATTACTCTGGGATATCTTGCCAGTACTAGTATACAGTGTTGGCATTCAAATTTTTGTCAGCCGGTTCCATCACATATTTTTCAGCCGGTTCTGTTACAAAAAGTCATGTTTTTTCAGTAATGCTAACCGGTTCGCTGATCTCATAAAATTTCGTGAGACGGTTCTCTAGAACCGGTGCGAACCGGCTGAAGCCCATTACTGCCAGTATAGTGAATTATTCTTGATTGCTCTTCGTTATTATACAGTATATTTGAACACCCTCCCAAAAGTCCATGTGTCTGACTATGACTCTGAACTGGCTCACTAATCCCGTCCTAGTAGGCTTACCCGTCATGGACTGGTAACCGGAGTGGAAGTGGTGACTCCTCTACGGCCTATTAGCCGGGACCGCGGCCCAATTAGATGGGCCGTAGATTTCAAGTCCATTACGACAATTTATACTACTTTACTATGTAAAAATACTTGAGTACAAGTAAACTTTGGGTCTGGTATAGTTTAGTACCACATGTACTTCTAGTTGGCATGGCTCAATTTTTGCATACGTCATTCCTAATCACCACCTGGCAACGTCACACAAAAATTACGTCACATGGACCATGGCCAATCACCAATGGTTCGCGGCCATATTAGATGGGCTGTGGCCCCGGCCCATGGGTCGTAGAAGAGTCACCACCCCTGTAGGGTAGCCGGGCGAGTGGCCGTGTTATCCATTTCGATCCAGACCGTAACCGTAGTAGTATATATTTACGGTCTAACCGTGTCTAACTAAATCGATCAGTTCAGACTTTTCACAGTTTTGTTAACGGGGAAGTACCTCGAAGTTCAAAGGTCAGCATGAAGAAACAAAACACGAAAAATAATCCTAAGTGATTCAAGAGTCTTGGCGAGATTTTCTGTTTTATACCGTACCGGTAACGTTTACAGATATATTTTAGATAGATAGATAGTTTAATTTGAAAACTCCATAATACATACAAATTAAAAAAGGAGAAATCTGGAAAGCAAGCAAAACCTTTAAAGAAGTTTAAAACATGAGAAATATGATGTCTGCATGTGCCTGCCCGCCAGTACACACACAAAAACACAAACCCAATTTAACGAGACTTGTTAATGACCAATACAATCTCATACAAAGATAATGTGGGGAGTGCAATGTAATAAAGTGACGAGGATAGTCATGTATGGATGTCTGTATGTTGCCTTAATGCTCCTGTTTAAGGAGATAGACTGTTTACTATGGTATGAAATTATAAATAGTTGACTATGATATTGTGCAAAAATATGTATATAAGGACGCTTAACCTTGCTGGATTTTTAAGGCAATACCAACGAGTTGCAGACTTTTCGAAGTCGGCTTCTTCCCATTCTTCAGTGAAACATTCTGTGATTGTGAAGAACTCGTCAATGAATTACATAGATGAAGGTAATCTAACTTACTTTTAAGTAACATTGTACCGGTATCTCTGTAGAGTTGCAAATATTATATTGTCAAATTCATAATTATATCGTATATGTATATGATATATATTTTTTTTTTATTCGGCATAGGTTCAAGTGAAGTAAATTCAGTGGTATTTTTGCATGGAAATCCAACTTCTTCATATCTATGGAGAAATATATATCCAAAGATTTCTTCCATTGCCCGCTGCTTTGCTCCTGATTTAATTGGGATGGGTAGTTCTGATAAAGTCAAAAATCTCATGTATACATTTGATGATCACTTTCAATATCTTTCCGAATGGATTGACAAGGTTGTGAAGACTGATAATGTAAGATTATTATTTTTCTCATGTTTTGATTATTATATTTCTAATCGTCTAGGAGTTCCCATATCTGAATAATTTGATATTCTAGAAATCTGATAGGGGTTATAGTATTACCAGTGAGATGGCCTAAACATGTTTTTCCATGTGGGTACCAGTCCATATTGGTTCATACTAAACGAATAACCAACTTATTAACTGCTCAAAGTATTTACCTATGCACTGAAGTTGAATAAAAATGAGAAACCTTGGATATGGGGTAAATTACACTGAAATGAACAGTAAATTTGCCAATATAACCATTTTCCATAGTATTAATTTCTAAACCGTTGAACTAAATTTATTAAATTTCTTCAACCAGATTCATTTTGTTATTCATGACTGGGGTTCAGTGCTTGGATTTCATTGGTCAAATTTAAATCGTGACAGAGTAAAGTCAATTGTGCACATGGAAGGTATTGTTGCACCACTTGAATCATGGAATGAATTCCCAGAAGGTGGTCGAAAAGCCTTTCAAGGAATGAGATCGCCAGCAGGTAGTTTTTTTTTGTTGTAATGTATGCCTAAATTCATGAAGTAGATAGAGATAATATATCTATTTTATTAAATTAGTGTTGTCTGGATTTGGTTGTATTTTATTGGTTATTTTGTTTTGGATCTTGCACTGGGATCCATAGTCAACCTGGGGGTGTGAACACTATATATTGTTCAAGAAATTTGTGTCACAAATTTTAATTTGAGCTAATATAAATGGATCTATAGCGTAAATTAAGATATATGCCAAATATATAATTTGACATCTTTTTGTTACATGAATCCATTACCGGTACATGATTTCACTGTTAAGTTTGGGATAAAATTTACATCCAAACAGTAAACTTTTACCTCGTATTTGCCTATCTTTGAAAATAATTGCATTCGGTTCTTTTGTTCAAGGTGAGGAAATGGTGCTAAAGAAAAATTTTTTTGTTGAACGTATTTTACCCAGCAGTATTATGACTAAATTAAGTGATGAAGACATGGAAGAATACAGAAAACCTTTTGCTGATCCTGGGGAAGACAGAAGGCCAACTTTGACTTGGCCGAGGGAGATTCCCATAAAAGGTGAGCTGTACATAAAGAATATTATTAAATTAATTAAACCGTCTTTGACTAAATCTACTTCATCAAACACAATGCCCACCAATGTATGCATGCCAAATTTGATGGATAAGAATGAGTATGCTGAACGGGAAAAGTTCTGGTTCTTCTGAAATCAGAAGCTGTTTTCAGAATGTAAAAGGCTCACAAAAAATTGTATAAAGATTCCTTATATATTGCCATAGGAGTAAAATTGATAAAACAGATTTATCATATCAATTCTGGTTTATCATGTAGATCAGGGGTTTGCAACCTGCGGCTCGTAGGGAAAAATGTGTGGCTCGTGAACAAGTGCCAATTTTTAGTTGAGTTTAATCTGGTACGTTCGAGTAATTTCAATCCTTTTGCGTTGCAATGTCCATACCCGAGTCCAATATATTATCTATGCATATGAAGATACAATGCCCTAACAGCTAGCTTGTGCAAAGCGAACAACGCATGTCATAAGATCTATAACCAAAATTTTGTGCCTGCAACTACTAAAAAGCCTATGCTAAATAAAGGTGCAACCCGGTTTCATCCAGGTATTTGTATCTGGCTCTCCTGTATTAAAGGCTGCACACCCCTAATGTAGATGATTCGATTGTTTCATGGAACACCAGTCTCAATCTTGGCAAATCAACTACCGTAAATGTAAAATAAGAAATAATTTTGTTGTTACAGTTTATTGCAGAGTTACTGTAAACTATATTTTCGTAGGTGATGGACCAGACAATGTGATTGACATAGCTGATTCATATTACAAATGGTTGTGTGAAAGCAAAAATTTACCAAAACTTTTCATCAAATCTGAACCTGGATTTTTTTCACCACTCATCGAAGATAAAACTAAAAATTGGCCAAATCATATCACAAAATCAGTAAAAGGTCACCATTTTCTACAAGAGGATTCACCACATGAGATAGCGAAGAATATTCTTGAATTTTATAATCAGATAATGTGAAAGTGTTCTAAATCATTATATCATGACAATAATGCAATTTATATTTCATTTCATTGATTTCTAATTTTTCATAAAATTTTTGATCAATTTACGTTTTTGTGTTCTGATGGATTGTTGGTCACACAGTTATGTCACATCGGTTAAACGAAGCGTTGTGCTAGACCAGACGGACTGTTATTAAATAGAATACAAAAAGTGATTTGAAATGGCGAATTTTGGTAATCCTAAGGAGGGAGGGGGTATCTATAACCGTAAGCCAGTGTTTTAGGATTATTAATGACCGATGACGAAATGGATGAAAATACTCAACTAGTAGTTATATGGCCAATCATTACTATTTTAATGTAAGCGCCCACAGGAAGAACTCTCGAGCTGGTGATCTATAGCAGCGGTTACCAACCGGGGGTCCATGGCCACAAGACTAGGCTGAAAATTGATTTTAATGCAAATATTGCGTACATTTCCCTTTAAAGGTATATTCTCCCTAGTTGCATGACCAAATAGGGTTATTTCTCGGGATGTTTTCGCTTTCTTGTGCATGAATAGTTTGATCACAATGGGATTCGGAATCGACCAATCAAAATAACACAGGTTTCACAAGACTGCGAGGTAGCCGTAGTAGCATTGTAGGCTAAGAGATACTGTATATATATTTAAATTTTTAATAATCCCACGAAACTGAAATAGGGCGACAATTGTATGATAATTTTCCTGATTGTTCAACTTTTTGTGGTTGATGGGAATTGCGCGCATGTGGTGGTCGGAGGATTGTAAGCAATATTCATGCTACGCTACAATATTACTCCATTTTCGTTTGCCTTTGTCAGCGATACCAATATAAAGTTTGTCTAAATATTCATCCCCGAAAGTGCGAACCCACATATAGTAATAATCGGTGCGATGGCAAGTTTCCAAGACAAAATACGATCATCTAAATTCTAGACCAGCGTTTCCCAAACTGTGGGAAACTGACCCTACAACGCGTCGCCGTCGGCCTAAGGCGAACTAACTAGGGTAGTGTAGTGGCACTTTCGTTAACCTTCGGCCTAGCTTTTTGACTGTTAAGGTCATCATCAAGGTTACAGCAATCCTTTTGGCTTCGCTATAGGCCAGGGGTGGGCAACCTTTTTTAGCTCGCGTGCCAAAATCGGCTAAATTCAACGACAAAATTCTTCCGCGTGCCGACCAAAATTAAAAACAATGCTTTGCTACTTTCAATGTAAAAATACCCAATAATAAACCTTTTAAAATGTACAGACAGATTCAGTATTCAGGAAAATATCAATCCGACAAATAGATTTGATTACTTTTCTTATTCTATATTAATGAGACAGAGACTTCTGCTGCTGCTCTATTACCGCTCATAGAGATTGGGTTTATACGTTGTAACATTCAAAGAAATACGCGAACCACTGGTTTGATCTTTGCGGCTACTCCTGTTCGAGACGTAATAAAATTCATAACTGAGAACAGATATTTCCAAGCATATGTAGATTAAAACATGGAGCGTAATGGAGTTGCGAAGTTTTTAGGACACGAACAAATTTTGAAGAAGGCCTCCCAATCACGCAATAGTTCGTTTTTTGCACTCATCTTTTGTATTCTCTTCCCTAATCGCTTATATTTCTTCCAAAATCAATTTATAACTGTAAGTTAGTAACTCTAACCAACATGAGCTGTGCATCTTCATAAATCAAGAAGAAATGAAAAAAAGGGTGGTACAGACGAACTATATTACGTAAGAATATAGCCAAATGATTCTCGACGATAGTACACTCAGTTGTTACGTCATACTATATTTTTCTGTAGCCCTATATCATGAAAGGACAAAAGAGTTTGTTAACAAATGATAATAAATAAACGAACACCTAGTTTCATCAGATAATTCAGAGTCTCGAAACATTTCATCTGAAAGAGAATGATCTCGTTTCCGAGGCCTCGCTCGTGTGCCAAATAAATAGGCAGGGGTGCCCATCCCTGCTATAGGCAAGCAAGTAGGTCTTCTAAAGAATGAAGGCAAAATGTCAATTCTCCTTAATTAAATATTTATTATAAATGCAATATGTATAATATTGAATCATATTATAGGTATGTTTAACACAATTCTGATAGTATTCGCGACGCATTTGGAAAAAACTCGCCACGGCAAACCCATTGGGAACCGCAGCATTACAGCGTTTTTCTTTATCAATTTCATTTTGTGCTGTTCCGGGAGGCGAGATAAAAAGTGTGAGTGTTCCATGGCCGAAAATGTTTGGGAAACGCTGTTCTAGACCAGTGATTCCCAAAGTGGGCGATATCGCCCCCCAGTGGGCGAAAACGATACAGGGGGGGGGGGGGGGGGTTGGCGAAAAAGTCTAAGGGGGCGATAGGGGGGCGATTTCGCGAAACCTGTTTTAAGTTCGGCGCACTTAATTCTGTACTCTGTGTGCATTGGCAGTCTTGAATCATGTGGGCGATATTCACACGAGAAAGAATTTCTGGTCTCGTCTTCGCAGTAAGGTAAGGTAGTTTGCGTATCCCAGTATTCGGCAAAATACGGCCGGAGTAAAATAATCTGGCCCGGGCTATTCACTGAATGGACCTTTCCCCGACCTTTGACTGCGGAAAATTCTTCCCGTACTTCACCATTTCAAAATTTTTTTTGTTGCCTGCTGTAAAATGGGGTATTTGTTTCAAACTATCATTCTAATACACATCATTTATTATTACCATTTTATTATTTATTACAAAAAACAAGCAAAGAAGTGGGTTTGGTGATGCCCATTTAGAAAATGTTTCAATCTTGGCGTCGTAAAGCTATCCAGTGTGATGCAGCGACGAGCGGTGTCACATTAAATATCATTGTAATATTTTTTCAATAAGACGACTGAGATGAGTTCACGAATTGTCGCAGTTTTCGCGCGCTGTTCCGTTTTTAACTTTCAAAAAATATATGCGACCCGCAAAAGACTAGCAACCCTGAATTTTGTCCTGCGAGCGACATAAAATTTGCCGACCCCTGGGCCGTAGCCGATAGTCAGTCACGGCTTCTTCCACATCCGAGTCAATGAATCCAAAAACAAATGGCTGGTTAATTATGGACTGGTGATCGGACTGGAGGCCGTGATAGGATGAGGAATCGGGGATGAATTTTTCCGAAATATTTTGGTGCAGGTCATCAGGCTGTACGAATGAATGAGATGTACGAAAATCATTATTATAAGTTTGGGAAAATTGACTTTGTTTTTATTATTTTAATGTGAAATGGGGGGAATTTAGGAAGTGAAATGCTATAAGGCAAGAGTACACGACGATTTTTGAGGAGGTAGAACCCTGGATTCTTTCATTTCCGACCTATTATATGGTGAAAAAGGGGTTTTCAGCCGTGCTACTATTGTTATTAAAACAACGAAATCACCTTTCCATCAGTAAACGGGGTAATTTTAGATATAATAAAAAACTCGCTGAAGAACACCAAGCTTATGTATCTCATTGAAAAACACTATAAACTATGATTTGTCTTCTTATTTGGTCTGTAAAATATTCGTTTCTGACTTTATATTTTTTTGTAGTGCAGGGGGGGCGATGAAGTTGCATAAACTACTTTAGGGGGGCGATGGTCAAAAAAGTTTGAGAACCACTGTTCTAGACCACATAAAGCATCTCAATTTCATTTACTCGAGTAGCACAATATTGTATATCAATCAAAAGGTAAAAGTTAATGCTGTACAATATTTTACAGTAAGTCAAACAACTGCGCTGTGAGAAACTGCGTACGCGATTATCACCATTCACTGACTAAACAGTTATTTCTGATCATTTAGGACAAGCGTTCACTGAACACTTTAAGATTCAAAAAGCAGTAGATAGCGTCGCTAATTTCTTCAGGCGAATCTTCTTGGATAAAGTGAAGTCCTTTTACAGTAACCGTCATCTGATTCGGCCAGTCTTCAGATTGTTTTTCCACGATTGACGACAAGCCTCCCGGTTTAGCAAGAATGCGTAGCTTTGGAAGGTAGGAGCTTGTTGAAAGCCACTTCGGATATGAATAGGCGTATGCAAGTGTATTGTTTGGACCTTCGCCTTATAAATAACAATGGATATATGTGAAAAAACGATACGGGCTAACGATGTAGCTACATAGACTCACTCAATTTTAACCCCATAAATATTTTGGTTTCTGAATTGCACAAAATTCAAATTATTTCATATCAATTGATGAACAATTCTGTGACGGGTTATTGAACGACATTCGGATTTATGAGTAGTTCTAAATCTAAGTTATTGTTGGGAAATGTAAGAACGAGATAGTGATCGGAGACCGCCGACTTATCGATCTAGCGCCGAGTATCCTTCGCTTTGACTCAATAGCGACACCGCATGTCACATCACTCACAAATAATTAATAACTCGCTAATTATACGACATAATTCATCCAAAATCGATAGGCTTCTTGTCCGAGATATGATGAATGCACATGCAAAATTTGGATCTCGCTTTCGTGAGATCGTGTGTATCTAACAGACAGACAATCGAACAGACAAGTACCTATCAACATACATACCGATCAAGATCGATAAGTAATAAGTAAGTCTTCAATATTACCTCTAATTGGGAGTTGTTTTGGCCAAGCTAACAGAGGTCTCCTGTCTTCTCCGGGGTTTATGAAAGGTTTGTTATACTCTGCAATTTCTTCTTCTGTGAGTTTTCTCAATACACCGCCAGTCATTATACTCTCGACAAGTAAATCATTTTGAAGAGCTACAATCGCACCTAAAACACGACAATTATATGGCTGTACTATATTTAAAGATTAGTTGAAAATCTTTTATTTTAACTTTTTTCAGTCCTTGATCTATTAATTTCTCGCATTTAATGTACATATTCAGAAGGGAGCTGATATACATAAACTGTTGTTGACAAATGTTCCTACGGGAAACTCCGCACATATATATGCTTTCATTTTTTTACAAACCTTGCGGTCCTCTGAATGTTTGTAGAAGACGTCTTGCATTTTCGTTGTAATCTCCCCAAACAATTGGGCCGGTCACACTCTCAAAGTGTATAATAGATTGAACTCTGTCACGATGTAAGTTTGCCCAATGAAAGCCAAGCCCTGATCCCCAGTCATGGAGCACTAGTGTCACCTGAAACGTATTATATGTATATATATATGCTTTCTGAATATTTTTGTTTTTAATAGCTTGCTCCCAATTTCCTAATTTTGTTCTACCTATTTTAGCGGTGCAATTTGTGTTTCTGCACTTTTAGTACAACAATATTTTAGATTGGATGATAGCAAATTTGGTATTTTATATGGCGATAGAGACTTACTTTTTTAGTTTTCACAACCTTGTTCATCCACTCAGAAAGATACTGGAAATGATCATCAAACGTATACATGAGATCCTCGACTTTATCAGAACGACCCATTCCAATTAAATCAGGAGCAAGACAGCGGGCGATGTAAGAAATCTTTGGGTATATGTTTCTCCATAGGTAAGATGACGCCGGATTTCCATGCAAAAAGACAACCGTATTTTCAAAATCACCACCTGGAATAAAACCGAAGAATGAAACGAGTTTAGAAACCTGATCTATATATATCTTAGTTGTGGGGCATTTCACCACTGTATTACTTTTTTGAATACATAATGAAAATAATAAAATAGTACCTGTATCAATGTAACTCATGGTGGAACTTTTCACCGAAATTGTCTTATAATATTCTTCATGCCGCTTTGTTGGAACATTACCACACGAAAAGTAAAAGCAAAGAAGAAGACAAGCTCCTAAATTATACATGAATTTTACCTGGCTAATTGAATGTTTAATTTTCGTTAATTGTGAGTTATCATAACAAACACAAAACATTTTTGGTCTCGGCTCGAATGTGTGCTGAGCTGGTCGGGCGAAGAGAGTAAGCCCTCTACCAATATGTGAAAAGATGCAATCCCATTGTAAAATGGCATCTTTAAGAAGCGTTGGCGCATCCACGAAATTTCGGTCTATTAATATCTGTCTTAATAATCTTAAAATTGCCATACAACTGAATTCAAATTACACAATGAACTTATTTTATGATTCTTAAAATATACTTTCTCGTCTAGTCTGTGATTCGATCAAAGTAATGCGGTTTGAATATCTAGATATATATAATTTTACTAAGTGTTCTCGACTGTACATTGATCCCATCTTTGGAGTTACTCACCTGACTCGCCGCTGTATATATCAAGCCTACAATCATGTTTTTCTGAAGATTCCTAAAATTGCTTGCGGGCAATTTTATTACAGGGTATATATCCGGAACAAAATATATGTTGACATAAAAAAGTTTCCGACGTATTCCTCAACGAACAACCTTTACTTAGTAAGTGCTTATTTGCGATCAATTTCACTTTGCTGATGATGTTTGCGTAATCCACCAATCGTTGTAATAATGGAGAAAATAACAGGGTTTATGACAGAATGCCATTCTAATTCTATATTTATATTTTGTATCAATTAAAATCTATGATCATCCTCTCATTACATGCATGAATGTAATTGTATAATTGGGTGAGCGAACACGTACTACTTCTTTATCAATACCTTTCCATCTAAAATCTGTACGCTTAAAACCTACTTGAGGTTTTGTTTACTCTCTCGATTCTATAATCAGTTATTTTTATTTTATTTTTATCTATTATTTTATCGTCTACTGCTGATTATGGAGTCGAAATAAACTTATACTTATACGCTCTATAGGGAATTATCGTGAGAAGTATACAAGTATGCATCCTAATCAGATGTATATATCTCTTTTGTTGGCTTGAAGTAGTTTCGTTCTGTAAAGCGGTGCGGCGATATAATCAACCGCACTAAAATACAAAATGGTGTGTTGCATAGTAACTTTAAATGTCTTGCACTCAATTATGTACTCGCGGGAGGCCTGATGTGGCTTCTTTGCTTTTAAAGAAAAATGAAGGCGAGACAAACTCCAGCAACCAGCCATATTTAACTTAATCCGTTGGGTGAGGCGCTCAAGCAAAATGTTTCGAAAATCGGTCAGCTTTATACTCACGAGAAGTATTTGACTCTAACTTATCCACTCAGATAATAAGCTTCAGTGTACGAACTCACGTGCGACAAATTTCACTTCAAATTTAAACAAGTTTCTTGCCCTTTTCCCAACATAGCGAAATATAGCCATGGGACCCCAGCATTTTCGTGCCTGATAGAGCTATTGAAAAGTGATTTATTTTATCATTTTTATTTGGTTGGTTTTCATTCAATCAACTCGGATTGGTTAATAATTTTTTTAACGCTCAACTGTGACAAACTGTAGCAATTTTGAGGGTACTAGTAACACAATCTCACAGTGTGCCAAACTCGTTATTCTGTATAGCTATGAAATAATATACATTTTTTAATCTATTCAGTGGCTTAATATTCTCTGTTGAGTAGCTTATGTCCTTCAAAAATGGTTTTCGGGAAGGACATTGTGTTGTTCACGTGCATGACGAATCAATCTGAAGGATTTTGGAGTAATTCTAGAAAGTACAGCGACACCGCACTTACAATACATGAAACGAAAACGGGGAGAAATACCGGTTTTAGCCTTAAGCTACGATTGACTTGCACAAATTGATTTAATTGACTATAAATAATCGAATAATGACAGGGCAGTTCTATCATTTTCTCTCTTGCTATTTGTAGTGATTTGAAAAAATTCATCTATTTTAAATGTTCACACCGTAAAATAAGTTCACATTCCTACTTCTGGAATAATCTTCAACTGCAGTTACATGACGTAAGCATATTATTAGAAACTTTTTTGCTAAATTGAAACCTAAAACGATCTATAAGTCCAAGCTGAGCCTGTGCTATATAGCGGCATTATCAATACGGACTGTTCTTTCGTTGCTATGATTTTTTTTTTTTGAACGACTATGACTCGTCAATTTTAGCGCGAATGTGATAGTATCAATGATTTAGGCCTGCGGCAAGGCTACATAATTTTAATAAGGTATGACAGGAGGTCGACCATGTGTATATATATAGGCCTAATGATGGACGGTCATAAGTACATCAACAGTGTTTGATCAGCCATCAAGTTTTACTCGGAAAAATAAAATGTCTACGATTGGAGTATGTCTAGCTGGTTTGCTTGTTTTTGCCCTGTGGAAGAGTTCCGGTTTTAAAACCCATGAAAAAATACTGAAGACCGTCACCGTGAAGGTGCAACTATGAGCTATGTAGATACAGGTATTTATATTTATTCAAATAAAACATAGCTATGTGGACCTTGTAATGTTTACATCTGTCTGACTCTGTATAGCATCCAAGGTTTTGACGCCAGCCGATGCGGCCGCAGCCCATTTGGCAAATGCGATTTCACTTAAAATAAATCTTTCTTAATGAACAAAATTGCAATACATTATATACAATACAGGTTATAATCATTTCATATTTCAGCATTCGTGCGCCCTGTTACATTGCTTGATTGAGATTGTTTTGTTATAAAAAACTAAAACTGTTGTCTTACCTGCCGATTTTATTACAGGCGGTCGTTTCGAACACACCGTTGTGTTTTTTACATGGAAATCCGACATCATCGTATCTTTGGAGAAACATCTACCCACAAATTTCGTCGATTGCTCGATGCTTTGCACCCGATTTAATTGGAATGGGACGATCTGATAAAGTGGAAAATTTGATGTATACATTTGCTGATCATTATCAGTATTTGTCCGAATGGATGGATAAAGTAGTTAAAACAGAGAAAAGTAAGTTAACTTGAAAATTTATTTCTAAAGTATATATATATATATCATTTTATGAACATGATTAGTAAAATTGCCCTTGTTTTTCTCAAAATTTCATATTCAAAAATCTGTGCCTTCCTGGAAAAAGCACAGCACACATGTATTTTCAACCATCTATCGCTGAGATTCGATCTACCGGTATTTGTTTTTGAGAACGATTGTCTTTGGGCGTATTTAGTTGTTTACACGTTGAAATTATAATTTCTACTCCGGTTGCAAATCCACTAATACCATATAAATATCATATACAAACATTTTGCAGAATCGCTGAATCGAGATAAGATAAATAAGTTGCTAACGCCTCGGAATATAGTTACCTTACCTCAAAAGTTTTGATTCGAAATAGACCGATATCGACTAAACAATTTTGTCATACACGTTGCAGGCTTTGCTGATATTATATTAAGGGTATTTTCTCTTCTCTCCAGAACAAATTCCATTGATACAACGCTCTAATTTTTTACTATACTGTAATTGCGTAACTTTCTTAGATATTGTCCAACTTTTAAAGGCAAACATTATAATTGCAAAAAGCGAAATTATCTTTTCTCCCATTTACTATTGCAAATTTGAGCCAGATTTTGACATTTCCAGAGCGTAAGCATATTTTTTTTTATGATGCGCTCTTTCATAAGTTTCATACTATTTGTTTTTATTTTTTCAGGTTATTCTTGTGCTACATGACTGGGGTTCTATACTTGGATTTCATTGGGCAAATATGAATCGTGCAAGAGTTCAGTCTATTGTTCACATGGAGAGTTTCGTCACACCGCTTTCCACACAACCTGAAACCGAGTTTTTCCGTCAATTGAGATCCGAAGGTTAAAATAGCACATATTTTTTGATACTTTAATACAATTTGTATAAAGATCGTAATCCTTGAGATAAAATCTTCACCACGAATTGATATCTAGCAAAATACTCAATGGTAATTTGTTTAGCTATATTTTTTACCTAGCGACCACTCTAGGAGATGAACGATAGAACTTTTACCTCGTAGAGCAAATATCCATGTTCTTTTTAATTTCCAATAGCGGGAGAACAGATGATATTGGTGAACAACCTTTTCATCGAGAATATTATGCCCGCAAACATCATCCGAAACCTGACTGAAGAAGAGATGAATGAATACCGCAGACCTTTCGTCAATCCCGGAGAAGATAGAAGGCCAACTTTGACTTTTCCGAGACAAGTACCAATCCTAGGTAATATTCAGTAATATAAAACGAAGTAAAAATTATTCAATGTTTTGACTGTGACTGACTTGGCCGCAAGAAATGTTCCGACGTAGTAGTTTTGATTAATATTGAAATTATAAGCTGCAAAAATATTGCCACACCTCGGTTCAATTGTATCGGCTGAAAAATGGCCGCTATTTACGATATAGCCTATTCCGGTCTTTGATCTGATATTAGATATGTTGAATAATAAGGTAGCATACGGACGATAATAACTGAAATGCGTTTTTACTCTTCACAGTTGTTGTATATATAGGGTGGGCCAAGAAATGTTACTTTACGACAATCTTCAAAAATGGTAACATTTTTGGCCCACCTTGCAGATGGTACGGTGAATGATTGCGTACAAACTTACCGACCGGGCTGGCCACTTGGTCACACTCGCTTTTCACCTCGCGAGTAGATACGTGTTTTATGACGTCAAGGTTTCTGGTACCATGACGTTTCATTTTAGTTTTGAACTTCTTACTGTTTATATTCAAGTTATTACCAAATATACTTATAACTACAATTTCGTAGAATACGCAGATCGAACGTCTCGATTCCTTGCGCCTTTGCGCAACAAAGCGTCTGCGGAAATTACGATAATTGGTGTAAGTGTTGAGATCCACCTCTGCACACTTACTAAGTTGCAAAGGAATTTACGATGCTGGTAATGCAAAACCTTTAAACCGTTAGTAGTGATTCTAATGAAAAGCCATTTATGCATTTGAATCACAAATGTCAACTTCTTGTTCTGGAATTCCTGTTCTTCAAGCTATAATTATGTTCTCTGCTAATATAGTTCGCAGACAACTATTTTATACCGGCTTCCAATCAAGATGATAATTTCATAATATCGGCTTCGGAAATATCGGCGCATCGGTATCGGCGAAAAAATCGTATGACTATCTCTATGCAATACTTGTGTATCATTTTTTGTCAATTAATCGCAGATATACTTTTTGATAGGCATACTAGCTCGTAATCGTTGTGCCACATCACGATTTTGAGCTCTATTGTGAGCCAAGACAAAGCCCAGACTGCTGAACTGATCGCTTGCAATCATCGTATACATTAAATATTATTATATTCAAATATTCCATAATATATATACAATAATCATTCATAAGGTATCCAAACATATCATCTACCTGCCCTATTCGCCTGTCTAATACAGTTTTTATTTATCTAAACCTATAGGTGAGGGTCCCGATGACGTGACGATGGCGGTGAATGCATACGCCAAATGGTTGTCAACAACTTCTCATACCTAAGATGCTGATTCTCGCAAAACCTGGAGGATTGTCCAACATCACCAAAGAAGTTGCAAAAGATTGGCCCAACCAACAGATGATAACGGTGAAGGGAATTCATTTTATTCAAGAAGATTCTCCGAAAGAAATAACAGACGCCATTTACTGCTTCCTGAATCTGAAGGTTTTAGGGAAGAAAGCATTAATATCCTAAATTATTTCAAACGTGTGAAACAAAATCAATATTCTTGTCACTAACCTACTTTTTTGAATTTTGTTGACAATAAAAAATAACAGGTTCTGTTTAGAGCATTTTCGAAAAGTATTTTAGGTCATTCTCAATCTTTGAAAATTTGGCCGAGACCTAACTAAGTCAACTTTTCATTATGAAAACACATAGGCCTACTTTACAGTTGTAGCTTTACACATGCTTTTACGAACAATAATGTTCATACAGTATCAGAAATATTGTAGAGCTCGAAAAATATTTTTTCCGTATTCATTTTTTCCATGTACTTTTCTGCTGCAATTCCTACAAGGAAAGTAAAATTGTTCTTTTTTTGTTCTACCAACTTGTTACATTGTGTAAAATCCACCTTGCTAAATGAAATGGCCCCTCACATTCAAAGACACTTGCTCCGAAAAGGGGCGTATCCTCTTGGCTGTAAATCACATCCTCAAGCCATTTTTTTTTCTTCAGTATATCGTGTATTTGCTAAATTGTGGAAAATATTCAATCGAATTAAATAAACTACCCTTTGGTGAATAAATTTAGATTTATGTATGCTATTGAAAGGTTGGAAGAACAATTAAGAGCCTGTCTAATGATATGTCCAGATTAATAATATCAGAGACATTACAGGGCGGAAAGGATATTTTGTTTCAAATTACTTTACATATGAGTCTTCATATATGAGTAGAAAAGCTCACAACATACAAAATTATTTCTTGCCAAATCTATACTTCTTGCTAGTTACAGAGTTTATTTGACACAAAATGGACCTATGGATCGTTTGTCATTTTGTATTCTTATTGTTACCGTATAATATGAAAAATATCATATTAGTTACCTGCGACCAAAACTGTGAAAACGAGGTGCTTTTATCAACTCTGCTTTAATTAATATCTGTCTGAGCGGCTGCTAAAATTGTAATTGTTACGTCATTGTTGACTTATTTCTGATTAGTTATGATTGAGGAAATAAATAGCAAATCGATTCTCAGGAAGAAAGAAATTTCCTTATACTTTACTATTGCAGTATAACCGGTTAACCGAGAGTTATTTTGCTATCTGATATCCGGATATTAGTGTGACGGTTAACCGGATAATGGAACAGTATAAATAATGCATATGCGCATTAGTGATTTTCATATTTTTTGTGGAGTGGCGACTGACAACTCACCACAGGAGAATAGATTCCGATTTTTTTTTTCTGTCGTCATTCATTGCCATACCCTCCCTAGGACATCGCTACTTACGTTAAAATAAAAGCACTCCTACTCTAGATATGAAAATAAGGGGGTGAGCTGCAAGCATGAATCCCAGTTTTAATTCGTAATTTTGCTATCTTTGCGAATTTATTTGACCTAATTATTGCAATTCCATTGAGTATAATTTATTCAGTACCATTAGATGAAGATAATATATCAACAAAATCGGGAGAAAGTCGGGTGCAGTCTCGTCGGTTTTATATGCCGGGAAAATTGTATTAGAACGCCATTCTAATTCTATATTTACAAGTTTCTGTGTATACAAATATTAAAATCGTATGTTTATCCTCTCATTTCATGTAATGTAATTTTTATAACGCTGAGCAGTGAATTATACGTGAGAAGTATACATCCTATCAGACGTATATATCTCTTGTTCGCTTAAAGTAGTTTCGTTCTGTAAGCGTGGCAGCGAATATGATCACGCACTAAAATACAAAACGGTATGTTGCATCGTAAGTTTAAATGTCTTGCACTCAAGTTTGTACTAACGGAAAAGTCTGATATGGCTTCCCAACTTTCAATGAAAAATGACACCGAGAAAAACTCGAGCAACCAGTCATGTCCAATTTAATCTCTCGAGTGAGGCGCTCCGGCACAAGGTTTTGAAATTTGATCAGCCCATACTCACGAGGAGTTATTGATTCAAATCCACTTTAATATTCAACATCAGTTAAAAAAAAATTCGGGCTCACGTGCGTCGAAATTCATATTGCATATTTGAACAACTTTGTTGCCCTTTTTCCAACATGACGAAATATAACAATGACACCTCAGCATCTTCATGCCTGATGAAGCTTTTGAAAAGTACTTACTTTATTTTATTATTGTTATTTAGTTAGTTTTCAATCCATCACTTCGAATTCGTGAATATTCAACGCTCAACTGTGGCAAACTTTATCAATTTTGAGGGTACGAATAATTAGACAGTATCATAAAGTGCCAATGTGAATCAACGTTGAAACACGTCTTTCTGTATAGCTCTGAAATATATATCCTTTTATCTGTTCAGTGGCTCAATATTCTTTGTTGAGTAGCTTATGTCCTTCGAGAAAATGGTTTTCGAGAAAGACATTGTGTTGGGCACGTGCATGATGAATCAATCTGAAGGATTTTGGAAAAAAAAATCTAGGAAGTGCAAGGAGCCTGCACTTACAAACAAAAACGGGGAGAAATACTGGTTCTAGCCCTAAACTACGATTGACACAAATTGAATTTATTGGCGAATAATGACGAGGCAGTTTTATCATTTTCTATCTTACTATTGGTATTAAAATGAAATTCATCTTTTTTATATGGTCACACCGTAAAATTAGATCACATTCCCTACTTCTGGAAAAATCTTCAACTGCAGTCACATGACGTAAGCATATTATTAGAAACTTTTTTGCTAAATTGAAACCTAAGACGACCTATAGGTCCAAGCTGAGCCTGTGCTATATAGCGGTATTACCAATACGGAGTGTTCATTCGTTGTGATGATTTTCTTCGGTATACGACTATGACTCGTCATTTTCAGCACGAATGTGATAGTATCAATGATTTAGGCCTGCGGCAAGGCTACATAATTTTAAGAAGGTATGACAGGAGGTCGACCATATGTATATATATAATGATGGACGGTCATAAATACATCATTAGTTTTTGATCAGCCATCAAGTTTTACTCAGTTAAATAATATGTCTATGATTGGAGCATGTCTGCTGGTTTGCTTGTTTTTGCCCTGTGGAAGAGTTCCGGTTAAAACCCATGAGAAATACTTGAAGACTGTCACCGTGAAAAATGCAACTATGAGCTATGTTGATACAGGTATTTCTATTTATTTAAATAAAACTTGGCTATATAGACTTGTAATATTTACATCTGACTCCGCCCAGCATCCAAAGAGGTTTGACGCCAGCTGATGTGGCCGCAGCCCATTTAGCGACGGGAATTTCAGTTTTGAATAAATCTTTCTTAAAGGACTGCCGGCGGGCGCAAAATATAGTTTCTGAGAATTCAGACAGAATTTGTAGATGGTAATAAAAAAGTTGTGGCTCTGTTCCATTGCTTGATTGCAATTGTATTGTTTTATATCCAAACTGTGTAACCGGTCGATCTTATTACAGGCGGTCAGTTCGAACACACTGTTGTGTTTTTACATGGAAATCCGACTTCGTCGTATCTTTGGAGAAACATCTACCCACAAATTTCGTCGATCGCTCGATGCTTTGCACCCGATTTAATTGGAATGGGACGGTCTGATAAAGTGGAAAATTTGATGTACACATTTGCGGATCATTATCAGTATTTGTCTGAATGGATGGATAAAGTAGTTAAAACAGAGAAAGTAAGTTTTCCTAGGAAATTATTTTTAAAATATATACTTTTATGACCATGATCGGTAAAATTGCCGGCGCTCCAGAAGTATGTGTACTAATATGGAGGTAACTAATTTTGTTCACCTACTTTACATCAAATTGTGTAAAGGGACGGAATTTTATGAATACTTGGCTAACACAAACAGTCCCCGAACTCGCAATAGAACTAAAATTGGGAAAATCAAGATAAAATTATGATCTAGCCCTAATCTGGTGCACATACTACGGGAGTACCAAATTTCCATCATTTGTCTCAAAATTTCATATTCAAAAATATGTGCCTTCGTGTCTTGCTAATGTAAGCAAAAGTGTGATAAGCACACTCCTATATTTTCACCCATATATCGCTAAAATTTAATCTATTTGACTCGGAGAACGGTTGTTTTGGGCGTATTTAGTTATTTACTAATTTCAATCAAAGCTCTCCGACTGTGGTTGCAAATCTTCTAATACCATATTTTTTACAAACATTTTGCAGAATCGCTAAATCGAGATTAGATATATAATTTGCTTTCGCCTCGGGATATAGTTACAACTACTTTTCTTTTATTCGAAATAAACCAATAACAGCTGAACACTTGCAGGTTTGCTCATATTTAGGTACTGAGTTATTATCTCTTCAGAACAAATTCCATCGATACAACGCGCTAATTTTTTAATATATACCAAATATATTTATTGTAAAATGCAAAATTTCCATTCCTACGCGATTTACTATTAAAAATTTGGGCTGCCAAAATTTTACATTTCCAGAGCGTAAGCATACCTTTTTATGATGCGCCTTTTCATGAGTTTCATATTATTCGTTTTTTTTCTTTTTCAGGTTATTCTTGTGTTACATGACTGGGGTTCTATACTTGGATTTCATTGGGCAAATATGAATCGTGCAAGAGTTCAGTCTATTATTCACATGGAGAGTGTTGTCGCGCCGTTTTCCACACAACATCAGACCGTGTTTTTCCGTCAAATAAGATCCAAAGGTTAAAATAGCGCTGATTTATTAATACTATTTGCATAAAAATCGTAATCCATGAGATAAAACCTTTACGACGTATTGGGATCTAACAAGATACTCAAATGAGTAATCTCGCCCGCGGCGCGTGGTCATTTTGACAACCGGGGCAAACTACTGCGGGACCAAGTCACCCCCATCTACGGGGACAGGATGAGCGCTGTAAGTTCTCCCATCATTTTATGAGTATAAAAACCATTCCATCGGTAACAACCAATCGGCAAAAGCGACAATTTTTAACGATAAGAAAGTGTCTTTAAAACCGGTCCAAGTCAAGTGATTAATAAATATAGACATAGTTTATTTTGAAACC